CTGTCTTTACTAAAAAGAATAGCGCCTCAAATTAATGATGGGTATCAATGTATCATCGCTTATATTGAAATGCAATAATTTCCCATCAAAGGCTGAAAATCGAAGTCATTAAATGCGTGATTCCACTTTGGCTTCATCTTGTCCAAGTGTGCCTAATTGCTAATTGGACAAAATATTAAGTTTGGATTCATATTCTATCAAGTGTCTATTACTATTTATAACTATATCAATGATAAATATATTTTAAACAAAAATTTTAAATTAATATGACAATAGACATATAAATATAACAATAACTATTCTTACAGTTCAATAATTACATAAATTTATATTTTTTATGTATATTTAAATATATATTAATTCTTGTTTTTGGGTCAAGAAAATTTAGACATTTAAAAATCTTCATTGGTTTGTGGGCAGAACAGTGATTTGGGGGAGAGGTAGGATCGGGCCCAAGAATGCGCTGGATGCTATAAATTCTACTTGGGCTGAGTGAGAACCATGTTTAGAGGACTGTGGTCGATAGTAATCTGCAGCATCAACCTCTCTTTTTGTTTGATTTTACCCCCATCAACAATATTTTATGTTTTCAAAAACAATTTAAACTGAGTGATGAACAGTGTTAATGCCGCAGTCACTAAATATTTAAAAAAAAAAAATTGGCTAATCAATTTTCCATTAAATTAACCTAACGATATCTCCTCACACACCTTAGTGTAGTTTTGTATGCATATTTACTTCGAATTATTATTATATATACTTTAATTACACACGATTTCTAAGCGTTGATTTTTATTAAAGAGCACATTCAGACCCAATCTTTCTGTAAAAATAATGTTTCTGATACACCTTGGTAATTATCTCTTTTAAAGTTTAAAAATACTATATTATATGAAAGTTATTTAGTACAAAAAGTCACGAATGCAATTGGATTTATTTGATAGGTTAAATAATAATATAAAAACTGAATGAAAATTAAGCACGAGATTGATGGAAATCAACCCACATTCTTATTGAAACGATTTTGTCTCATTCGTTTTGTACTGTTTTAGATTTTTCTTTAAAACATTTTCCTTAACTTAACCATTAATTAAGGCCCAATACAGAATTAGTCAACTCGATGACAAATTAAAATTATAAAAAAGTGATATTGATAATGACACTATAAAGTAATATAATGAAAATATTGGCGCTATTTAACCATTTCAGCTGGGAAACTATCTGACGAAATCTTGAGCACCTAGCTATGACCTAATCATACTAATTTTTTTAACCAGAAAAACGGATTATTTTCTTATTTTTTTCTCTTAAAGTATTTGTTATTTTAAAATAGTAATTTATTTTTGTAATAATTTGTTTATTAAAGATAATTTTTGCCAACTAATTATTATAATAGTTCTAATATTATTTTTTTGTAGTTTTTATCAATTAATTACTGTAATAATTTTAAATTTTTTAATAAGGATACATTTAATAAAAATAATTTATTTTATCATAAGAATTCATAAAATTAATTATTTTTATCAAGTTACGTTTAAAATGAAAAGGATTCCAATCATAAAAATTGAATTTTTTTTGGAAGCCAGATATAAACTTACTTGTGTTACATATATATATATATATATATATATAACCGGGATTTTACCCCTCAGTTACTTGAGAACGATGTTGATCAACGCGTGAAGTCAAATTTAAATGAGTGACCATTGACCAGCAACAAACAATTAACGACTCTCTTTGTTGCAGACAAATCACATCATGCATGATGCATCCATACATACCTACTATATTCATTATCATTATTTGTTATTCTTCTAATCACATTCACATGTGATGATGTGGTGTGTGATTTCTAGCTGGTATTGTTGAATCGAAACACCCAGATTTCTTCATAAACTAAGGCCATTGGTACCTTATTATTTGACTTCAGAATCATGTTAAATTATTAATCAATTGTTTAAAGTCCACTGCGTGTGATTGTTCAACTTGAATTGTTGAAAGAGAAGTAGATCAAAGCCGTTCGGACTGTTCCTATATATGTTAACAATGCATGCAAAATAAGATTACAACTTGTCCTCACTGACTAAGAGTTGTCAGATAATCAGAATGCTGCTCCCATTCCCAACTCTCCAGCAAAAACCTTCAATTTTCACCCACCTTGAAGATAATAACCTCCTCCACGTGAACCTGGGTCTATGGCACTTAGTTAGATGCTTGCATTATGGATACATAGGACAATATCTTGCCTTCAGAATTCGTGCAAGAAGGGTGTCACTGTTGGTAGAAGTCTTCCCTCTTTCTGGAATTGCTAATGTTTCCTACTTTATTCAATGCAACTGGTGCACTTCCACATTGCCATCGCAATATAATTTCCTTATCATAATCTTCATTAAAATGTTAAGACAGCGAATTTAGTAAAAATAAACAACCCATAATGTATGTTGGGATATAGTGGGCCAATGACTTCATTAAACTTCTCTCCCTAATTTTGATAAGACCTTTTCCTTTCATCTCTTGAACTTTTCCAAAATACTTGAGGCTTAAATCGACCAACAATTAATCATTGACAACCCCAATATTTGTCTTCCTAGCTCATCAAACTTTGTTATCATACACATTTAGGTTGACAAGCCCGGATCTTTTGTCCAGAAGTTTTTTTTCATATGATTTCAAGAGGGACGTTATCATGTGAGCATCTTATGAGTGGCTCTTGTTAAAATGATAATATCACCTGCAACTAAATAAATAAATGAGAAATAGTAGATGCTTTATGTGAAATTCTTATTCCATGCAAGAATTTAGTCTTAGTTGCATGAGTCCGTGAAACCAAGTAAGGTTGTCTTTATATTACAACGGGGCTGTTTTTCCTTTTTTGAAAATCTTCCTTGAAGTTTTTAGCACCTTAATATTGAAAATGTCAACCAAAAAACTTTAAATATTTTTATTAGAAAAAATATATATCAAAAGGAAATAAAAAGATAGAAGCTCCAGCACAACAAAGAATATTAGAAAAAACAAAAAAGGAGTAAAAAAATTAATTAAAGTAATAATAAAAGGGCGTCTAAGGAAAGGAAAAATGGCATAAAAATAAAATTTTAATAATTTTTTTAACCTTATTTTACAACATTATATGACTCTATTTTCGTGGATCCCTTAACCTTTCGCATTTATCTTTCAAAATGTAAAGGCCAGGCCGCAAAATGATTACAACATTTGACTGATTCAAGTTTTTGAAATAAATGTTGAACAAAAAAAATTGTTGCAAATATTTATTATAGTTTAGTTCAATATATGACTATTTTAAAATATTTATATGTTTAACTTATTTACTTAAATTAATTATATATACTTATCTTTGAAATTTAAAGTTTGTATTTGATTCTATTTTTTTATATTCTCTAAATTTAGAAGTTCTAATTTCGTTAACTATTATCTTTAGGGTACTTAATTATTATTTTCCTACAATTTATTGAGTTTTCAAATATAAGATTTAATTTTAAAACTAATTTAAATCTGAAATGTTGTTTTATTTACGAGCTTGATTTGTAAAGTCAAGTAAACTAAAACAATTTCTATTTTTGTTTACGTGTCCATTCCACATTCAATTTTTTTTTATAATGTCCATATACAACTTTAAAATACAGAGCAAAGTAAAAAATAATAAAGTTGGTCGATGTCATCGTGTTAATTACCAAAACAGTAGTGTTTCGTTTTGTTGTATGAAGAAAATAAAATAATATAGAAAAGAAAAACTGAGATGAAAATACATTGATTTTATATTTGATTAGTTCAAAAAAATAAAAGAATAAAACACTATTTTTTTCATTTATTATAATGTAAAAAAAAAGAAAGGAAAAATGTATTTATTAAAATGTCCAAGATACTCTTCTTCTTCTTCTTCTTTTCATTTCGAGATATCAATTTTATAAAATAATAGGAAGTTCAAATACGCTAAAATATAAGTTAAAATGTAAATATTGATTCTAAAACACTATTATATAAAAAATGTGTAATACTTATTTTTTAAAATAATTTAAAACATATACTAAGATATATCTAGTACATCTACATATTTTAACAAGCAAAAGACAAATGCGACTACTGATTAAAAAAATACAAAAATGATTATCAAAGAGTAATATTATTCATTTTTATTAGAAAATATAATACACTTTTAACATTGTTTTGAATGAAACAATTGTTTATACCAATTCTGGTAATTTTTGTCTACTCGGTCTCTCTCTCATTCTAATATGACCGCTTAAAGTCAATGACTAATTGATGAATACAATCTGGAAAAAAAAAAAAAATAACATGATCCGAGTGAATGATTGTTTGTTTAAGATGCTTTGGATAAATCTTCTGCCATGAATTTCACATTAAAAAAAATGTATGAATTGGTAGTTTTTCATGAATGGTAGCCATTATTATTAACGATTAATGAAGGAGCAATAGATGAAAAGACAGATTTGTCCAAAAGAAAGGGGGGAAGGTGTGAATTCATTATCATTAATTACTTTTTAAAGTCTGTTACCTAATTGAATCTGATCCATAAGAATAGCAGTGAATAAGAAGAAAGCATAGTCCAAATGGAGAAGAGAGCACAGTAGGGCAGCAAAGTCCGTCCCACAGAGAATTGGGTCTTCGATTCGAAGCTTCGGACCAGGCCGTGTCTTTGTATGACTGCCACTTCGTCAGCTCTGATTCCATGGAATAGGCTTTAGGCAAAGCACTTTTATCCGCTGCCATCCACTCCACCCACTGCCCTAAATCCCCCTCTTTAATCTCTCTCCACCTGGCACATTCAACCACATCATGCCCCACACCCTCAAAATTCACAATTTAAATAAAAAGCCACAAAAAGACAAAACCAAAAGCAGAGGCAAAATACCCAAAGCGAATCCAACGGCTCTGATTGCGCCAATCGAACGTAGCAACTGTTGGCAGATATGCAGTGCGAAGCTGCTTAGAGTTCCCCAAATTCAGTCGCCCTTTTGTTGTGTCACGCTTCGGCTTTGTTTGTTACTTGTAACAACACTCGAACACACCTTGTCTTTGCTTTTCTCTGTTTCTGTCCCTGTCTCTCTCTCTCTCTAAAACTTGTTTCTCACTCTACCTGACTGAAATTCTCTGCTTTTATCGTTTTCCCGCAGCAGATCTCTGTCTTCGGCCGCCGGTAATCCGATCCGGGTGGAAGGTTCTGGAAGCATCTCATGTGATGTGCCAACTTTGACTGAGCCCAAACCCGAGCCCAAGCCCTGATCGCACCGAGCCTGTGCAGCCATGGGCCAGTGCTACGGCAAAACCAATCCCACTGCGGGGAACGAACATGACCCCAACACCACCACCATAATTGCCGCCTCCGGTGACGGTTCTCGCTCCCCGATGCCCTCCTCCGATGGCGTCGCCAACGGCTTTCCGTCGGTGAAGAACACGCCGGCTCGGTCCTCCTCGCATGCCAGCCCCTGGCCGAGCCCCTACCCTCATGGAGTGAACCCGAGTCCGTCACCGGCGAGGGCCTCGACGCCGAGGAGGTTCTTTCGGCGACCTTTTCCACCGCCTTCGCCGGCAAAGCATATAAGAGCGTCTCTGGCGAAGAGGCTTGGGCAGGCGAAGCCCAAAGAGGGCCCAATTCCGGAGGAGCGTGGGGCGGAGGCGGAACAGTCGCTGGATAAGAGCTTTGGATATAGCAAGAACTTTGGAGCTAAGTATGAGCTTGGGAAGGAAGTGGGGCGAGGGCATTTTGGTCATACTTGCTCCGCCAGGGGCAAGAAGGGTGAGCTCAAAGACCACCCTGTAGCTGTTAAAATCATTTCCAAGGCCAAGGTACTTCGCCGCCAATCATATCTATCTATCACTTACTACAATCTTCTATTTCGCCAAAAAAGTATATAAGAAAATAAATGTTAATCTTATTGTAACTTTCTTCTTTCTTTTGTATTTATGTTGTCTGGGCTGCTTGATTGTGATTGCTTTGGACTTTGTATTTGTGATGGCATTTGGACAATTTGGGTTGATTTTTTCGCCCCTTCAGTGTTGATCTTTGCTTGATTCGTTGCCAGGAATCAATGATATTCTTATTTTATAATAGGATCTTGACATGATGCTTGTCCTATTGTTGTGCATTGTTTTTGCCCCCTTTCTTTCATAGTGGTGATCGAACTGCTGGCATCATGTCAAGAAATTTTGTGCCAGGTTGGTGTTCTGAAATTTGCACCTGAAAATGATGTAACCCATGTGTTATGATGTTTATTCATTCTATCTGGTTTGGTCAATCCTTGAAATATTATTAAGGGACAAAAAAATAATGAAACATAGCATTATGTGATAAAGGGATAAGTTCAAAATTCATGGTGTCTAGAATAAATGGCCTCAAGACCACTCGAGTCAGTTTTTCCTTGAAAACAAGAGTTCATGAAAATATTAAGAGTGTGTATATTATGGATGTCAAAGCAATGTACAACCTGGCTGAAAACTGTGCTAGTTTCCTTGTTATGAATGAAAGAACTGTCTTAACTGGATCTACTAAATTTCTATTTGAATTTTGTTGCATGATTATTCCTATAAATAATATGTGCTACTATCCAATAAAACCGCCGTAATTTCCTACATCTTGCCTTTTTAAGTATGTTTAGTTGTGCTTATGTAGCCTTGAGATCTCCCATCATCTTTTCTTTCTTTTGAAATCTTTTCCATAACCGACGGAACTTCAGGTAAGTTATAAAGTCCTTTTTTCAAGTTGTTTGTCCCTTGCCATGTAAGCATTGTTTGTGTTGTATTTGAGTATACACATGTATATTGCTCTCAGTTGGTACTTACATGCAGTTTTGTCATTTGCAAATTACTCATACTGAATGCCTTCCGTTAATTTCTAACGCCATATTTGTTTATTACCAAAAGAAGCAAGATTGTTCGCCTTGTACGTTATGAATCACATTTTGGGAAAATGTCTTAAAACACATTTGCTATGTGGCCCAAATAAGTCTTATGACATATGCAACTGCAGAGAGCACCGCACCCCACCAATTTATTCATAAATTCGCGATTTACAAACTATGATCATTTGATTGGTAATTGTTAAGATGTTTTACATTGGTTAGGAATAGAGTTAAAATACTCCTTATAAGGGTTAAAGCAGTCCTCTTTCTATGGGCTAGCGTTTAGGAGTGAGTTAAGCTCAAGTTTCTAAACAGTAATTTGTTGAAATGTTAAAGTGACTTATTACTGCATCTTAATAAAATTGATTTTGCAGATGACCACAGCAATAGCAATTGAAGATGTTCGTAGAGAGGTGAAGCTGTTAAAGGCTCTGTCTGGCCATAAGCATCTGGTCAAATTTCATGATGCTTGCGAGGATGCCAACAATGTGTACATAGTTATGGAGTATGTCATTTATCTTGCTCTAAGTATTGTCTATAATGAGAATTCAGTGTTGGATCACTAGAGAACTGAATATTTGATATGTTTTTTTTTGTGCATATAATAAATGGCCACAATGAATTCAGTGTTGGGTTTTATTATACTCATTGATTTGGTGTCAATCTTGCAATTAATTTCCAGTTTCTCTGTTTTTGACACTTTTTCTTTATGCCTTTTCCTTTTTAGATATTTTAATGAGTTCAACTGCACGTTTTGAATACATAATAAAAACCTCTTAAGTTTCCACTCAAAATATATTTTGATTGAGGATACATTATGTTTAGTAATAGTTGAATTGGGGAGAGCATGATGCTTCTAATATGGCATCATCATATAGTGATCTTGTGGAATTCTATTTTCTTACCAGATTGTGTGAAGGTGGGGAGCTTCTTGACCGAATTTTGTCAAGGTTAGTTTTTCTTTGTCTTGTTTGTGATTTTGATTTCTAAGATGATGAGCCTTGTGACAAGAGTAAGGTTGTTGCCTTGTGACCTAACTGTCATAGGTTCTAGCTGTGGAAACATCTTTTGTTTATGGTGTAAGAATGTATTCATCCATCCTCTGCCCCTCCTGCCCCCCTCTCCCAAAGACTGAACAATGTTTTGAGTGTCATCTGTTGGGTTGTCCTTTTCCATTTTTGTGACTTTTAACTTGATTTAAATTTTAAATTTGATTGAAGAATGTTCACTTCTGTCTAGGGGAGGGAAGTATACAGAGGAGGATGCAAAAGTTATAGTTTTGCAGATTCTAAGTGTAGTTGCCTTTTGTCATCTTCAAGGTGTTGTGCACCGTGACCTGAAGCCCGAGGTTTGTGCTTTAAATTTTCTTGCCTATAATAATTTGTTACATCATGTTCTTTAATAACCTCATGGCTTAATTAATTATGGATAAAAGTATTGATGGTTCTCTTTTATGAGTTCATTTTTACAGAATTTTCTTTTTACTTCAAGAAGTGAAGATGCTGATATGAAGCTTATTGATTTTGGTCTGTCTGACTTCATCAGGCCAGGTAATATTTGGAATATCCTTAATTTTCATTTTCCTTGCAAAACAATCTATTTTTACTGTCAATATACTAATAGGCAACTATCTACTGCATGCTCACTTTACTGGGGCTATTGACATCGTCCTAATCCTAACTTTTGAGGAGGCTGTTTTAGTGTTTATAATGTCAAAGCATTTAACCATGTTATTTCAGTCTCTTCTAATTTTGGATATCAATTGAGACTTTACGAGTTGTTATGTCTCATTAGGTCCTGTGTCGACTAGCTGGGTTCCATTCCACTCCTATCCACAACTTTGTGAAAAGAAACTGAGGTCAACTTGGTTTCATATTGAATTTTTCACATTTTACACCCATTGATATTATGAAGAAAAGAAAACTAATGACATGTGACACTAGAAAGTGCTTAGTTCCTTAATCACTGGGTTCTGATTATCATCCTGAATGCATGTGTGACATTAGGAAGTGCTTGCTGTCCAGTATTTGCCATGGTGATCTTGTGCCATTCAATCATTATCTAAGACTGCCACTGCCTTTCATTTGTGCTTTAGTAGATTTTTTGTGGATATAAAGCTAATCCTTTAATTTACACATAAATGTGTATTGGTATACAGATGAACGGCTGAATGATATTGTTGGAAGTGCATATTATGTTGCACCTGAGGTCCTCCACAGGTCATACAGTGTGGAAGCAGATATCTGGAGTATTGGTGTTATTACCTACATATTATTGTGTGGAAGTCGGCCTTTTTGGGCACGAACAGAATCTGGAATTTTTCGTGCAGTGCTCAGAGCTGATCCTAATTTTGATGATTTACCTTGGCCATCTGTATCTGCAGAAGCCAAGGACTTTGTTAAAAGGCTCCTAAATAAGGACTACAGGAAAAGAATGACTGCTGCCCAAGCTCTAAGTAAGTTATCTTATCAGTTTAGTATGTATGGAAGGGGTTAGATGCTGTGTAATGTTCCTTTATATCACATCATGGGATTCTTATTTGTGGTAAGTCACACATCAAAGTATAACATTATGACACTAAGGTTATGCTCATGAGTACTGAAGGGCACTGGTTAAGAAGCATTTCATACTCCTTTTAAATGCATTAAATGATTTTTGTGATTTTGATATATAAATGCTTTCTTTTTCAATTAAAAACTTTGAACTTTTGTCTTCTTAACCAATGCCGTGAGGACACTAGTTACCATTTGCCTGGAGATTATTATTATAAATTGAACAAAATACATCCATCTTGTTGGTTGTGGAATTTCACACCATAACTATCCTGTCTCAATGAGATGGAGAATAGATCAATATAAACAAAAAGTATCATTGTCTTTCTGGTATTTCTACCATATAGCAGCGGAGTTTATGTTATTGTTGTCAGCCAAACGATAGCTCTCTTTGTACTGTTAGTGATAGATGTACATGATGATAGTAACAATGTTGTTTCAAATTGAAATTTAAAACTAATTAATACACACTGGTGTAACTGCAGCTCACCCCTGGTTGAGGGATGACAATCGTCCTATCCCTTTAGATATATTAATTTATAAATTGGTGAAGTCTTATCTTCATGCAACACCATTCAAACGTGCAGCAGTAAAGGTATTTTTTTATTTCATCTCCTTGATTATGCATATGTTTAGTTGAACTTTAGGCAGTGGTTAGATTTTGGTTTTCATTTTCAATTTGACTTTTTTTCTTTATCATTTAAAAAAATGTTTTATAGTTTTGGTTTTGATTTCTTGTTTTCTCCATTTGCTTCTAAATTTTTTAAAAATGGGAAATGGAAATTATGGTACTGGTAATATATATGCAGATCTCGATTTTCTATACACTAAGGTACAAGTATTTATATATATGTGTGCGTGTATGTGTATGTACATACCTAGGCATACTAAAGCAAACCTGTACCTATATTTCATAAGGAATACGCAAAATTTATACATAATATAAATTGAATGCGCCTCCTTAATTTCTTTGATCTAGTTCTTCCTTCCAATTTTCCTGTCTGCCTTCTTTGCTGAATTTGAATACATTGTGGCAAATTGGTACTTTAGTCCTCTACCTTTACCTTTTATTTTTGTTTAATCTTCTATGTTTATTTTTCAGATATGATTCTTTAACTCTTTGTTTTTAATTTTATTTTGGCACTCTAACAAGTGTCTATCAAATAAGTCATTTTTTATTAATTACATTAAACAATGTCAATCTAATTGGAGGAGAAGGAAAAAGAAAACAATGATGATAACGACAATAGTAATTAAGAGAAAAAGACAGAGATAGTAATTAATGAAGTTAAATATAGTTAACAAAAAAAAGGACCTATTTAATTAATGTTTGAAAGTTGGATTACCAAAATGAAACAGAAAGTTAGAAAACAAAACTGAAACTAAAAATAGTGTTAGAAGAGCAAAGTGCTAACTTTTCCTACATTTTATATTGTATTTTCTACTTTGTTTTTCTATGCATTTATCATTTCATATTCTTTCTAAACCACTATTTCATGCTTTTTTCATTTTGAATTTTATGCTATTGATCAATAGGTTTGTTATGATGCATGAGATGTGTACTGCTTTTATATGCTTTTTGTTATGAAAAAAAAAAAAACAATTTTGTTGTGTTAAAGGGAAGGTCTAATATAAAAGTGGTGGTTGTATGATATAAAATTTTTGAGGAGTTCTCATTTTTAAAAGAAAAAAAAAATCACACATTCATCTTGTGAATACTAAAGGACCGATTGAAGTTTGTTTATTTTTTCTGCACTAGATTATGATTCATCTTTTTCACTTGTTTTATTCAGGCACTTTCAAAAGCCTTGACAGAGGATCAGTTGGTGTATCTTCGAGCCCAGTTCAGATTGTTGGAACCAAATAGAGATGGGCATGTCTCCCTTGATAATTTCAAAATGGTTATCTTCTGCTTCACTGTCAATTCTTCCTGTGTTGTCATGGTTGATAAAGTTAAAATTTTTCTTTTATGTTTTTCATGTCTGTCAGAGAATGCCGATTTCCTTTGCTTGTTTTTGCAACAAAATAAATAAAAATCTGTTTATTCCCGTGTGAATGTGTATTTTTCCTGTTTTGAAAGTTTGTGGTCTTCCTTTGCTACCTGTCATTTCTTTTATGAATTTGGATGATTATGAACCAGTTTTTAATTGAACTTTGCAGGCTCTTGTACGTCATGCAACTGATGCCATGAGGGAGTCAAAGGTTCTTGAGATCATCCACGTGGTGAGCTATTCTTCTATAATGTGTATAAACAATTTCTTTTACTAATGCCATGCCATTACATTAACCTCTTTGTGCTTATATGTTCGTAGTTTTACATTTTGGATATTTGGCCCAAACAACTAGTCTTCTTACCATGGGTGAAGAAATTTTCTAGAGGAAAAATTCAATCCACATTATTGTTTATAAGATACTCTATTGAGCCAAGTATTGGGGATTAGACTGCTAATGCATAATTGTATTATTGAGTGCAATTTGTTGCATGGAAACCATCACTGTTGAGTCTTAAAATTATTTTTTATATTATAACTATCTCCTTTTGTCATGATACTCTATTATTATATTCTTAAAACAATGGGAAAAGTGCTCTACACCTAATTCCCTGTTTTGACTAAACTATCTTTCGTTTTATGGCTTGAATAATTTTATAGATGGAACCACTTGCGTATAGAAAGATGGATTTTGAAGAATTTTGTGCTGCTGCAACTAGTACATATCAATTGGAGGCACTTGATAGGTGGGAAGATATTGCCAACACTGCTTTTGAGCATTTTGAGAGAGAAGGCAACCGTGTGATATCAATTGAAGAGTTAGCAAGGGTAAGTATCATTGTTACTGAAACAGCAATGCTATTTGGTAAAAATGACTCTTTGTGAAAGGTGTTATTGAATGAATTTCTAACCAATCACTAAAGGAATGAGGATATGAGTGGTGGGAGAAAAGTTGATTTAAGAGATGAAAAATGTTCTAGGAGAGTGAAATTTTACTTTCATGTATGTGACTATCAATCATCATTAATGTGTATCATTTATAATAATGTTGGTCTATGTTCTTTATTATGGCCGCAGGAGTTGAATCTTGGTCCTTCAGCTTATTCACATCTCAAAGATTGGATACGAAATACTGACGGAAAGCTTAGTTTACTTGGATATACAAAATTTTTGCATGGCGTGACTATCAGGACTTCAATCCCAAGACCCCGTTAGTCTCAAGCCCTTTTGGCATCTAAAGATGGGAACAAAGTAAAGAAGATTTATAGGTTTTTAAGGAATTTTTTCATTTTTCTGTCCGGGTGAGGAAAAGAAGAATGTGTATAAATGAATTTGCTAGGGAAGCTAATATGGGGAATATTGAGTCAATTAAGTTTAAAATCCTTCCTCTTGCCCTATTTTGCAGGTGACATGTCCCTACGGGTTTGGGCCCATGCTTATTCATTTGTTTGTGAATGCCAAATAGGACTTCAAAGTCAAAATCAAAGTAATTTGTGTCGATATGGTTTTTTACTGCCATTATCTGGCAATTGATTTTATTGTGAAGATTATATTACAGTAAGGTTAGAGTCTAGCATAAGAATAACTATATTTTTAGTACAAGAGAATAAAAATATTTATCAAGTATAAACGAATAAAAATTTTCTTAAATTGATTAATTCTAAAGTTTTTTTTTTTCGTTTAGTAAACTAAATAATAATTAAACACATTTTGTAATTTTCTCTTTTGAAGGAGGGTGGATCTTGAGAGAGGGGGATGGAGGATTGGGATTCCAATAAAGTGATTTAGTCATGAGAGATTCCTTATACGAATGTTATTTTAGTTATTGGAGTTCATCTTTCTCTATGATGAGAGTTAATGCATCACATCTTTTAGAACTTGCAACGTAAAAATTGAAAGCCTGTATTCTGTTTAGTTTTAAACTCTGTGCTTCAATGGAAATCCAAGAGACATTTTAATACGTAGAGAAGTAAAGATTGTTTCATTTTTTTTTACTGATCATAAGAATTAAGAAATATAGTTAATTTAGTAAATAATTTAAACTTATCAACAATTTATATCAAATTTTAAAAATTATCCTTAAAAATGAGAACATATTTGAATTTTTTCACTTAAATAATTATTTTATCTCTACAAAGGGTATGTTTGTTAAAAAATAATGCAAATAACAATTCACAAAATCTTATATAGAAAATCAAATGTAATATTTATATACAATTGATATGTTTCATCAAATGTAGTCAAACAACTTGTGCATTTTTATTTGACTCAAAACCACGCTCTTTAATTATTATATATGATATATGAAAGAAGTTTTAAACATTTTGAATTTTGTTTGAAAAATAAATAAGCATATATTTAAAAGCTAAAAAGTGCGAATGAGTATATTATGATTTATTTAATTTGTAAGAACATTTATTTTTTCAAAATCTACAAATACTTAAAACTATCATCTTGTTTTTACTTGTTTCATAATTTTAAGGTTTTATATTTAAAATAAAAAATAAATGCATTTTTAAATTCTTTAAATAAAATTAAATTTATTTTTAGTTGTATAAAATAATTTGTTAATTTTGATACTCATGCATTTTAAAACTTCTAAAAATAGTCTCTATTATTGCTGACTGATAAAGTTAACATTTCATAGCATTTGACACCTCATAATAATCACTAACATAATAATATTAGATACTTATCATGTCATCTAAAAAAAATATATAGAAACTATCGTAAAATTTTACAAGACTAAAATTAAATTATATTATATTTATATAAGTCCTATAAAAAATTTAGATAATATTTTTATCAATTTTTTAATTTTAATCTTTAAGATTTATTTAAATGTTTAAAGGTAATATTTTTTTGTTAAAAATACAATATTTATTACATTAAATATACAAAAATAATAAATATTTTCTATTAAAATTATTTTATTATTAACTGCTTAAATTTAATTTTAATAAAAAAGTTAATATTTTTATAACTATTAATAAATTTGAAAAAATATGCTCAAAACTAAAAAACCAAGGACATTACAAACGCAATCCACTTAAAAGTTAGAAATGAGAATAGTTTTTTTAGATAACAGTGAGATTAAATTTTTAAAATTAGTCTAATATCACAAGTATTAAAATCTAAACAATAATTTATTAAAGAATCATAATATATTCACTTAAAATACCTATAAAATAAAAAATGAAAAAGGATAAGATAGAAAGGAAGGGAATTGACTGGATCGAGGGGTGTGGCCTTCCTGTGAGTCTTTTTTTCTTGCTTGTGCTTACTTCCAAAATGTAAGAAGAAAATATTTTGGTTATATTTTTTTGTCTGAAAAGATTTTGGTTTAAGTACCTCATTTTTTGTGTTGGACCGCCAGACATCGACGTTGAATTTTTTGTCAGTCTCTGCGGAAACATTCCAGCATTTCACGTGATGTGTGCATTTACGGGGACACACAACCCTGCCCACGTTTCATGTTTCATGGATGCACCAATTTAGACGATTCATTTTTTAAGTTTTATAGTCTATTTGTTTTATATATTTTATCATAAAATAAATTAATTTAAAGAATGAAAATACTTTTTTACCTGTGTTTTAATCACGGAAGATCATAATTATCTATGTATTGATTGACCTAAGATTACATTAACATAAATACGAAGCCAAAGGCCTTTCTGATAATGGGTTACTCCAGGACACAAACTTTAACCCTATCCTAAAAGCACAGTTCACAAGCACGTACTATTTTTCTTTATTATTGGTAGAGATAATCTTTTACTTAAAAATAAATAAAAATGGCGTGAAACTTGTTACTTTATGATTCTATATGACCAATTTTGCCGGCTAACGTGGACTAAATACATGTTGATAGTTTTATGAGGTCATTCATTTAGCAGACCCATTTAATATTAATTTGTTTACGGACTAAGCTTGTGTTGGTTAAATTAGCTCGTTAATCCAATCCTAGTCCGCAGTTATGTTACAATGTTTTGAATTTTATATGCGATACATAGACTTCTATAACAACAATATATTTACTTATTTTAACCCAGTTTCAGTTCTTTCTAAAAGCGATGTAATGGGTAATTTAATAAATACTAATAATTTTAATGAAAAATTAGAAAATTAAGTACTTGTTCTAATAAATTCGTATATAAAACTTAATGCAAGAAAAATAACATATAAAAATTATAATTTTAAGTAGACTATATCTTTTGATTGGTGTCACTTTGATAGATTCAAGAATGATGAGTTTAAAGAGGTTGACAACGAATCTGCTGACCCAATGAGGTTGAGACGAAGAGTAGTTACTTGTGCATGTATATATAAATATTATAATAATAAAATTAGTGAGTATAATAGTAGAATCAGAAAATAGGATTAATCTTGTACTTACTGTAATGAAAATGGATACGTATAGGATTCAGATGCAGGTAATGCAACATCAAAGTATTACAGCAACTACGAAATACAGTCTAACATGACTTAATCTTAAAAAGATATGACTCAGACGAAAGGCATGACTCTTGGTTATGTTTCCTTGTGCAAACATAAATAGTGTTAGATATGCATGTCTTTACACTCAAATGAAACTTGAACTTGTGACCTTTTTTTAATTATTATTATTTTTAAATAAATTACTAAATTATAATTTTTTTAAAAACTAATTATCTATGGTGAATCTAGTCACATGGCATAAGTTTTGTTGTTATCACTCGTAAAACTTTATTTTTTTTATTTTTAAAAATAAACTTTATCATGAAAATTGCAAAATTTATAACACCTCTTAAATTGTGTAACTACACTGGCGGCGATATTTATTTTTAAAAAAAATTAAAGATGGTGAAACTTTGCTAAATTGTAATGTAAAATTAATCAGAACGACAGAAAAAGCTCAAGAAAATCTTCAAGAATGGGTGATAACTCATTGATGTGTAGAACCCAGATGAGCAACTCCAGGATTCAATGGAACCCACACACCTTCTCTCCATGCTTTGCCTCAACAGCTTCAATTCCTCCTCCTCCACCATCCACCGTGCACCACCTACGGGTTTTCCGGCATGAAACGACGATGGGTTCAATCGTCATCAACAGACTAGTAGCTGTTTATCAACTCACAAAAATGAGTGAATTTTGAAAACCATGTATATTAGATTATTAAAGACTTTCAGGCGAGAAACTAAATATTAAAACATTTACAAGGAACGGACTCATAGACCAAGCTGCATTAGAAGGAGAGGTTGCTTGACTTTGACAATCCGTAGTAGTTCCATTACCTTTCTCTCATCTCACGATAATATCCAATTTAATTAAATAATAAAAAAAATAAAGAATCTGTGGAAAGTACATCACTTGACAATAACAGTTTTTAATAAAAAAAAAATTTATACTAATAAAGACCTATCTAATATTAAGTTATTACTCAATAATATTCTTTTGGTAAAATTTTGTAATTTATTTTATAATTAACTTTTATTTAAAACCGATAATAGCTCTTAAAAATCTTCACCATTGAATAAGAAGATTTATAGGAGCTATTTTATTATTAAATTATATGTTTTTTTTACATTAAATATTTTTTATTTTTATCATTATTATTATGAAAAATAAAATATTATTATTAAATGTAGTTAATACAATTTGAAAATTCTATTTTATTTAAATCTTAACATGCATTATATTAATAAACATAAATATTATATATCATAATTTAAAAAATATATTTTTATAGTTTTTTCTTTAAAATTAAAGGTCCGATCTCTTTATATATATATAAAATCATTTTAAAACTCTTTCTTAAGACAAGTGATTTCACTGTATATTACATTGATAATATTTATATCTGGTATGTATTAACATTTATATTTATTATTCTTATTTAAATTTTGTTTTTAAAAACATCAACTGCAGTGCTTGGAACTTCTATTTCAAATAGAGAGGATAGACTACCCGTTTGTTTTCGTTATTATATTTTTTAATGTCTATGTATACTTGTTTTCATTTGAAGACAAAATTAATTGTCACTTAATTATATATATATATATATATTGAGTTTTCAAATGGAAATTTAAATGTATGTCATGTGTCTACTTTTCAATATTTTTTGCCCTTTAGATATATGTCGTATCAGAACCGCCAGAACGTTACCAAACGAGGAACAAATACACCCGCCCAATTCAATGCGGTCCAAGGAGCAGCAACCTTCTTTTTTAGTACTCCACACGTTTTAAAATGGATTTCTTAATAGTGAATTTTATTAAATTTTGTTTATTTTTTAATGTCTAAAAAAGGTATTCAAGAAGCATTAATTTTATCATTTAGTACATCTATAAAATTAAATAAAAATACTAATAAAGTGATAGTATCAAAAACATTTTTTCAAAAGATCTAATTAATAAGGAAATTTTCATATTATTAATCATTCTATGGAAAAGGAGAAGTGAGAAGCATTTAGTGAATGTTTTCCCTTGTGTAGGGAAAGGGTTTGAAGGTTTTTTTTTATTAAACATTCTCTTTTCATTTTTATTAAAAATATATATTAAATAAAATTTATATGCATTTAGTATTTTGAGTGTCAGAATAAGCTAATATTATGTTCTTAGAGCCATGATTGGTTAAAACCTTGTATTTTGTGGATCCTTAACTTTCAAGCTTTTAGAGACTAAAAATACATTTCTTTGTAGCATCGGACGTATAACAATAAATTTTATATGTAAAAACTATTTAATTACTTTACTTAATTATTAATAATAAAATTTATTAGGGTATTTTGAAATTTTGATTTAGTCATTGTTGTTAAAATTATTTAATAAACTTCTTAATTTATATGCAATTACCTTAATAAAATGAAATGAAACTATTTTACTTCTCCTACCATGCATTCATTGCAAAGAAATCTTATGATTCAGCTGCATTCAGATTTTAGAGCCAGAAACGGTCCACACCCTATGCCTACAATTTTACTTTACTGTCCATATTCATTTTCACAGGCACATGCTTGTGTTCATGGGATAAGGCCCTTCCAATGTAATATCAATATTCTTCGCGTAATGTTTTACTTTCAAATTTCTATTCCAAAGTAAAAAAAAAAAAACAAGAGGCTCTTACATTCGGAACAACAATATAATCAGATGGAGAAAGAAAGAAAATGAAAAAGTCCAGGCTTACATATTGTAGACCTCATAACGTATTTTGTTGTGATTGAATTCATATTTAATTAGTTATAAATACACATTTACTTACTTCAATATTATAAGATAAAATTTATACGTTTACATGATTTAAAGATGCATTTAATGAGTTTAAATTTATGTCAAATTTATTGAAATTCATTGTAACTTATAATTTATAATTTTTAGACTTCATGTGATTTTGGCTTTGTTTTAAAACACCCTTAAACGTGATTACAAGCTGATGTGAGTTAAATTGACTAAGGTAAATTCATTCAGCGACACGAATTTAAGAAAGAACCGGTTTTGGCCCTACTTACCGTCAATTCATTCTTTTCAATTCTTTCCAATGCCATTAAATGGCGACAAATTCTTCTAGAAAGAAAGAGAAAAGGATCTCTTTTTCATTACGATTCCTAACAAAATTATAACAAGGTAACTACAATTGAAAGATGTAACATTCTGTCGTCGTCATCATCTCATCTACATCATCACCACTCAACCAACAAAGGAAAAAACTAAGAATTTACAAGACCAAATCATCAGTACCTCGAAGAAACCCGAGATTAATTATATTTTCAGGTCAACTACAAATTTTTGCTTGTTTAATTAGCTTCATCAGAAGCCAAAGCAGCCAGTTTGATGTTGGTGATGCTTTTCCCTATCGATCATGCCTCGAACGTTCCTGAACTCCTCAACATGACAAGGGATGGTTATGGTTCCCTTTTGATCGAAACCGTATTCTTCTTCTGCTTCCTTGAGGAGCTGCATGAAGAGAGGGTGGTTGAAGTATATGACAGGCACCACGAACCTTTGTTGCTCTTCTCCTTGACCAACCTTGATTGCAAGACACCCTTTGGGCACTCCTCTGAACTCTTGCTTCTTCCCATGGTGATGGTGGTGTGTGCGGTGCAAATGAAACCCCTTCACACTCTTCTCTCCACTACCCATTTCTGCAAAAACAGAAAAAATATCGAAAAGAGAAACTAAAAAGAGAAAAAGAGGCAACCAAGGCTTGTGTGCGTGTTTCCCGATAAAAACCTCAAAAGAATACAGGGGAAAAAGGCCAAGGTTGTGACTGTGAGGTTTTCTTGAAGCGGGTAAGACACGAATATCTGAGAGACCTTGAAACGTTGGGCTTAGGCATGGCTGATACACGATTAAGATATGAGAGAGAAATGCATTCCAAATTCGAAGACTTGAGGTTGAGGCATATATACGACAGAGTGAGGAGAGAGAAGAAGGGTGTGTGGGTCACTTTGTTTTCCACTCAGTTGGATTCTGGACCGTCCGATCTTTGTGACTATCGTGATCGACGGTTTCTTTTGTGGACCGACCAATCAGATATCTCCTATGAAGTGGAAAAGTGGGTTAGAATCAGATGCAACGCTGACCTTTCCTATGTTACTTTTCACCCGTACGATCAAGGACAGTTGGGATGATCAGGCCCGCCCAACATTTCTTAAACCAAAAAGCAACCATGGTTAGTATCTAACAATTAATTAAATTGTTTCCTTTCATTTAATGTATATAGCTCGGACCATTATTTAATTGCGTTACATTGCTATATATTATTTGAAGAGATAAGAATGAAAAAAGAATGAGTGAAAATTTTATTATTATTATTATTATTATTATTTGAATGAACGAAAGAGTGAATAGAAAGAAATAAATTCATGATCTTTTTAATAATTAAAAAATTATTTTGCTTTTTAAATTTGTTATTATATTATTTTTAATAAAAAAATCATTTATTATTTACTAATTTTTATGTTTAAAAAATGTTTCTATTTTAAAATAATCAAGTAAAAAGAAAAGGATAAAGTGATGTTGTGACCCATTTCCCATCTTGAGGGGAGGGAAAACTTTTTTAGTGAGTCACATTTTTCATTTTTTAAATTTTTTATTAGTGCAAATGATAAATTTTTATTTCTTTCATTTTATTTGTTTTCATTCAAATACATTCTTTTTTTTATGTATGGTTTTTTAAATTTAAAAAAAAAAATATTTTTTAAATTGACATTAGTAACTTTTGACTAAAAAGGGTCAAGACTTTTATTACTTTTTTTAGCACTTTTTAAATATTTAATTATTATTTTAAAAATTATCATTGACAATTTTTAATTTTTTAATATTATTTTAAAAAATTATCGTTGTCAACTTTTAATACTTTATCACTTTTCGATTTTTACCTTTAAATTTTTATACTTATATTGAAAATTGTTATTGGTAATTTTTAAATTCTATATTTTTATAATTTTTAAAAATAATATATTTTTATATATATAATTTATAAAAATTATATATAAAAAAATAATTCTTCAAATACATTCTAACATTGGTAATGAAATTATTTAAAACTTCAAATTGCTATAGTTGTACAGTTACAGATGATTGATTAGACAATAGTAAAAAAATGTTAAAACTTATTCTTTATACACTCGTATAAAAAAAATTATATTTTTTAATAATATGTTTATGCATTGATTAATAATGATGCTGATGTATTAGATGTTAATTTCTGTAAATGATACAACAATATTTTATTAAACAATAACACATTTTTTACAATAAAAGAGCAGTAGAAATACACCGATCAGAATATTAATTATACGTCAACAATAAATTTATAAATATAGATTGCATTTTGATTTAATGCCTTTACTATAATGATGGGTTAAATTTAATAGGTAAATTTATTCTAATAGTTGTCTATTAATGTAAAATAATTTAAAAGGAATGTCAATTTTTTATAGACTTTATTGACTCAAGTAATTGGGTTTGTAAATAGTTATATTATAATATTTTGAAATGTTTATAAAATATTAAAATAAACTTTAAAAAATAAATAAGGTGAATTTTCAAATTATAAATTTATGATAAAATAAAATGTAAACTAATTGTATTGAATTGGAAAGATTTTTTTTTTTTAAACCTATTCAAACTAAATCAACTTAGCTAAAATTAGGTTGGTTTAGTTCAGATCATTGAACTAAATTGAATGTTATAATTATCATATATTGAAATTTTTATCCTCACGTTATCTGTTTTATATAAAACATTTGAATTTTATATTATTGAAAACTAAACATTCATTTCAATAATTAAGGAAAATAAAAATTATTTTAAGCATTCATTTTTTTAATTAATGTAAAATATCTTTACAATTATAACTTTATATATGTCATCAATCTATTTATCAAAATCTAATTGACTTATTAGCTAGTTTTGTCTATCACACTGACTTATTTGAGTATTGACAACGAAGGAACTTTAAATTTTATAACTAACATTAAATAATATGTTGCCGCACTAATACGTAAAGAAAATGTGTCGCCGAATTAATGAATGACTTTAATTATAACGTGAACTGGTTGAAAAATTAAACTATTTTACGATGGTATGGAAATTAAAATTAAATAAACGAAATATATGTTAAAATTAAAAACATATAATGATTGATCGACTAATAAATACTGAATTACCTTTGTGACAAATTATTCCTTCCAGATGATATATATGAATAATTGAAAAAGGAAAAGTCTGGATAGTTATAACCCATTAAAAATGGTAACGTTTTGAGAATAAAATACAATGAATGATTAATATTAGTTCACTAAGAATCAATTTAATGATGAGTCCAGAGATTGGTCAAAGGGGCTAGCTAGGAATAAAAATTGATGGGCTGAGGTTCATCCTTAAACGAAAACCCAGATGATTGATGGATTGCAAAGGAAAATAAAATAGTGAGAAGTCTCTGGTAGAGAATAATTGGAAGGATATATTTATTTAGCCAAGTTATTATTCTCATATTGAATTCCAAATGAAAATTCAATTTATATGTTTAATATTCTCAATTGTTGACAGGTGCCAAGTATTTGGCGAGCAACAAAGTAAACAAGCAAAATAAGCATGAAACTCGAGGCTGTATCTAATTCCCACTACCTTGGCTATGTATCATTGCATGGAAATGGTGAGGAATGAGGACATATGCAAAGTCAAAGAAAGTGGAGAGTGAAAAAGTGAAATACTGTCCAATCTGGAGGGAGGGAGACCATAAGCAAAACTAAAGTTGTTCCTGCAACTTATATTCTATTCTATACTTAGTTACAAATTGCTTTATTCTAAATACAAATGCCTCATCTACAAAACACCATTGTTTTCAATTGCCAAATATCACACACTTTACACTTTGTAATTAATACACGATAAAAAAATTGTTAATATTAATTTTTAAGGTTAGGTTTAAATATTTAAACTAATAATTTTTTATGGAACGATCAAAACTTAATTTTTTTTAAAAAAAATTCCACTTAAAAATCTATGTATTTTTTTCAAACCAGAATTCATGTGATCGATTATATTATAAGTGAGTTGATGAAATACACAACAAAATAAACTTAAGTGAGTTGGCACAATAAACATTTTTGGAAAAGTGATCGGAGAGTTAAAAAAATGTGTTTTGTATTAACAAAATATATTTTCGCCATAAACAAATGAAAATAAGTTGAATTTGGAGTATCTTATTTTCACGCAATTCACAGGATTCAACAAGTAATCGATATTTCACGATCAAAGATGTAGTACTCTTTGTAGTAGCAATCCTTATATATCGTATTAATAATTGAAAGATGGTCAAAAGAAAAAATCTCTATTTGACAGAGTTTCTTCTTATACCTATAAATTTCATTGGATCCAGAAATAATAATACATTGAAAGAATTTTTTGAGTCTTCCAATATTAATAGGTTGATTATTCTGCTCCTGTATCTTCCAAAAGAAAAAAAGATCTCTAAAAGCTTTTTTTTAGATTCGAAAGGAAGTACTCGAGTTAAAAAAGTTCTTATATTTATATAAAAGAATAAAAGTTTTTTGTCATAATTAATCATAAACTTACGTATTTTTCTTACAATAACTAATTATAGACATATTATTATTAGAAAAATTAAATAATAATTGAATATATTTTATAAATGTTCGCAAAAATTATATTGTTAAGATTCTCACTGACTAGTTTTTAAAGAAAGAGTTTTAGTTAAAATAAAATATTTTCTATATCAAACTACACTCAAATTAATTTCATTTTACAAGTTAAAAATTTCGATCAATTAACAATTTTAAACATTAATTTAATCCCGATAAAATCACTTGTTTTAAGTATTTTATACTTTTATTATCATTTTGTATCTATAAAAAATTAAAATAACTATCACTTTTGTAGAGTTAAAATTTGAAATATTTTTTCCAAAAAAATTAAAAATAATATATATAATTTAAAAAATTAAAAAAATATTTTTCTGCAGAAAAACAACACAGAATTTTTTATGGATCAATTTGAATAAAGTGAAAACATCGATCCACAATTTTTGTTTTATTCTTGCCACTTATAATCTAGTACGCTTATTCTTCGTCGGGCCGATCCTAAATTTTACTGCTCCCTCATTATTCTCCCACTTTGTAAATTGCGCCACTGTTGTCTGGACACAATTGAAATGGAACTTTGAAATTTGGACAAATTTAGTGCACTATTTTAAGTTTTCTTAATGTTACTTTTAACTAAATTTTAATTCAATAATTTATTTGATAAAAAAATAAAATTCAATATTTTATTATCATTCTTTTAAATTAATTTTTAAATAATTTTTTTCTTTTAAAAGCCTCATCCAAGGAGTATTCTATTAAAAATATAAGAATTAATTATAAATAATATTTTTAAATATTTAAAATCAACCATAAAAATTGATATGAACAAAATAGTAAAGTTATTAATACAGAAAAAAGGAAAATTGTGTTAAAAAATTACTTGTACAAATAAATTCTATATATTTAAAAAAAATATAATTTATACATATTAAATGAATATGAAATGTAAAAAGATGATACAATTATTTCTTCAGTTATATGTTTTAAAAATACTCCAAAGAATTGTTTGGAAAGAAAGCTTTAAAAAGGAGAAGAAAAAAGATAAATTTTATATTTTAAATAATATATTTTGAAATTAATACTTTTAATAAAAAAATATAAATTAATATATTAACATAAATTAAATATATTTATCCTATATTTATCATCATAAATAATATATTTTTAAATTTAAAATTAAAAAATATATCATTTCCTCCCACTGAAATTCCTCCCAAACATGTAGTTAATTGCTGAACTTCACTGTGTACCTTTTCTCAAGTTTTTCAATGTGTTTGTGATGCGGCTAAAATCGATTTTGACTTTCACATTCAATTGGTTTGTTTTGATTTTCGTAAAAAATTTAAAATACAGCTGTCTCTGGTATGGTATAATATGAATTGCAGCCTTCCCCACTACGAAGCAAAGAGGCTCTTTATCAAGCCTAAGATATTTTGCATTCGTGGGCCACATGCCTTTTCGTAGCAAGTTGAGTCAGTATCTCGATCCATCTTGTTTCCAGAAACAAAGGAAAGAAAAAAACATACAAGAATTTATAGAAGTAATGGTTTTATTGGCATCATTCATAAGAAATAACTTTAATTAAGCGATTAAAGTAATGTTTTTATGAAACAAATACTTATCATATTTTTGATTAAAAAAATTCACCTTTCATTATTTAAAATGAACCTAAAAAGTGCTGTTAACAAAACCAAAAACCATGAGGATTTACATTTTAATTAGAACGAACACAAAATTATTGCGAAACGAGTCACAATGCACAGGCTACAAACTTTCTATTCAAAATTTTCTAGCTTTATATACATGTATGAAACAGCAGTTCATGACAGAACCTAGATATGGAAGAAGAGAGAAACTAACGAAATATACATATATGTTGTTGAGATCAAGCTCTGAAGCAACCCACGAGGTGGTGGTGGTGAAGGGACCTCTCCCTATCGATCAAGTGTTGAACGTTCTTAAACTGGGCCACTTGACAAGGGATGATTATGGTTCCCTGCTGAGCAAAACCATACTCTTCCTCAGCCTCCTTAAGAAGCTGAGCAAAGAGTGGGTGGTTGAGGTAATTCACGGGTACAGTAATTCTCTGTTGTTCTTCGCCTTGACCCACCTTGATTGCCAAACACCCTTTGGGTATATCTTTGGTCACAACTTCTCTTCCGTGATGATATGTGACCGCAATTTGTTTAGAGCTTTTGCCCAACATGTCAAAATGACAAGTTTGGAGGGAGTGAGGTTGGTATGTGGAGAGAGTAAGTATGGGTGAATGGAATGCAAGTGTGTTGGGAGGGTTTTTATTGAGAGAAATGGGTTGGAGAGGAATCAACTGGGAACGCACCAACGTGGAAAAGGTAATTGGAATAATATGGCGGCGTGGAGCGTCACAAACGGGGAAAGGAAATGGGGGAATTGAGGTGAGGTGGGACACTTTGATTAGCCCATGGTAAAATCAAATCAGGTCGACCATTTAATTCTATCAAGCGTGGCTTGGAATCAGAGCTCCAACTCAATCCCAAGTGGGACTGCTTGTGATTAAATTATTGCTCTTCGTTGATCTTAAAATCAACACTACATATATTGTATTCATATAGTACATTTTTAGGATATAGCTAAAATACACTGATATTTTAAACATTTACATAGTTATAATAACTTTATCGATTTAATTCATTACAAATTATAATTTTCAAATAAGTTAAATATTTACAAGTATTAGTTTGACAAAATAATAATAACTAATTTAATGTTGAATAATACTTTATCTTTCTTTTATGAAAACTTTTACCATGCTGAGTGGAATGTTAACTAGAAAATAAGAGAGGAAGATGAAGCATTTTTCAATTGAATTTAAATTTTAGTATAATTCCGGTGAAGTTAAAATATTGAGTATAATTTATGATAATATACATATATATATATATATATATATTTAAAATCTTTTCATTATTATTGTCATTCATTCATTGCAGTATCGGTGCTGGGCCCTCCGTCTACGACCCGTATCCTGGTTTCTGATTTGGGCCCAAAGCATAATGGCCGCTCTACGTTGTGTGGTTTATGGCTCTGAATACCACGACCCAAAAGACAGTGGCTTTGAAGTCAAGTTTCAAACATTGTTAGTTCTTAAATTTCAAACTCAATAATTTGGTGCTGACCAAAAAAATGAACCTCAATAATTTGGTGTTCGGATGGAGTTATTAAACACGTTCAAGAGCCTCGTCGTCGGCAAAAATAGCAAAATAAACTGATAACTATTGAGATGGTCAGTAATGGCGGAGGAACAAATATGTGATATTAACGTAAATGTTGATTGATAACGCGATGAAAAGGAACAGGCAATGCAAGATTTGAATTAAACCTACTCTTGTTTTCCAACTTTTATATTAGCAAAAGTTAAATGTATAGCAAAATGAAACAATAAACCCCTAGTATTTAACAGCGCGAAACATTCTTGTATGGTATCAAATTGAAACCTGACTTGTCCTACTGCAAGGAAAAATAAAACAATGGTCAACTCTCATCTCATCCCTATATGCACTCAATTCATTTATTTTCCTATAGTTGTTATAAATTATTTTTAATATAATTTACTTATTTTATTAATTCGCATAAATGAAGGAATATTTTGATTTCTTAATTTTATTTTTTTTTTTCAAATATTTATTTTTTACCTTCTCTTATCATTTTACTATTTTTATATTTAATTTTGTGCCTGTCGTCTAGACATAGCATTAAAATCCACGCTAAAACCTAACAAAATTCCCAAGGGGAACAAGAAGTTACGTGCTAGGAACAACGAGCAGTCTAAACGGAAATGGGATGGACACTTGTACCGAACAACTTTTGTGTCCCAAAAATATCAGAATCTGAATAAGGTACGACGTTGGAGTTTTGACTGTAATAATGCCACGTGTTGCGTACAATTTGATCATGCTTTGAATGTACCACCACGCCGTCAGAGTTTTGGACGACGCATCGGGGGAACTACGTTTTGACCCCCCCTTTTCTGGTATCATTTCATTCGTTTGAAGTGACTGCCGACGGATTCGTGTCCCTCTGAACTTATCTCATTGCAAAACAATTTTTTTTTTATTAAAATTAACCGCCTTTCAATTTTTAACACTCACAATGAATGAATTTTTTTCAAAACGGAAATGTAATTTTACGGCGCAGAGTTTATCAGATAGCCATAAATGAAAGTAACGTTGAGAAAGTACATTTGAGTTTTGGATATAAAGCAGCATCAATAGGGAAGATGAGTCACGATAGGAATTCCCATAAAGCCAATACATACATTATTCAATTCATGCACACCAGCCACTCACTCCCAAGAAGAATCATATGGAATATTCTCGTTCATCGGTGACTCATCCTTCAGCTGCCACGAGAAAGAAGAGGAGCAAAAACAAGATAAAGTTCAGCGACGAACAAGTCAAATCGCTGGAATCTATGTTCGAGACAGACTCAAGGCTGGAATCTACCAAGAAATTGGAGCTGGCAAGAGAGCTTGGGTTGCAACCAAGACAAGTTGCCATATGGTTTCAGAATAAGAGAGCTCGATGGAAGTCAAAGCAGCTTCAGCGAGACTACACCATACTCCGAGCCAAGTACAACACCTTGTCTTCACACTTTGATGCTCTCCAGAAAGAGCATCAGGCCTTGCTGATACAGGTCAGGTTCTTACGATATATTCATTTCATTCATGTATTTTAGAGGCTTATTAATTATGGTAGTAATGTTTTTCAACAGTTGCAAAAGCTGAATCATCAGCCACTAGAGCAAACTCAGAGTTGTAAACAAGAGGTAAAGCCAGGCCCGTCAACAGAACCTGCCCTTCTTAACTTGGCTGAGCATGCTGATGCTTCTTTCACATCACCACAAGATTGGGCCATGTTTCGCTTGGGCCAATCAACCGGTGATTATCAATTGTGGGACTTCTGCTCCTGAATGAAACTGAACAACCAAATAAGGCCCAAGGAAATGTGTGCACATCATTGCATATATGTTGTTCGATGTCCTAGTTCCTCTCTGTACTCAGCATCTCCAATTTTCGGAGTCAGCATAGAGAATCCTACCTTTAACATAAAAAGAATGAGTAAACGGCCGAAGCTCTACTATTACAGCAGTAATTGGTTGCATTCTTGGTAGCTATTGTTTCCAATTAAGCTTAACACAACTCAGTGTTGCGTAAACCAACAGGGTAGGGATACTGTGCTTGAGAATAAGGTTGTCAGGGAGCTATGAAATTTAGGCTGAAGAATGTTAGTCACACTTTTTTAACTAAAACTTATATGTTTTATGTGATTGGTTTATTTTTGAAATAATTAAAATAATCTTTAAAAGTCATTAATTTAGAATATGTTATTAATATTATTTTTAGAGCAGAATCAATAATAAATTGAGAAAATCCAAATCTAACGGTAAATAATTCATAACTCAACCCCAATTACGATTAAAAAAAAATATTTTAGTTTGTTTATGACTTAGATTATGGGCGATTGGGACCTATTCAATATTTTCCTCTTTTTTCTCCCCTCATAATATAAATATTTAGCGATGGCTATCACATCCTATTGAGTGCTCAGAAAAAAAAAATCCTTCCTTTGAAGAAATTATTATCATATTAGAGCATCGACAACCTTAAAATGTTTCTCATCAAAGATATAATGAAATATAAATGGATCCTGGGATTTTGGCTAAGATATTTTCCACGTACAAGAAACAGTAGCAGCACATGATTATAGATTTTCTGTAACCTGAGATATGCAACGGGACAGAGTACTGCGTTAGAGATGGCCTTAGCTCACGACAATATGAAGAGAAAATATACGTACTTCAAAATGGACAAACGACTTTAGTATTAGATGACTAAGACAATAAACAATATTAACAACATACTTCTTTAAATACATTAATTGTGATCTGTTAACTCTTTCAAAAGTCAATATTTATTTTTATATATATTTTTAAAAATTAATAATGATAATATTATGTTAAAAAAAATGTGTCTGATATAATATATTATTAGCATTTTTGTTGTGGCAATACATAGCTAATACTTTTCAATTTTTTGTAGTTAATATCCTTTAATTGCTTTCAACCAAGACAAGATCAGTTCCAAAATTAACAATAAAAAAATTATTTATTTGTATCTAAATAACTTAAATTAACTTGTAAAATATTATTGAAATTACATTCGTAGACGTTGAATCTTAATCTTGATGGATTATAATGTTAAGATTTCTCATATCTACATGTAAATACCGTGTCATATCCACGTTAATTTATACCCGTGCTTCCTAAGTAAAGACATCACCGATTAAGAATGGTATACAACTGGTAAATGATTTTCTCGTTTTGCACCACCCTTTTTTCTAACTACACTACCCCTTTTTTCGTAAATAAAAGTCCAAAATGTATTAGTGGATTCCAAAAGTAAATTCTGAAGGCTACTTTCCCAAATATAATTCGGGAAGGTGGTGTTAAAAGAACACCCTGACAAATTTAGAGGCGTGATTTTGGACCCGCCCATTTGAACATAACTTTAAGAGTCTACATTGACTACAGGCCAAAATGGACCATCCTTAACGAATAAGCCCGTTAGGCCTGCCAATTTCTCCAGCTTGTGCCTATTTTATCCAATGTCCAACTTGGGCTGGATTGACCAAGCCCAACTAAACAAGGCTAAGAAAAAGGCCCAGCTCGATTAGTATAATCTGAATATCATATGCAGGCCGAGATAGCTCAGAGAAGTGAGAACTCGCACGACATAAACTTGATGAGTCCAGAAAAGATAAATCACTAGATTTATTAATGAAATCCGTTTTCCATTCCAAAAATTCAAATATAAGATTAAATCAATTGTCTAAAAGGAAAAGCTAGCATAACGCATCAAGAGGCAATGGATTAACAAACCAACTGAAACTCTGCCTCTACCTCAGGTTTGGCTTTCATGAGGTTCTACCTTGCTTCTTTTCCCATAGTACTGCAGAGCGAATGCAACGCCCAATATCAACAATGGCAACAGGAATTGCAAGATCTTTACAACAAACCCAGAAGATTGATTGCCAACACCATGTGCTTGGGTAGGTGGCGCCGGAGTATGCTTAACTTCGGATGGAAGAGTGGACGTGTCAACCTCCCCAACAAAGTAACTCTGCATCATTTCTACTGCAGAATCACTGTGGCCCACGTCTTCAAAATCAACAGTGGCATCCTTCTCTGTAAAAAGTCAAGATTGAGATTCTTAGTCCATTATCATAGTTTTTTACTTGCAGATTACTAATATGAACCAGCCAACAGAGGAGAAATTCATTACCAGCTGCCGACAATAATGCTTCATCACCTCCTGGATGCTCGTCCAAAAATGGGGTGACATCATACACCTGCCACAATGGAATGCATTTAAGTGTAATAATTTGATGGACCTACTAGTCATAAAAGTTAGTGCTAAAATTTAATTTGAAGCTCTAGCGCATATTTGACCTCTAGAAAGAAGCTAAGAGTAAGTATCTCATTCCATTTTATAAGTTTCTTGCTTGTAGACCTCTTCAGTGCTTTGCACTGAAACGTGACATTTTTATATATAGCATGCATCCTGTCCTATTGTCCGATATAGTTTAACGAGGAATAATAAAATTAAAAAGCATAATTCTTTTATTGGCCAGTCAATTCACAATCAGAAATTTCTTTCTCCAATGTACTCTGTGATGGCATTGGCACAACCGTATATGCATAACATCATTAGCAGCTCCAAAAGTTCCCTAGCCTAATCATTAATGAATTCATATTTCTCTCTAAGAATAAAGATGATGTAGAATTCACAGGAAATACGATCAGTCAGAACTCATTATATACATCATTATCAAATAAGATGACATCATTCGGAATTATCTGGATGAAAGTGACGATTATTCAGATTCCAGTTCTAATCCGTTAGTGGATACGGGTTAGTTGCTGAACCAATTATATACCGAGTTTAACCAAGCTATTGAAAGGGTGCCAACTGCCAACTGCCAACTACCAGGGAGATTCTTATAGAAGAAAACAGTGAGGATATCATGACTAACCCATCAAGAGCTTCTTGTCATGATGTTGATTTCATAGATGGGATCCTTCCATGTCCAGATTTTGTATCTCTTTAATTAAAGAATGAATAAAATAACTTGACGTGTCTGTGTTTGTTACAATACATAATACTTAAGTACTCATAATGTTACAGACATCGTTCGCTGTGCACTACACAATTCAATAATCACCTCTTTTTGTTATTCCACTTAAAAAAAAGGGAAAATTTTAGTAACTATGGAATAGCAGTAAAACTTGATAAGATTAATATACTCTATTGGAGATTAACAAGCTCTTGTACCCCATAACTGTTACAAGTTCCACCCTCATTTATAATTTCTCAGCCTACTTCACATGTAATTGACAAAGCATTCAGCACACATCATGTTCATCCCAGAAACTGAAACTGATCAACGAATGGAAAAGAGATCAAGAAGCAAGACAATAATAAGAAAGACCTTTGCATTGACAATAATCCAGCAATCCTTTTTGTGGTTGTGCTTAGCCACCTCCTCAAAAGTAAAAGTTTTGTAGTTTGAAGCCATCGATGCCTCTGCAACAAAAATGAAGAATACCAACTCCCAGATTATTCAGAAGAAGGGAGAAAAGGGAAAAGAAAGCTCAATAGTATAACGAAATAGTTGGTGCGAGAGGATGGAAAAAATACACAAAAGAATGGAAATAATTGCAGGAAAATTCTTACGTTGGAGATGCGCACAGCACTACAATCTCACAAATAATTTATACATCGGATCCGAACTATGCTGTTCCAACATTTTTCTTATTATTATTAATTTATCTAAATTCATAATATGCATCTATCAGTCAAATACTAAACTATATTACGTAACCAAAAAAAAAAACTAAATTATATACATTGGATGGGATTAACAATTTCTTCATTGAATTTTTAATCAAAAATAAATCAAATGATGAAATATTAAATAATACTCATTTATTTTATCCAATATAATAATAAATAATAATTAAATTAATCAAAATTTATTAGTTTAAATATATTTTTTATTCTTTTACTTTAGTTTTTTTTAAGTTTTACTCTTTTTAAATAAATATTGTATATTTTTGTATTTTTTTATATTTACTGTTTACTTGATTTCATTAAAAAATTTTACATGTCTAATTTTCATTGAACTGTTGGATTAAAATCATTTTTTTAAAAATATAAGGATAAATATATGTATAAGATATTTATTTAAATAATTAAATATTAGAGATACTATATTTGTAAGTTTGATACTTATTTCATATAAATGACGAATTTTAAGCAATTAGTTCTAATATAATAAATAAAAATATACTCTTTCTAAAATATCTCAATTTACTCTTTCTTTAAAAATAGTATGAATGATTTCTTTTTCCAAATTTAAACTAATTTAAAAAAAATACTTGTTTTTTGTAATTTCTATTTATAATTTTTATATTTTATGATATGTTTTTTAATAGTTTTAAGTTTTTATTCGTGTTTTTCTTTAATTTATATTTTAAAAATAATACCTTATTTAAGTGAAATATATACTAGTACTTAAATAGATAAAATAATTTTTACGTGAACTGAAAGCTTGGAAACTGCTTATTTATTTATTGTCTATTTTGTTGCCTTCTAGCATTTGCTGTTTCTGCCTCTTCACTGTCATGTCCTTTCTCTTCTCTATATCATTAATTGAACAGAACTATTATATCCAAGCCATGCGCTCCACGCGTTGGTCTCTCTCTCTCTCTCTCTCTCTCTCTATATATATATATATATATATATATATATATATATATATAATATACTGGGCAGTTTCTGTATGCATGATATGCACGTGTGGAGGAAAAATGTTCTGTGCATTAGATCTTTTGATATTAAGAGATAATCTTTTCGTCTTGCGCATTTCATCATTATAAAATAATTATCGTTATCACTATAATTATTATTATCTATCATTATGAATATTACTATTATCATTATTATTAATATTATTTATCGATAGTATTATCACCTATACATCAATGATATTATATAATACAAAAAGTGTGGAAGACTTGTCTACGTCAAATGCTATACCACACTAGTTACTGTCGTGCTGTTCTGTTTGCATTATCCCTCAATGTGCATGAAATGCATTTTTATTTTTATAATCGCAAAAGTTATATTTCGATGTTATGATATATATAGAAAAAGATCTGATGTAAATTAAAAAATTTATATTTAATTTATATATAATAAATTATAATTTATTATTTTATTGATCAATAAATATAAATTAAATAAAAAATTTAAATTGAATATAAAAATTTTAAGACTTTAGTAAGAAAAACACAAAACTACTTGATCATAAGCTGAAAAAACTCCTTTCAACTCTGTCATTGTTTATCTTCCAATTCAGATACGATTTTATCCACAATTTTTGCCGAATTCATTTGATTCTTTTTTCTTTTTTGGTCTTGAAATTCATTCGTTCCTTTAAAAATGGAAACAATTTGCATTTTTAAAATTGAGCCTCGAACATTAATAGTTAGGCCACAACTTATTATTGGCCCAAATTAATAATGTTGGGCTTAGGCCGAAACATTATGGCTAAAGCCCTAACAATACGTAGTATAGATCTACTGTAGCCCTCGGGTGACAGCTGAGTCCTGTAGCCAATGATATAGCCCTTGGGCTTTGGCTCCTTGCTGACCTAGTTGAATTCAAACCTTATCTATTTAAAGCAATAAAAAAATCAAACAAAAAAACAATCTATGATACAGTTGACATCTTTGTTGAAAAAATAAAATAAAAAATAAAACTTATTTTCTATTATGTACTTTGTTGTTATATATGTTAATGAGAAGAAAACATGATTCAAAGGGTGGTTATATGAAAAGAAAAAATTAATATCAGGCTATCAGCCTTTAAAACTATTTGGCCTTGAATTAAATCGCTTTAAAATGTTTCAATAATGGGAGATTAAATTTAGAAAAAGAGAATGAAATAACATGCTGAGAATGAAAGTGAAGAATCAATACAAGTAGATGAAGTGAACATAGTAGAGTTTTTACCCAAACAAATGTTTGAAAAGAAGATTACTGGAGATACAAATTTATTACAAGACAGGACGGAACAAAGCATTACCAATGATACACAATCCGCACCCTCTCCTAAATGACTACGGATTCAGAATCTCTTTCATTCAAAAACTAATAAGTGTCCGATAAAGCCATAATTATTACCACATATATATATATATATATATATATATATATATATATTTATTTATTTTGCACCGAAGGCAGTGGAGAATCTTCAACTTGGCTCCACCGAAAAAGTGAAGCACAAGAATTAGAATTCATGCCATGCCTCAAGTTGACCACTCAATCTTTTTTTTTTTTAATTATTTTTGTCGCCATATATACCACAAACACAAAACAGCTAACTCCAATTCACACACTATTTTGGAATCAAGTGTTGTGGCCTTGATCGTGTTCCTTCAAATGGTAACCTTCACCGAATGGTTTCTTTGCAAGAGAGAGGCGCACTCCAGGGTCATGGTGGGAGCAAGAAGTGTTGTACAAGAGGGAGTTGTTTACACATTGCACATTGCTGTTCATGTACGCAGCCATTGGAAACGAAGGCGGTGTTTTACCTTTCTGATTCTTAATATCCTTCTTTTTTACATTCCCTTCCTCCACGTTGGAACTCTCTGATTCACCGCCATCGACATTGGTGTTCGGGTTTCCTTTCTTGTGAAGATGCTTGGGTTCGTGTTTCTTTGGGGATTGGGTTAGTTCCATGTAAGCTCCTCTGTTTTCCCCTGCAATCGTTATAACTCTCATGCCAGATTCCTCAGAATCCGAAACCTTTCTGTGAACACCTTTCTCCTTCCCAATGACGCGTTTTTCATGATGAGCATTATCGTGATTCTTATGCAATTCGCCAGCGCCGTTGTGCCAGGGCTTGGGCATTTCGACGGTCTTCTGAACTAGCACGGTTTTGGGCTCGGCCTGTTCAGGTATATTGGGCTCGGCCTTGAACTGGGAAGGTGGAAGGGTCAGGGGAGAGGGTGGAGGAGCGGTGGGCTTCTTGTTGGGCGAGTGCATTGGGCTTCGATCGGCTTGTTTGATTGTTTTTGGAGAATGGGTGGGACTTGGCGCGTGGGAACTTTTCTCCGGGGAGGAAGCAGTAGCAGTAGTTGGTGGTGGTTTGCGAGTAGGGGAAGATGTAACTGCTGACTTTTGAATTGGAGAAGTTGGTAGTGAAGTGGACACTTTGTGAGGTTGAGATGAAGGTGAAGTTGAAGTGCCATTCTTTTCTTGAGGAGGTTGAGTTGGTCGAGTCTGTGGTGAGGATGGTGCTGAAGCAGTTCTAAATGCGGGTAGGGGCAGAATATGACGTGCTTCTGGAGCTGGGGCTGGGGCAGGGGCAGGAGCAGGAGCAGAGGCCGGGGCGGGGGCGGGGGCGGGGGTAGAGCGAATGGAGGCTAAACGGAACCATGGACGAACTTGGGGTGGGTTAGCCATGGCTCTTGGATTGGGAACTGTTCAAATGGTGAAGACAGGTTGAAAAAAAAAGCGAAGGGGAGGATAATAATGAACGCACAGGTATATGGTTGGCGCTATATATGTTATTTATAGATCATTAGCTCCCATCCAGTCCCGTAAGGTGAAGAAGGCAGAAGAAAATGTGAAAAAATTTCAACTTGTCCCTTGTTCAAACATACAAAAAGGAAATTTTTGATTCTGATTAGACCGTGCGTGCAAGACATGACTGGTTGAAGCAAAGAACATGAAAGATAAAAGAGGGAATGCATCTGATTCGCTAGGAACCTCCAGCTGACACAAGCTCACAAAGTAAGGTTGGTATCCCTTTGGCTCATTTGGACCCTCCCGTCTATGTTATTTCTGTCTCACTTTACAATTCTTTTACTTCTAGTCCGTACCGCTTCTTACAATTCTCAACAAAAGTATGTCTCTAATACTTTATTCAACACACTTCTTATTATATTAAAATTTATTACAAATTTAAAAATAAAAAGTAAAACAAATATTTTTTGTAGTTTTAAATAAAATTTAACTAATAATAAAAGATATCTTACTACAAATGTGTTAAAGAATATCTGCTAGGATTTTCCATGTTATTTTAAACATTTATAATATATCATCACCATCGTCCACTTGTTTTTCTTGTTTCTTTCCATTTTGCTTTCAATCAAATAAAAAAAATTAATCGTTATCTCTTTTTTTTTTCTTTTCAAACCAAACAAAGCAGGAAATTACATTTCATCGTAAATATATTGTTGCGTTTAATATTAGTGATAATGTATAATAAAAACTTAAAATTTTATATTCATTACTTTCATTAAACCACCGAAAAATATATTTTTGGTATTGATAGTTGTAGCACAATAATTATTACAGCTCATAGCTTCCATCTACTATCCGTGTTTGTCTTGCTATTCACTTTGCTTGCCGACGCGGTGAGGGAGCGATGCTCTCTGGCTTCCACTTTTTCTCTACCTCCTTTTTGTTCTTTTCAAGATGCTTCATGGATGGGGGCTTCCTTTAACGTACGTAACAAAGGGACCAACGGTGGAAACTTCAAACTATCCTATTTCAGCGATTGAGAAGAAAAGAACCTATGTATAAACTGGAGCTGGGTCCTTCCTGTTTATTTATACGTGACTATATATGGAGGGTTCGTGGTTCATGGCTTCTTTCTTTAATTACCCTTTGTTGAGAATGTTTCTCAATGCTTCAAAATAACACGTACAATTATTCTTTAATGTTCGATTATTTAAACCATTAAAAATATGACTGCTTAAATTATAAATAACTTTTTATATGTGTTTTATGTAATTCAAAATATAAAAAGACAGTTTTGAATTCTAATTAAAATTAACGCTACACAAAGCATGGCCTATTCATCATTTTCGCCATTGAAAACGTTCAAAGCAAAGGTCGCTATTTCCAATTTAAAGTTTTCAATGATAGAAACGCGAATTTAATTCTTCTAGAGAAGCTTAGCAAATATTATATTCATAAAACACATCAAAGTCGCCGTTGAGTGGTGATGAGCTTTAAAATTTTAAATTGGAACAGAAGAATTTATTCATAAAATTATGCTTTGCATATATACTTATGTGCATTGAGATTTGATACTGTTTTAAAGCACCGGAAATTAATGTTTTTCGTAAATATAGACATTGGCTGCGTTATACTTTAAGAAACCAATAAGAATCGAAATAATTGCACTCCTCTCTTTTTAAGTTGCCTAATAACATTCGACATATAATGTCAACGAAGTTTGCATGCGGTGCAATCAACTCATAAATTAGAGTAAGACTTCTGTTATTTAAACATCTATTTTAAACACTTATAATATAAATTTATATATATGTCAATATATTTATATATATTCTTTTTATGCCACTTAAACCCTAAAAAATGCAAAGACCCATCTAGTGTGTCTCCATAAGGTGTCAAACACTGGGTATCCAAGCAACCCTTTTTTATATTGTAAAAATCCTGCAAAATTGGCCATATAAAAACTCTAATCCCCCTCCATAAAAAGAAAAAGAATGAAATCACAAGCTTGTGTTAAGCAGTTAGTGCCCTAAGTTAAGGTGGGATTTTAGATATTGTCTAGTTGATAGAGCCTTCGATCAATAAATTTGGGTTAAACATAGTTATTAATTGATAGAATGAGTTGAACATAGTTATTTACTTAAGATGAACTTGGGAGTTATGGATTAACGGAATACAAGTTCGATTCACGAAACAATGTTCAGGTGATAATGCCTTCGATCAACAAGCTTGATAGCAGACACCTGACAAACTCATCAGTTAAAAAGTTTTGTAGTTGATAGTCGTCAAATCAATAAATCAATTGAGAAGGTTATAGCTGAGGAGGATATTAGTTTTATTGGTTAGTCGACAATCAGAAAAGATAGCAGTCAAAACCAACATGGTACATTATTCGGGATCTTAGTCCTGTAAGGTAAAGGGGTGCACTATAATAAAGTGGATTTACATTCATCGATTAAAATTTAACGCGTGAAAAAAAAAATTCGATACTTGTATAATAAACTTTAAAGTTAGTTAAAATTTCCACCACTAATAATTTTTTATTAAAAAAATTATTAGATTTTATCATCTAGACTACACAATCATATTTTAAAGAGGCCAAATCTTATCGTTGAATTTTAATATTAACTAAAGTATCTAATAGTCAATGCATGAGAGTTTGGGTGGTGATGATAACATAATGACAAATGTAGACTTACAAATATTAATTGTACAATATTTATAAAATTATTCGAATCTTGAATACATCAATCAAATACTTTTTTTATATTAAGCACTTGTACAACTTTCTCTGTTGCTTTTCTTTAATATTTTTCTGTTTTCACTTATCTTCAATACAATTGATAGGGGTGGGCAAAAAAAATTAAAATTAACCGACCAAAACCGATGAATCCGATAACTAAAAAATAAGTTTAAGATTCATTTGGATCAGTAATGAATTGATTAATTGAAAAAATCAGTTAAAAGCGGATTAATTTAGTTTAGAGTTTACATTTTTAAATTTATTGAAATCCGAATCTAACTGAAGTATTATAAAATACAATTTTTGTATACTTGGACTTCAATAGTAAAGTTGTAAAACAAGTTCTGAGGCTTGAATTTCAATAGTAAAGCTGTAAAACAAAGTCTGCACTGAGCTCCACTATCCTACTAGGCGTGCCAACAACAATGACAGGCTTGTTCTTCTTGAGAGCTTCTTCCTGCTTGGATTGGTTTGCACCTCCCACAAGTTGCTAAACCACTTTTCCGTTATCCATTCCTAGTACCTTCTCAAACTCCCTCACTATCTGCATTCCAAGCTCCCTAGAAGGAGCAATAATCACTGCTTCTATTCCCAACTTTTTCCCACTCTCACCACCATTACCATCGCCTTTGGGAATTTTGTCCTTCAACGGTCCAACTTTCTCTCGATGATATTCATCAATGGTAGAACCTGTTTGAATTCACTCCTTGAACCCGCAGCTAATTCAACCCGTTACTGACTAAACCCGAGAGAAGATTCAAATAGAAGCGGTGATAAATTTTTATCAATTTGATTCCTTCGGTTTTAAATTTTGTAAGTCCCAACCCACCCGAACTTCTTGATGCCCAGCCCTAAATACAAACTTATGGGACACATCTGATATTCACTCTAGCAGGTTCTAGAGTAACTTGGTTAACCCATAACTGAAGAACAAAGCCTCTCCCTTAACAAAATTGTCTAATCATCAAGGAATCATTGTTATATTTGTAATCACATAATTTATTCGACTCTTTACTTAAGGTGATATACAGTATTTAATCACAATCTCAATACTTATTATTTCATTTCATAATAATATAACTTCTCATTTTATTTTTCTAAAATAAATCCCCCGCTTTAAAAAAATTAAAATATATAGTGTATAAAAAGAGACATGTCCTTTTTCTTTCCATTGATTCCTTTTTCCTTTTTTGTCATGGACATAACCGCCAGGTATTTCAGAAGAGGAAGTAAAGCCATAATTCCACCTCCACGTAAAAACAACAACAAACTTAAAAAACTTTCTCTTTTTTTTTTTTTAAAGATGATTTTTCTTTTATCAGATAAATTAGCTGACAAATGTTGATCGTATAATATTTTTCTTTCATCACATGTTAACTTTTCATCCTACCTTTTTGCATTTTCTTTCCCAAAATAAAAAGATAAAATACTACATGACTATGTTTGATAGGTTTTTATCTTTGAATCAAAAGAGATCATAGCATCAAGTTTGCAATCAACGGAAATGATCTAAAGATATAAGAGCTGACTAAAGAAGAAAGATTCCAAGACAGCCAAAGATATGAAAGTTTCTACGGATATATACTATAGTACAAGTGTTCAATGTTTACTAAATACTTCCTAAGGAATAACAAAGGTGCAGGAGTGCAAGCACTCATTCAATTACGTAATAATGTGAATGTAAGAACCTTTTTATATGCTAATTTATACTAAAGAATGGTGCAATTCAATTATCCAATGCTTCGTTGGCAGAGTGTACATGGATACAGCCTAGAGGAAGTGGAAAATGCCAAAATCTGCATTATTCGATGTTGCCAGAAAGCTGAATTGAAAGTAAAATGCCAGAAAACTTACACACGAGAATTTTACATTCACGGCCAGCTTGTGAACTCGAACACCTTGAATACAATTTCAATTCCAGTGGGAATCTGCCACACAAAAAGCAGAACGTTTAATGCATTCAGCGCGATGTGAAGATTTCTGGCTGTTTCACTTCCTTTTTGCATTGATGGTACTAAGGATGCTGCAAGTGCCCACAACACGGTGATAGCTGGAGGACAAAAATACACACGAGTTATCATTTTCTGCACCACAAGTATAATCCACAAAACTATATATATTGCTTGTTCAACCTGCTTCGAAAGCTACAAATATTCCCAAAATTCCTCAAATTGATTTTTTTTAAATATCTACTTTGTTTATTTTTGTTTCATCAAATGCAAATTTAATCTTTACCTGCTCCTGCAAATAAATGTGGACCAGGAAATAACTTTCCGGTCCTAAACCATGTGTTCACTCCTCCACCAACTGACTCAAGCACCCCAAATCCTAAAAGAATGGACCCTGCATTGAAGTGTCTATCCTTATACGAACCTTTGATCAGCTCTTTCCTTTCCTGAATTAATATGAATATCACATAAATTAGGTGTTCGTCAGATTTTGAATTCAGCATTCACGAGTAGCTCCATGTATTTTAATATTTTGTTTGCTACCATTACAATCCAGCATCCATTTATTAATGAAACGACCACAGCTAAGGAAACAAAAAATAAAGGACACAATGTGACACCATCTAAATTGCTCATGTAGTGATATAAATCAGGGTCCGTTTCATAATTGGAAAAATCTATTTCATTACATGTCATCATATCATTCATCACATTCTTTGGAGATTTTTTAAAAGGGCCCTTAATCTCGTTGTAAATGCATACAATTTAGCTTCTGCACATACAAATAAAAACTTTGATTTCAAGTGTGTGATTGAGTGTTGAATAAAGAGAAAACACAGAAAGGCTTATGTAAACACATATATTGTTTCCACACACAGTGAGATAGCAGAAAGGCTTTATACCAACCTCAGTAAGTTGCTGTATTTGAAGTTCAACTGGTGATGGTGGTGCTTCCACCGGTTTCCCATCTGGGGTGACTGCAGTAGGATTGACTTGTTTCTTGAGTTCATTTATCTCATTCTGGATAGTCCTAACTCGTCTCCATTGCCACCCCAAATACCCTGCCCACAAAGTATACAAGAAAAAAGCACCCATCACAATGGGGTGTATGAGAGCAAATGATCTTCCTTCCAATATCCCAAACTCTCCACCAACAGCAAGTGCATCCTGTGCCAATAACATCATCATCATCATCATCATCATGAAAAAATAAAGAGCAACAAGGCCATCAAGAGCATTATGTATGAAAGAATGAGAAGTGGATCCTTTGCTTGCCTTGGTTTCTGATAAGAATGGAAATGTAATTGCTGTGAGGGATAGAAAACAAGGTTTGAGAGCATTGATATTTTGATCCAAGAAGAGGATAGTAGAATCTTTGGAGATGTTTAATTTGGAAGAGATGGAAGGAAGTGGAACAAATTTAGAGGTTGATGAACGTGGCAGTGGCTTGTCGGAAAGAATTGGAAGCTTAAGAAGAGTGAGCGTGGCGGCCATATGAGTAGGATCAGAGGGAGACAACAACACTGAACTAATGCAATAGTGGGTTGAGGTTGGTTGAAGATGGTACCCAGTAAAAGATAAGGAAGTAGCACCCTCAGATGTTACCCTCCGTTCACTGAGCTTTCTGTGCTCTACATATTACGTCACTATATATATTTTTTAGTAATGTTATTTCCATGAATGCCCCCCCTCTTTTTTAAAAAAACTCTTTTATAATTTTTTATTTTGGAATTTTCGTTTTCAGCGTAGCACTTGTCCGTCATTTTTATTTTCATTTTTCTTTCAATCTCACTCTATCATAAAAGATGTTGTGAAAATAACACTATTCTATATTCTTTCCAAATTAAAAAGAAAACGTCTAAGGAACTGTTTTAATTTATTTGAAATTTAGTGGCTCATTATTTTTATTATTCATATTTAATATTTTTTAAAAATTTTAAACTTCATCCAATAAGCAACAAGCATTTGACTGATTTAAGAGAGGTGTGAGGTAACATAAATTTGTCTATATAAATTATGGCATAAAATGTAGGATGAAGTATTTAGTTATCTTTAATATTTTTAAAATAAATTATTAAGAATAATTTTAAGCATTTAGAAGTATAAAGTTTTTTAATTAAAATATTATTGCATTAAATATACAATTTAATAAATAATTTTCAAATAAAAATATTAATTTTAAATGCTTAAAAATTAACATTAATATTTTTCTTTTAACAATTAAGAAAGTGTGAAATTTAAATATATAAAGAATTAGAATTAGAATTAATAAGACTAAAATTACATGTATAGAAACAAAAGTTAAGTAAAAGTATTATATATTTGGGTTCATACTATATATTCTCATTTAATATACAAAGGGTTACATTTATATACATATTTTCAACAGTACCCTTTTATAACTTATTTTTTATCTCCGTCTTTTTATGATATTATATATCTTACCTCACATTTTTCTTGCTTTTTTTTTCCCTCTCTCTCAGTTAAAACGAGGTGTTTAATAGTGTTGCACAGCCCACTAGATTACGTTCAGCAGTTGCACTAGGATATTTATAATACTTATTTTTATCTTACCGTAAGAAATCAACCTTCACAAACCAGAAGATTAAAATTAAAATTAAAATTTTATTTTTATTTAATATGTTTAATTTTAAAATTTTAACAAATGTCATAAAGTACTTGTTTTTTTAACGAGTAATACTTGTTAATATCGGTAAAAAATAACGTTATAAACCTTTATTTTTCTTTTTGGTCAACAAACCCTTGTATCAAGTGGATGGGTTTTTTTTTGGGTCAAGCTTGTATCAAAGTGGATAAACGTCGAGAATGTGTGCTTTTTAAGTCCGCTTTGATCCGAATGAAACGGAACCAAGGAATGGTTTGGTTAAGTGCTGTCAGGCTGTTGGGCTTATTCATCAATTGGGCCATGCTATCTTTTCAACAATTACGAAAGCCACAAAACCCACTTTTTTAAAGACAAAAAAAAAAATTCACTTGTGTGCTATATAATTTTTAATTATTTTCAGTATTACTTTTATCTGCTTATTGATTTTTTGGATTAATTACGAAAAATAAGGGAAACGCAAAAATCAGTAAACGATGAGTTTATGCAAGACCTACAGTAATGCGATGGTTTTGGATAATTAGATAAGTATTTGGTAAGATTATATCGATTGGCCCATGCTATCTTTTCCATGTTTCTCACTTCAAGTCGCGAGCATTAACTTGAAGTGAGCTTTTGCATTGAAAAAGGTAGTCTTGTCCATGCCCTTAAAAAAAGGGTGTAAAAGATTAAAAGTAGAAGGAAACAGTGTAACAAAACGACGAAGAACTGGGCACTAGCTTAACCTGACTTATGAAGATCACATCATGGGATTTTTCATCATGAGATATCAATCCATATGTCAGTTACGTTGGCTGAAAATTTTGTTCGCTGCATATTCATCATTCTTACCAAAAAGAGAGGACCATACATGGTTTTCGAGGCAAGTCCGACAAGCATGGCTGTCACGTGCAGAGAAAAGAGACAGACAACCATTTTCGGGTTAATTTCTTATTTAGGATTAATTTTTAAAAAATTATTCAAACAAAACATTAAAAAAAATTATTCGGTCTAAAATTATTTTTGACACATAATATAAATTGTTTATTATTTTTTAAATGAGTAACATTTTAACAAGTATTGATATTTACTTTAAAATTTTAAATTAATAGTTAGAGTAGAGGATGTCAAGTAAAGCTATTAAGGTTGTGCTGATAAATCCCTTCTTCCTTTTATTTTTTTTTTTCTTTTTCATTATCATAAAAAATATAGAGATCGAATAAGTTCTATATCAAAAATTTTGTAAATGAGTGAGAGAAAAATTTATTTTTTTAACAACCATGAAAATAAAAAAAATTAACAAAAAAAAGAAATATTCATACTAGTTATGTAGATATAACTTAACTTTGACTAATATTCATACTAGTTATGTAGATATTATCGAATATTGCGTCATGTGACATACTCTACTTCTAATTATTTATTTAAATTTTTAAAATAAATATAATCATTTGAAGGATATTTATTTAAAAAATTAATTATGAACACGTTAAAAATACTCTAAATAGAATATATATTTTCAAATATTTTATTTGGGTAATTTTTAAAAATTAACTCTAAATAGAAAATTAATTTACCATTTTGTAAATAATTCTTAAGACTTGTTAGTCCCACACATAATATAAAAAACAAATATAATTTATATGTTTTTTTAACTATTTTTATTTATTAAATTGTTTATTATTTTAAAATATTACTAATTACTATTATTTTAATTTTTATTTAGTAAAGATAGGTTTATTAATTAATTATTATATTATTTCTAATATTTATTTTATATTTTTATTAATTAATTAATAGAATATTTTAAAATTTTAATAGAAATGTTTTAATAAAATAAATTTATTTTACTGTAAAAGTTAATCAAATAAATTTTTATGTGTACAGTTATTAAGTGCATCAAAGTGAGAAAAAATAAATGTTTTATTTATTTATTAAAATATTATAATTTATCTTATAACTTATTATAGCTTATTCTCTAATATAAAATTTACCTTATAAAAATTTGAGTTAACATGATAATAAAATGTATTTAATTGTTATTTTAATATGTTTTGATTATAAAGTGAAATAAATAGTAATAATGTAATATTATCACGTAACATGAGTTTTAAAAGCAAAATAGTACATTATGCGTAACTATTGATTGTTTTAAAATTCTTACATATACGTTAAATTATTTAATTTCTTATTATCATAGTTGATTAAAAACAACAAAAAATTAAATTATTTATTATTCAATCATCAAGTACACAAATTAATTTATATGAGTTAATTTTTAGTTTGATTTGTAATCTAAATTTTAATAATATAACTTATTAAATAATTTTAAAAATTTGTCGCTGGTACGCAAATCAGTTTAGGGAAAAATTAATAAAAGCCCACCACCAATTACATAATTAATAATCAGAGCGATAAGATTTGATTGATTGAATGTACTATGTCTTGGTTAGTTTATATTAATGCTGAAATTATGGTTGCCAAAAAGACATAAAAAATATATTTTAACGTGGGAAGTGCAATTAGTATGATATTGTCAGGTAGTGTCGTGTGATATAATTTACATTGACAAAGTTTTTTTTTTTTTTATATGACACAATAGTTTCTATTATTTGAATAAAATATTTAGTTCAATATAAAGAATATTGCTAAGATAAATAAGTATTTTTACTTCCAAATTTGACCTTTTTAGAGTATTTTTACTGTCAAAAATTATTTTGTTTGAATAATACTAAGTTTGGAATAATACTAAAATGGTCATCAATGTTCCTAAATGAGGTGATAAATTAAAATAAAATGTCCATAGTTTTGATAATTATGATTAGCGTATTTTATTCAATACTTATTTTCCGGATAAACATACCATAAACGATTAAAAACATTAGCTATAAATTGCAATTAATGCATAATATAAAATGTTTGGTTGAGTTGAAACAATTTAAAATATAATTTAATTAAAATATATTTTTTACACTATTATCTAATACAAAGTGACACGTTAGAATTATAAAGATTTAAAATTATTATTTTAAGAAATATAATATATCTAATTAACTGATAACATGATTTTTTCATGGACAATGTATTAAAAGTAAACTCTTTAAAATATATTCCAAATTCATTAGTATAACATATGTAGTGTTTTTTTTAAATCTAGATTCATTATTAAAATTAGCTTAAAGATAGATTAAATTAGTAAAATGAAACAAGTCGTGAACAATTCTATTTTATAACATCGAACTTTCCTACCCCTCCCATTACATTAATGGATATTGTTGATTGCAACATCGGTGGGCTCGCTATTCCCTGGTAAGTGTTACTCTTCATAATAGGAAAAAGAAAACTCTCGAACGGTTTACATTAACACATTTGTCGGATTACTGTTGATTTCATGATTGATTTGCAGAATCATGCATGTCAATTCAAAACAGATCCCATGGACCCGGAAATGTTTTCTTTACGTGTGTTTATAAGCTAGGCTTGAAAAGGGAAGAGATGATAAATATTTTATTTTTAAATTTTAACAAATATATACAATATTTATAAAATTCAATTAATATTTACGATACAATTTGTATTTTTTTTTTCGCTTTTGAAATTGCTTAGGACAAACTCAGAAAAAGCACAAGGGAGCAGCATTTCAAAAGAGCATAGGGCGTGATGCTTTTGGGCAATTTGCACGAATCCAATAAAATAGCAGATAGTTCCAAATTTCCAATCTTAGATATGGAGTTGAAACAACAGGGGCGAGTGCGTTGGTGATGTGTATGCCTTCCTTCGGAGGTTCTTTATTTACTCGGCTCAGTTAATAACGCAGGGATAGAGCGCGAGTCAAAAGAAACGATGAGGCAATTTTTTTAAAACAAAAAGTAAATGAAAAAACCTTAATTAGTGCAATTGATTCGTTAAGGTCTTTGTGTAAGCGGTCATTTGTAAATATAATTTTTTTAATGAAACTTGGTGCTATACTAACTTCAAAATAGAGCAATATTTTTCCTCTTGTTTCATTTTTTAAACCAATAAATAAAATTATTATCCAAAAACTAAAAAACAATTAGCGTGAAAAGGCATGCATTTTATATAAAAAGTGCTTTTAATTTTATTTAAATGGTATTCAGATTATTTTTTTAGATAAAATAATTGGTTCATGCACATGTGAAAGAGAAATATTTAATATAACTTTATTTTATTTTTTTTATAGTAACTGGTATTTTTTTTAAACCTCACGCACATAAATTTTAAATCCATTTAAGTTATATGTGACTTGCATTTTTAAATATTAAATTAATATTTATTTAGTAGTTATTAACACAATCATTAGTATCCTTAAAATTTAAAAAGACTGAATTTCTTAATATAATTAAAGTTCCTCGTGTAATATATAACACTCAAATTAAAGTATTTTAGTGTCAATTTTTTGGCACAATGATTTAAATAATATAAATTTTAAAAATAATTACCAAAATAAAATAAAATAAAAAGTTATTCTCTGTTTGGGACAAATTTTTGCCACGTAAGCACTGGTTTCGATTTAAATTAGACAGAATTAATTTATGAAATTTTTATTTAATGGTTTTGCCCTAAATTTGGGCGAAATGTATAAAATTTGAATCATCCTTTCTCGCTCCCTGAGTCAGGCGAAATAACCTTTTTGCCTAACTCAAGGACGAAATCACATGATTGGCCCACGTGTCGGCGAAGCGACGGACCCTGCGTCTCCTTCTTCCCTTTTCTCCTCCGCGTTTCAGTTACGTAGATCCTCCATTTTTTCCGTTCAGCGAGTTGAGAGGGTCCTTTATTATCATTTGAACGTGATTGGTGAGTGAGATTAATAATTCAGTGCAGAATTGTGTCCAGATCTGCTTGGTTTGCAGCGATTGAAGGTGTTTTTGACTGAAAGATTAAGGAGGTTGAGAGTAATACATAGTTTACCGTTAACGGAGAAGAAAGCTAGCCGAAGGTCACCGAAAAAACGCCGCTGCCGTCCAGACAACTTGCTGGTGTCAGTGGGAGTCCTCTGTCGCCGAAAATCGCCACCTTCGACGCTGAAAATCACCACATCAGATCCAGAAATCTACCAGGTTTTTTCATTTTTAATATAATTTATTTTTTTATTTTTTTATAAATAAAAATACTTGTAATGTAATAAAAAAATTTATTGTGACCAAAATTTTTATAGTAAAAATAATATTAAAAATAAAAATTTTATAACTAAATTTATTAAATTTTTAGCTTGTAAAAAAAATAACAGAAATATTGTAATTAAAAATGTAATTGAAATAATTTTTTTAATTTTATAAATATTAAATAATAACTATAATTTTGTAAAATTAAATATTTGTAGTAATATTTAGTATAAAAATTAAAGTTGTATGTAGAATTATTATAGTAATTTGATGTATAAATTTAAAAACAACTAAAACTTAATTTAAAAAAATTAAATACAGTAATAAATAGTTGAATAAAATTTAGAATAGGAAAATAAAAAATAATTGTAAATGATAATTAGAAAAATAGTGTATGAAACTTATAACATAAATTTTGATTTTGATTTATATTACTATAAAATTAAAGTAGACAATAATTTATATTAAGATTATAGTAGTAAATATTTGACTATATAAATAATTGCAACCCAAAAATATAATTAATATTGGTTAATAATGATGAAATAACAAATTTAGTTATGTAATTTAAATTATTAGAGTGATATTAAATAGTTTTGAATAAAAAGTTTTATTTATATAATTTAATCTATGCTAAAATAATAAAATTAGTTACTAATAATATGAGATTAAATTATTATTACAGTGTTATTTATGAAATGAGATTAAATTATTTTAAATAAATAATATAATTGTTAATGAAATAAAAAAATAGTTATCTAAAATAAATATTTAGAGCGCTATAAAGTAGTTGAGATAAATTATTTATAATTATATAATTTAATTTAGAAAGAAAAAAAAACAAACAACTTGTTAATTAGTGTTATTATTGTATGATGAATTTTAATGATTAAATTTTTTAATTAATATAGTCATTTATTTTGATGTACTAAGTTAAAAAATTTGTTAAATATAGGAGAAATAATCATTAAATATATATACATATTTTTAAACAAATTACCAATTTATTTAGTCAAATTTTAAAAATTGGTTATGAAACACTGTATTTAATTTTATTTGTATTCCACTAAAAAAATGTTATAAATAGATTTTGTATTTGAATAATGTGATCAATTAAGAAAATATTGTGGTATTATAGTGATGGTTGTTATGAAATTTGTTTGTATAATTTATATTCAAATTTAAATTGTTGACCATATTAATTTTTATAGATAATTAATATTTTGTATATTTGAGTTGATAATATATTATTTGTAAGTCTTAAATAAAAATGGTTGAGTTTCATTTACATGTGTCCTCTTCTTGAGTGTTTTATCTCTATTTTAGATGAAATAATTAATTTTAAAAAAAATTAATTTTGTCTGGTTTAAATATAAAATTACTACTTACGTGGCAAAAATTTGTCCCAAACAGGAAATAAATTTTTATTTTATTTTATTTTAGTAAATATTTTTTAAATTAATATTATTTAAATCATTTATCCCAATTTTTTATATTCTCATTAGTAAATTAAGTCGATGAATACAATGGGAAGGTTATTTCCAATTAAAGTCTTACGTTTTTAATAATTAAGACTTAATTAACAGATACAATATATAAAAAATAGTAAAATGTAAAAAATAACCTATCCTATTAATTATACAAATTTTAACAATAAAATAATTTAATAAAATTATCATGTTCTATTCTCTTACTTTATCTATCAAATAAATTATTAAACTTAAAAAAAAATATTTATTCAAGCATAATATCAGTGAAACGAATATATACTTAACTTTTAAGATTAGAAAAATATATATGCATAATATTATTAAATAATTTTACTTTTAATAATGTTAATGCCTTTAAAACATAATTTTTTGAATGCATAATCAATGACACGTGATAATAAATTAATAATTAATAAATTTTTATAAAAAAATTACAACACTTAATTTTTATACCGTATTGAATTAAATAATATTATATACTTTTCAAGAATAATTTTGAATGTGTATATATATATATATATATAAACTTTTATTATGTGTAGTTAAGCATAAATTTGAAAAATTATTTAACAAATGTTATCAAGTTTTGAAAATGACCAATTAAAGAAACAAAACATAGATACATTTTTAAAATAAAAAAGCAAAAGCAGAGAGAGAAGATAATTAAAAGGAGAAACGAAGTAGATTAATAAGGCAACCACCGACCTCGCAATTAATATGGAATTTGGAGACATTGCGAGAAAGAAAAGGCAAACTAAAACGTCGTCGTTACAAGGACAAAAGGAGAACAAGGACATGGAAAGTTCATGATCTGAGCACACAAGCGAACAATGGAGCTACTTTAAGAAAATTTCAATGAAGTGTGGGTTTCTTGTTAAGCTTTGGGAATTCAAAGGACTCAAAATAATATTCAAATCGAACTCAGCTTGTGATGAAAAGTCCAAGCATGACACGAACACTAAAAAGAAGGAACCATTTGGGTTTTCCATTGTGCGTGGCAGATAATTGGTTAGCAGGCATGCACGCAACTTTTCTCATAACTTACAAGTAGTTGATTAGGGTAAGTTAAGTTGCCTGATTAAGATTAGAGCTAAGCCCCAAAAAATAACATATAATTTTACTCAAAAATAATAATAACAATGAAAAGCGTGTTCAGACATTGAGCACGTGACAGGTTGAAATAATAGTAGAAAGCATATAATTTAATTTCTCTAAGATGAGAAGACAAAAGTGTTTATATATTTAATTAATTTGACTTAACAATTAAAGATCGAATATAAAAAAGTTAAGAAAACTTACCTAACCTAAGACATTATTTTTTAATTAGACTAAACATATTTTTTTTCAATCAAATTCCATCCGCGAATCACCTTGTAAGAAAATTTGTAAATTATAAATGTGAGAATCTATTTACTCTTAATTTAAATTCAAATATTTTATAAATATAACAACTAACTTCAAATCAATAATTTTTTATATTATTAATAAAAATTTTTTTAATGATTTATTATTAAATTATGATTATACATTATCATGGTTATTTATGTTAAATTTAATAAAAATATAATAACAAGAAAACAATTAACTATATTTTAATTCATAAAATTCATATGATTTAAATACGTATTAAAATCTCACAGATAAGGGTTTTTTTTCCTTGTTTTTTTATTTTTTCATAAATTTTAAATATTTGTAAAATAATTTATTATTTCTTATTAATGTAACATAAACATAAAATAAAGGATAAATATCAAGTTATTTTAAGAATCACTCTTATAAATGTTATTCTATTTAATATTTTTTTATAAACATTAAATTTTGTCAATTAAATAATGCGATATTAACATATTAAATTGTGTATATTAAATTTTAGATAAATTGAATATTTATAAATATATAATTTTAAATTTATTATTTTCGTAAGCTAGAAATAAGAGAAAAAGAAAGGAGAGGAAGGAGTAGATATCGAATTTGAAGGCAAGGATTATTAGATAATGGCTAGCTGGAGTGGATTAATTTATTTATTTGAAAGATGAAAATTATGAATCAGATTAGAGCAATAGAGCCGATTCTGTTAAACAAGATAAATTCTTCACTCCACAACCTCATCCCAAAAGAAAAAGGCTTATCTAGTAAGGAGCAAGAAGCGGTAACCAAATTTGTTAGGTAGCTGCAAGAATTGAGACGAGAATGAATTGAGGCTGGAGAGAGTAGTCGTAAGGAATAAAAGGAGGGTTCGGTTCCCCCCTACACCTTAACCTACCCTCTCATTCTCAACAGCAACCATCACCATCAATCGATTCGATTCTGAACACTTGGCACTCAATTTCAGAACAACCCCTTTCCCCTTCCCATTACCATTCCCACAATCCAAACATGGTTTTCTGAGATTATCCTCTCCGATCACCATCTCCATCATGATACTTTCCAACCCCATATTCCTCACAACCCTCGCCGCCGTTTTCCTTTTATTCATGGTTAGGGCCATGCTCCTCCAAACGGGGCGCGCAAAGAGATTATGGAGAACCATCGAAGATTGGTTCCACGTGTACCAATTCCTCAAAGTCCCAGAACGCAACGAAGTCCCGCAGGCGCACCTCAACCCACTCTACAGTAAGCTCTCCCTTTACTTGCATTCCTTGCCTTCCATCGAAGACTCAGACTTCATCAACCTCTTCACTGGCAAAAAGCAAAACGACATCGTCCTCTCCCTCGCCCCCAACCAAATCATCCAGGACCATTTTCTCGGAGCCACTGTCTTCTGGTTCAACCAAACCGGAACCGAAACCGAAACCAGAACCTTCGTTCTAAAGATCAGAAAGGTGGATAGGCGCCGAATCCTGCGTCCATATCTGCAGCACATTCACGCCGTTGCTGACGAAATCGAGCTGCAAAGGAAGCGCGATTTGCGCCTCTTCATTAACGCCGATTCCTTTGGACGCTGGAGATCCGTTCCCTTCACGCACCCCTCCACGTTCGACACCATCGCCATGGAATCGGATCTCAAGAACAGAGTCAAATCCGATCTCGAATCGTTCCTAAGAGCCAGACAATACTACCACCGACTTGGCCGGGTCTGGAAACGGAGCTTCCTCCTCTACGGGGCCTCCGGCACCGGAAAATCGAGCTTCGTCGCCGCCATGGCTAATTTCCTCTGCTACGACGTGTACGACATCAACCTCTCCAAGGTCCCTAGCGATTCCGATCTCAAATTCCTCCTCCTCCAAACGACGCCGAAATCGGTTGTGGTCGTCGAGGACTTGGACCGGTTCCTGGCGGAGAAATCGACGAGAGTGAGCTCGTCGGGGATACTTAACTTCATGGACGGCCTTCTCAGTTCGTGTTGCGGCGAAGAGAGGGTGATGGTGTTCACGATGAACACGAAGGAGCACGTGGACCCGAACCTGCTTCGCCCAGGTCGGGTCGATGTCCATATCCATTTTCCGCTTTGTGATTTTTCTGCGTTCAAGACGCTGGCGAGTAGCTACCTTGGGGTTACGGAGCACAAGTTATTCCCTCAGGTTCAGGAGATTTTCCAAAGCGGGGCGAGTTTGAGCCCGGCTGAAATCGGTGAGTTGATGATCGCGAACCGGAACTCCCCGAGTCGGGCCATCAAATCGGTCATCACTGCCTTGCAAACGGACGGTGATGGCAGAGGGTGCGGGTTGGTCGGACGGCAGACAGATGATGATGACGTGGACGAACCTAATGCGGTGGTGTGCGGGGAGGGTCTCCATACGGTTAAGGATTTGCGGAAATTGTACGGTTTTTTCAGATTGCGGGTTGGCAAAAAATCTTTGCCGTCGAATACTTCCTTGCCCGCAAGCCCATTGCGATAAGTGAGTTGAAAAACAAGGTGCAATGTTCTCTCCATTTGAGGGCAAACCTTTTTTTGTTCATGGCCAAATTACTCCTAAAATTATTCATTAGATGTAACATTGGGACTCGTTGTCCTTTTAGGAGTGATTTGCATGCGAATGTAAATAATTAGAAATAGATTGATAAATTGCATATATGAAAAGAATTCGCATAGGCAAAAGAAATTATCCTGTAGAGTTGTTTCCTCCTTTTGGTGAATTGTGAATCCACTTTCATGTATAGATTTTTTTTTTACAAAAAAAAAAAAAATCCTTCATGCACAGTTGAAATGTCTCTCCCTCCCCCCTTCGTGCTGTTCTTGATATTTGTTTCTCCTTATAAGAACGATGTGTATATATTAGAAGTTACCATTTAGTTTTACCAAATTAGAAAATTTCTTGATCTTATTATTTGGGTTAGATCGATTACTTTAAAGCGTGTTTGGTTCACTTAAAAAATTAGAAATAATTACATTTTTTACTTACTTTACGAGAAAGCTGTGGGAAAAATTTTATTTCTAAAATAATTGATTTCTAAACAAAGCGCTTATTTTGAAAGCATAGAACTCACTTACATATATGACCGTGATGAACAGGTCATTAAACTTTTGATTACTATTTTCATAATACCCCATGGCGATTTTGATTTCAGTTTTTTGTTGTTGTTGTTGTTGTTGTAAACTATCTGACAACAGTTTTGTAATCTTTGATATAGCAAGGTGCGTAAATTGAGGGTGGGGAAGTCATCAGCAGTGAATTCACAGTGAAAATCATTTTATAAAGTAAATGGCTTTCATATATATTACATATCATGGAATTAAAATGAAGTTTACGGAAGTGGGAAAATAAATTATAAAGAAAATATACTTTTAGTCCGCCATGTTTTTAAATAGATCCAGGTGTGATTGCGGACCAAATTATTGGTCACACTCTGTTTAGTTTTCTGTCACAGAATGTGATCGAACTCCTCCAATCTTATTTTCTCCCAACTTAGTGATATGTACTCATTTGGCCTTTCTTCTGTCAAGTCCACCTCTGTTGTCTTTAGGCTCAAAACGGCCAACTAAGACCAGGAAATATCATTTACATTACTAAATTAGGCTCTTACTTTTCCACAAGGGCATCTTACATGGTCAATTATCTGATAAGAACCATCAGAAAATTTCAGTAATTGTTCTTTCCGGCGCCTGTTAGACACTTAAATGGTGTTAAACTATATCATGATTCATGGCATGCAGTCAGATTTTGAAGGGTCATCATATATTTTGATTCTTTGCTCCATCATCCCTTTTCCATATTCTAAGCATTGGTCCGCTACCAAGCATCTTAGGTGATGACAGCAACTCAATTACTGGCCAAATGTATAACTTCGACTCTTTTTTATTGAATTGATTTGGTCATGTCTTTTTTTATTCCCCCCGCCAAAACTTATATGATTATAGTTTTGGAATAGAATATATGTATGCATGACGAGAGATGTGTATGTGTGACCGTTCGTATAAGAATATATTTTACCAATAATAATTTTAGTGTATATTATTCTTAATTTAGATCATTATTATTTTTTATTCTAATAAGATTACTTCTTGTAAAAGATGCTTGCAGTCTAAAATTTATTATTATATTTTAGCGTAAATTAACAAGAGGAGTGACTATAATTTAACCCTTGCTCTGACAAAATTTTTAAATAAGCTGAATTTTTCATCATGAGTATTATGAAAGTATTTGGTAATATAATACTGTAATTTATTTAAAATTTTATATATTTTTAAAAAATCATAAAATCTATTTCATAAATAAAAAATTATAACTTCTGAAAGTGAGTTTATAGTTTTTAAAAGATAGTTTATAATTTAAATGTACACAAAAGGTTGTTATTTTTTCAGCTACTTAATACATTTCAGTTAATTTTATAATTAATTTTTAAAAAAATATTAATTTGATAAGCTAATCATGAACTATAAACTATAAATTTTAAGCTAATTTATGAATTATATAAACTTCTAATAAGTTTTACAAAAGAAAACATTTGTTAAAATTTGTGGGGGATTAAATAAACAATGAACACGAGGAGGGGACAATGGCTCATCTACTGTAGAGAAAAAGGGAAAGAAGAAGTGTAGTCATAATTGACTCCTCAGTGCCTCTAGACTCCGGGCATGGGCCATTAGTGATTTCCTACTAAAGGTGACCATACCTACAATCTAATGCAAATGGCAGAAGGTAAGAGAAGAGCCTAGCTTCCTTGAGCTCTTTAACTTTGATCATGGCATGCCCAACCATTTTCCTCTCTCTGCAGTGATTAAGCCTCCGTATCTATATCAATTTCCAAAAGCAATAATGGATTGGAAGCAATGTTCAGCATCATGCCAGCTAGGGTGGTTGTTGTAAAGTAAAATATCAGTGCTTCTCATGGATTCATGAAGTAAAAGGGACACCAACCGAAACCACCCATACCTCTGCCCGGCAATAAAAGACAGGGCAATCCACCATCATACCTCACTTACACAGGACTTGATGAGTAGCATTCTGAGCTGCATTTGTTCTAGCAGAATATTATGATCCCTTTTTCTTACTTTTAACTGTCACGAGTGATTTTAAGCATTTAGAAGTAGTAATTTTTATTGTGAATGAATACATTTATTACATTAAATATATATTTTAAATAAATTATATTATTTTTTAATTTTTTAAAAATAATTCTAAGAGTAAATTAATATTTTTATACCTTTATTTATTGCAAAGTTTGTATAAATAAACCGCTCATTTTTTATTTGATATCAATTTGATCATTTAATTCTATAAATATATTTAAAATAAAATATATAAATTTATTTCTTTCAGTTGTCTTGAATATATATATATATATATATATATAATATAATATAATATAATATAAAAGACACTTTTTATTAGTTTTAACAAAAAAAGTTATAAACGGGACAAAAATAGTTTAACAAAATACATTAATTTATAGGATGAGGGAAATATACACTACTCGTCAACGATTTTTTTTTAAAAAAAAAACCAATTTTTTAAAGTCAAGTCAAGCTCTTCTTCAATAAAATTATAAAATATTGCGTACGATAAATTGTTTATTAGTCCATATAAATAAATAATGATATATTTTATTATTAATTTTATTTTAATTGATATTCTTTTACCATATGATCATTTGAAATTCGTCGGAGACATAAAAGGGTACCGAAAAGAGAGGAAACATAATAAATATTATGAGTAATGTGAAAAGAAATTCAAGTGAGTATTAAAATAGGAATTCAAAAAGTTCATAATTGATAAAGATACACTCTCTCATTCTCATGTATGGGATAATTGTTTGTGATTGTTTCTTAAGATTAATCATGACTGTCTATTGGTTCTTTTTCAAGTAAACTGAGAAGTTAGTTTCTATATTATTATTCTGCATGCTATGCGCTGGAATGAAACATAATATTAAGTTTTTAATTGCTGAATCTGTCTATTCTAGATTTGACAAATTTGGACGACTCTCTGTCATGATAAGTATTCAAATATTTTTGCACAGAAACAATTTAGAGCTAATTAAGTAGGCATTCATTGAACTTTTAAGATAAATAATGCATGACATGCAAGTAACATTGACTACAATCTATAGAAGGTTATACATACTGATGCAGACTTGCCATGGAACTGCAGTGTCAACCACACGCGCATAGACAAGAAGAAAATTATATAGCACATGTGAAGGATTCTTGCACAGTATCATAACCAAGCTGTCCAAGCACACACAAGTTGAACAAGCATGCATCATGTTGTCTATGAATGTGGGAACACAAAATGATGAGCAAATTAAAGCAGAAATGACAAATTGTGAGGTGTGATTGTGATTCAAATTGAAATAATGTAATGGGCCATTGTCAAAACTATAATTGGTTCTATTCTATTTTCTTTTTACGTGGAATCTAAGTATTGAATGTCTTGTGTAGGCACAAAGCAGCGCTGAAACCATAAAATATTGTCAGAAAGAATTCGTAATCATTATGTTTCAGCAATTTTCGACTGATTTATGAACTTAAAATTTTTCTAAAGGTGATTTAGGAGGAAACTTTAGAAGAAAAGAAACGAGAGGATGATAATTTTTTTAAAATAAAAAAATTACATATCATTATAATAATACATAAATAAAATATAAAATTTATGTAAATTTATCATTTAATATTTTTTATTCTGAAAAATGATTAATCTTAAATATAATTATTTTTTTAAAAAAATTCTCTTCTCCATTTGCTATAATCCATTGCTCATCCAATACCTACTCCATATCATTGTATTTGCATCTTTTGGCTTAATCTACAAGGACTACGGTTGATAATTGTTCAACAAACTCTAAGTTCGCCAACAAATAATACGAAGCAAAAAGTGGCACTAAGGTAACTTATAGTTATAATGGAAATAATTGATGACGATGTTTACATATTTTTTTTTCTGGTTTGTCATATTCTCACTATACAAAATTTATCTTTTAATGTGCATGTTTTAGTAACGAATATAAAATTTATTATTAATAATTAATTATTTATGATAATTTTTTTATAGTCACTAATATTATTAATAATAATAACTTAATTAAAAATCATCACTAATAATAAAAACATATTAATTATAAATAATTTAATAATATATAATATTAATTCTTAAGAAATAATTTTTAAAAATATTAATGTTTAAGAGTAGTTTTAAAAAAATTGGCTCAAAAGAGTATAAAAATGACTTTATAATTTTGTTTTTTTTAAACTATATTTCATGGGTTTTTTTTTTTACATTAAATATTTAATTTTTTTTCAAATCGATCAGTTTATAATTTACTCAATTTTTTTTTTATCTTTTTGCAATAATTTTTTTTTTATAATTGATCATGTAAATCATTAACATGAAATTATTTTAATCTAATTATTAATTTTAATTATCATCATTTAATTATTATATCGTTACATTCTTAAAAATTTATTAATTAATTGATTTATATTTACTAATATTATTTTTTTTCTTAACTGCAAGATTATGAGAGTAATTTTTATTTTATTTTAGTTGTTTAATTTAATATTAATTTTTTTTATTTTAGAATTTTAATATATTGATGATATATTTTAATTTAATTTATAATTTTTCAAGTGTAAATTTTTATTGGATATTTATTTATTTAAATTTATGATTTAACATATGCCTTTATAATTTATCATTTATTATTTTAATTTATATTCATTTTATTTGAAATATAATTATTATAATATAATCACTTTGATAATACTATAATCACTATATATGTAATTTGTTTACTGCCAAACCAACCGATCCTTGATAGAAAAATGGGACACATCAAGTGTAATCTAGTTCAACTTTAGCCAATTGTTAGTCTAAACCAAGCTTAATTCTTGAGCAATTTTCAGTTCTTTGTTTATTTAATTTAGTCATATCTGATTTTTAAAAAAGAAAAAGAGTAAAGGTTGGTTTAGGTTAACAATTGGCTAAGGTTGAATTAGATTACACTTGATGGGTCCCATTTTTCTATCAAGGATCTGTCGGTTTTCGGATGAAAGGTTTGAACAAATTTTATATTTAAAAGTGCATGATTCATGTCAAATGGCTAGTTTCACGAAAATGTCTATAAGGATAGCCTCGTCAAAGGAATGATCTAAGCTTATATATATATATATATATATATATATATATAAATTATTTTCTTCTCTGTTTTGTTATGTGGTATTTGCCTTTTTTTTTTCCGCAGTTGACCCTTAACAGTGTACATAATATGGGCCATGTTTATTAAAGCCCAACAAATTATTGGGTCAGATTTGGAGTTCCCAAAGGCGATCTCAATTGTAAAAAATTGCTCGACCAAACAAAAAGTTCAAGACCCTTTAAAAGAACACTCGGGTAAAAAAAAAAATCTAAAATAGAAAGAGAAATGCAAGTAAAAATAAAATCTTATATTTTTTTTACTTTAAAAGGTACAAACAATACATCAAATTCAATGTTGTTGCTTATATCGGTCACAATCAAACTGAAGCAAGATAAGTGCTCTTCAATTCTGTTGTCTTTGTTACTGTATGTAATTTTCACTCCTCTCTCTCCTTATACTTGGATCTCAATAAGTTGTTGATCAACAAGAACACGAAGATAATCTGTTCATGTCACTGATTTCCAATTCAGCAGCTGAGATTATATCTATTTTTGACCCTTTAAGAGTGGCAACATTGTTGTCATCCTTGGCCTTCCCATTACAACATTGCAATGACCTTTTGGAGAATACCCTATGGATCTCTTCGAGCAATTTGTAAAAAGCACTATCCACATTTTCACCACTAAGAGCTGAAGTCTCAGAGAAGAAGAGACCCTGATCCTCTGCAAACTCCACTGCATCTTCAGCGTGTACCACTCTTTGGTCCACAAGGTCACCTTTGTTTCCAATTAGCATGATCACAATGGAGCTATCAGCGTGTGCTCGCAGCTCCTCAACCCACCTTGCCACATGATCAAACGATTGTCTTTTAGTTATGTCGTACACCAACATTGCCCCTAATGCACCTCTATAGTATGCACTCGTCACTGCCCGGTACCTACATCACCAACAAATTTTACACATGTATAAATGCTACCACATTTTTATCAATTTTCTGCACCATAACAACCAACTTTCTTCCATGTATTTTATCATTTTTTAACATATTTCTGTTGACCTTTAAGGAATACTCAAACAACACATCCTCCCTTCACAAAAAAAAAAAACAAGATCCCGGATTTCACTCTTAGATTGAAATTTTTTTATTAGTTGTTAGTTATTTTTTATTAATTTTTTCTATTAAAGATATAGGAAACAGAATAAATGATTTAACTAATTAATTCTGTTAAAGCAGCCAACTCTCAATATAATTTCCTTAGATCATAAAAAAAAAACAAAATTAGGGCGATTTATCTAACTCAACATAATCAAGTTTTCACTTTTTTTGCATAGCTTACGACTATAATATTTTAAAAAATTCGCGAAAATCTTGAAGACAAGCGGAACTCTATATAAATTTCTTACATCTAAGTAGATCTCCATTAAAAGGAAGGCCCAGTTTGGGATTTTAAATTGATTAGATTTAGGTAACCTTTTTAAAGACTGGGTATAGTCAGTGTTTGGAATCTGACAAATTAGATGAGCTAACTTCACATGCAAGAAGTATCACATTCTTCCAGAATTGTTGAGAATCTCCCTTTGTAGAATAGTGAGGTAATTTTTGGACCAGATCAGAAAAAGGAAAATGAAAATCCGTACAACCAAAGTCCACAAGCCAACATCAAGTAATGTGCTTGGACCAGTGATGGTAGGATTCACAAGTCAAATTGAGATCACATTAATAATAATATTCAAGTCAGTAACATTATGGAACTTGGTTACATTCAAGGGATGGACAAATAAACAAAGAGATATGAAGCATGAGAGGGAGAGAGAGGAGGTGAACCTTTCTTGGCCAGCAGTATCCCAGATCTGGGCTTTGATGACTTTGCCATTAATTTTGACAGTTCTAGTCTGAAACTCAACTCCAATAGTGGACTTTGAGTCAAAGCAGAATTCATTCTTTGCAAACCTTGAGAGTATTTGAGTCTTGCCCACTGCTGAGTCCCCTATCACCACCACCTTAAAAACATAATCTATTTTATCGTGTACATTTTCTTTCACCCTCTCAGCCTCAACTCCATTCATCTCCTGATTCATTTTCTTCCCAAGACTAGCAATAAGGCACTTTTTTCTTGCAAAAACTTGGCTCTAAAACATTGGCCTTAGTCTTTCTTTGCAAAAGATACAATTGATCTAAGAATTGGTCGTGGAGGTAAGTAGGAGAAAGTAAAAGGAATATGGAAAAGGTTGGAAAAGAGATGAACGAGACAATTACCAGTGTTGAATCACTATTAGCAAAAGAAAGAAATAGGCAAGGAAATGGCCCGGTCTTTGTCTCCCCTTAACGCTTTATCAAATTAAATGCACCACACCAAATATAATATTAATATGACAATATTGTGGGGGCATTATTACCTTCTGCAACTGAGATATCATTGTGTGTAGCAGTTAAGCACACCCACGTAAGGTTCAATTCTTTACTAGCCTAATATATATATATATATATATATATATATATAAAAGGATACAGATAATTAATCAAAATTTCCTTGAGGTTGTGATGCTTGGGATTGAGAATTTGTTTGATTTATTGAGTGGTTGAATTGTCAAGTTCATATTAATTTGATCTTAATTTCTGATACAATCAAGCTCATGCCTTTTTAAAGTTTTTTTTAATGATTTCTCCATGCGTACATTTTTTTTGGTTATTTGTATCTATCAAATGGCTCCCTAAATTCAGTAAACTGTAATTATTCAAGGGCTTCTTGAAGAGCTTGTTTGCATCATTGAGCGAAAGGGTGGTGGCTCAGAACATTGGCGAAACAGCTCATACACTAGTACTAATATTTATTAACTATTTTCTAACTTGGATATAATGTTGTCAGATATCCGTTCTGCCTGTATCATGATGAATCTCAAGTGTTGAGATACGGAAGAACCGATAGATTTTTTTAAAAATAAGCAAGAAATGAAAAACTATAGAACTCGAGGTGAAAACATATATAACAAGACAAACCATATTTGTTTTGTGTACTGCTTAATTGAAGTATCTACAAAATATAGATTTCTTATTAGAAAATATGCAATCTTAGATTGGATCATGTTCCTCAATTAACACGAATCAGGGACTGAGATCATCGTTGGTGTTTTGTATTTGCTCCATGTACAATTGTTATCTAGGTAGTTATTATTTTTTTCTGGGAAACAAAAAACATTTTGACAAGCGATAAGGTACTCGTGAGTAGCATGAGCATGGCCTACCATTTGTTCCAGCCACACATGATGGGATCTGAATTAAACATGGTTCCTCGGAGTGGCCCATGCAAATGGAAGAAACATTCTTTAAATCAAATTGCAGGGACGGAACAATCAATACAGTAGCACAAATCTTGGGATTTTCTGCACCGACAGAATTGGCATACGAATAGTGCCCTCCTGAATGAATGATCCCTTCTTGCTTGCAAACGGTAAAAGTAGTCTCAAGTGTAAAGTGTTCCATCACCCAAGCTGCAAATCACAATGATTGTTAGTTTCTAGAGCGTCACTCTCTTACGCAATTGTTGCATTTCAGAGTTTTTTTAGAATTGTGATAATAGTAACTTTACAATAAGTTACGTAATATAATATTTTGTCTATTATATTATCTATTGTGTGTTTTTCTCTCCTTATTTTGCATTAAATATGTGACGAAATGAGTGTATAAATATTATTTTCCGATTATTTGTGATAAGGTGGTGGATTCTTAAATTTTTTATTTAAAATTAATTTATAATAAAACTTAATATAAAATTCCTAATACAATGAAAATGTTATACTTTATCAGTTTTAATTAAAGGTAGTTTTTGAAACATTTGAATTTTGTTTTTAAAACTTTTTTTTTTTTTATTAAATTAGGTTTATGATATCTATACGTGGATAATTTCATAACTACATGGGTTACATCTTTATCCTCATCTCATGTAATTAAGGGGGGCTTTAAATTTGGTGTTTGTGGGGACTTGTGGAGACTGATCTATTTGGAGCTTCAAAATTGGGGATGAAGACGAGGATTATATTCTCTGCTTCATGAGATCTTATCTCTAAAAAAGTATTTAATATCTTTAAGTATACATGTATGAATAATTAGTAATTTATAAAAATATATTATATTTTAAATAAAAGACAATAATTGTCCTTTTAATAATATATTTTCATTGCCTTCTTTCCTTTTTTTAATTTTCACTTTTATTTTTATTAATCCAAGTCAAACAATAAACAAAAAACACAAGCAACTCTGGCTACCATATTAAATTATCACATGAGTCTGAAATCCCTGTAGGAATTTACCCTTAAAGACGAGGAACTGAGAAAAATTGGGAATAGAAAATGAGAGTAGAAGTATACTTTATACAAGGGAAAAGACCTGTTTAGTCCATCCTTACTAGTTGTTGCTTAATATTTTTGATTCACTGTATTAAATGCTTCATTCTAAGACTGTAGTCTGCCTTGTGTAACGTGCATGTTAAGTACATTATTATAACTAATCAAAATATAGATGTTTAAATAGGACTCGCAGATCAACATATTGTCACGTGAACCAATATTTTAAATATATATATTTTTTAATTTCTTTATTATTTTTTCATATTTATATATTTTTTAAATTTTAAAGCTTTTTTTTATTGTTTTTGTTGAATTGGCTGACTTGCTAATCCTCGGATCAAAGTGGGCTAAACACAGACTATCGATTTCCTGGACTCATTAATTTTGCGAGCCAATTTTATCGGCCCATATAATGATAGTTTATTGCTCAAACAAGCTTTTACGAGCCGAGTTATGATGCACACTTCCACTCAAAGTGTTTGAGGGCCTGATTGGTTAGGTAGCACAACTGATTGTAGTAGAAGTGAAAAAAAAAAAAGAAAAAAGAAAAACCAAAAAACATAATGCCACTAATTTTGACTCGTAAATTCTGCATAATTTATTTTAACCATTAATATACTTTTTTTTAATAAATCAATTTAAGAGTGTTTAACAGTAAAATGAACAAGCACTGTTTCGTTAACTTTTGAAAATTCAAAGAGAGAGAGACACACAGAAACTAAATAGAATTACTGAAGAGTCTTGGTCATTTGAAAAAGAAAGGATATGTACTTTTTCAGATCCGGATCCTCTGCAGTCTTGGCGGGAACTGCAGAGCGCAGTGCATTTTCGCTTAAGCTAATTTTTTCGCTTAAGTGAAAATTTAGGACCATTCGCTTAAGCGAGAGTAAAGGCTTAAGCGAATGGAAGTTAGAGAGCGGTTCATTAATAACCACTCTCCAAGAAAGACTTTAGAGAGCGGTTAAAGGAGAACTGCTCTCTAACTAGGGCTTAAACATGATTCGTGTCTCGCTTAAGCCCCTAAATTCGCTTAAGCTATTTTCATTTAGCTTAAGCGCGCTACGAAGCGAAATATATTAAACCTAAGCGAAAATGGACCAGAGAGGGATGCATTTGAATCACAATTTCGCTTGAGCGGATTGTAAATCGCTTAAGCTATTATTGAATCGCTTAAGCCTTGACCAACAATTTTGATTGAAATTAAGCGAATTTGAGGCAGAGAGCTATTATTTCAGGCATGCAAAATGGCTTAAGCGAAACTGAATTGGCTTAAGCGAATTGTGGAAGGGCTTGAGCCCAGATTTGAATATGTGAGCGAATATGAAAACCGCTTAAGCGAATATGGGAGCTTAAGCGAATATATCAGAAGTTTAAAAAATTATGCAGAAACAGCAGCATGCAAAACAATGGCTTAAGCGCATATTAATTGGCTTAAGCGAATGATAGCAGGGCTTGAGCCCAGATTTGAATTTGTGAGCGAATATTAATACCGCTTAAGCGAATACATGAGCTTAAGCGAAAATATTAGAATTTAAAAAAATTATGCGGAAACAGCAGCATGCAAAAAAATGGCTTAAGCTAATATTAATTGGATTAAGCAAATGGTAGCAGGGCTTGAGCCAAAAATTTATTTTTCCAGCGTATCAAAATTAGCTTAAGCGATGCCATGGGCTTAAGCGAATAAAAAAGAAAATCCTAACATTATGCAGAAACAAACAGCATGCAAGAGGGCTAAATAGACTGGATTACATCTGTTCTTCAACATACATCTTCCACCAAAAACAGTTTACAAATACAAATTTAGCTTAGAAACAAAAGAACTTTTGCCAATTGCGAAATCAAATTTGATCAAGGATTGAAGTATTGGTATCATCAAGTTGTTCCTACAAAATTAAAAGAGATATAAGAAGACACATAATGAACAAGAATGGATGACAAAAGAGAAGAATGGATGGAAGTTTATTAGTCTTACCTTCAACAAATCTGTGAAACTTAATTGCTGGATGAAAGTTTCAGGGGGATCATAATATGGAGGTGCTGAACAATGTACTTGAAATGATGAACCTAACATTGGTTGATATTCCTTAAACATTTAAGCACAGTAAAATTAATGATATGGTTATAACAAGGAAGTTATAATAAATGCATTAATCGACAATAAAAGTGGTTATAAGAAAGTACCTGAGATGCTGATTGACCTAAAGTTGGACTTTTGTTCTTCTTTTTTGCTTGTAGCTCAACCCAACTTTTGAATCTTTTACACCCTTTCCTCTTGGTAGTAGGTCTATGCTTGAATCCCTTAGGTTGTATACTATGAATATTGACCTTATCAACACCATCATTGTTATTGTTGTCATTATCTTGTGGTTGTAAGCGAAACTTTGTGATTTGAATGATTAAAGTATTAATACTTTCATTCACTAATTGACAATATTCTTCTAAACTAGAAACCTCAGAGGCCAACCTAATCATTTTACATGCTAGGTGTCGGTATCTGCGTGTAGTACTCAGTTTAGGATCTCCTTCCACTGGTATTCCTTTTACATTGTGAATAATACCACAGCGTCCTTGTGTTGTCCATCTCTTTAGTATGTATTTGTCAGGAATAACCTTTACATCATTGGCTTCAAACACTTTCAAAGCATGACAACAAAGTATACCAAATGTTTCAAATTTTTTACAAGAGCAATTGATAGTAGTTGAGGAACGATCAAATGTAACTGTCCATGATCTTTGTTGATTGACTTTAGTAATTACATATTCAATCAAATGAGGAGTTTCAATCCTTTGCGATATGCAACAAGCTAAGAATTGAGCAAACTCTTGTTGAAATAAATTATACACTACATTTGTGTAAACCTTAGCCATTTGTATTAGTATTGGTGATATCTCATATCGCAACATGGCTAGTTTGTGACGAGAGTCATACTCACACTTGAGCTCGTTATAACGTTTGTCTTCAACCACCCGTTCAAAGTGTTCAAAGAATTGCTTGATGTCAACACCAGGTCTCATACATGCCTTGAAGTCAGAATTTAAACTTTCACTTAATTGAGTGCTACGCATTCCATGGGTTAAACAATCCTTGAGATAACATGATGCCCATTTCTCCTTTATAGCATACAGTGAAGTAATCCAAGTATGTTCTTGAACATTGTATTCTGTAATCAACCTTATCCAAGCCTCCTCAAACTCAGTTGAAGTATCAAAGTCATATATGCATCGTTTCAAATCTCGTAAGAAATGACTCCCTCCTTTCATCAAATTTCCCAAATGCTTTATTCCATTTTGCATTAAGTGCCACGTGCATAAAGCATGACGTGTCTCAGGCATTACTTGGACAAGTGCCTTTGCCATTGCTTGGTCTTGATCTGTAAAAAGAGTTTGAGATTTTTTGTTGTTGTGTGCTTCCAAGAATGTCTCGAACAACCATTGAAATGATTCAGCTGTTTCATCATACAATAAGGCTGCTCCAAAGATAACAACACCTCTATAATGGTTAAAACCAGAAAACAATGCTAGAGGTCTATTAGCTCGATTGGTGCAATATGTAGTGTCTAGTGATACAACTTCACCAAAAAACCCATAATCAATTACCATCTTTGCATCCGCCCAAAAAACATTTGTGATTTGCTCCTCTGCATCCATTTGGTACGCATGAAAAAAAGATGGGTTGTCTACTAATTGTCGCTGAAAATATTACATGAAACAACCGACTTAGTGGCTTAAGTAAACCACACTCTGAGAGCGGTTCTTTTTGAACCGCTCTACAAATTGAACTTCTGAGAGCGGTTCAATAATAACCGCTCTCAGAAGAGACTTGGAGAGCGGTTTTATTTGAACCGCTCTCAGAAGTTCACTTAGTGGCTTAAGCAAAACGACTCTGAGAGCGGTTCTTTTTGAACTGCTCTCCAAAAGTTCACTTAGTGGCTTAAGCAAACCACACTCTGAGAGCGATTATTATTGAACCGCTCTCAGAAGTTCATTTGTAGTAGCTTAAGCAACCGCACACTGAGAGTGGTTCTTCTTGAACCGCTCTCCAAATTGAACTTCTGAGAGCGGTTCAAATATAACCGCTCTCAGATTTGTACTTTTGAGAGCAGTTCTTTTTTTAACCGCTCTAAGAAGTATACGTCTGAGAGCGGTTCTCTATTAACCGCTCTCTTAAGTCTTTCTTGGAGAGCGGTTAAAATAGAACCGCTCTCTTAAGTCAAAATTAGCTTCAGCGATACGTATAGCTTAAGCGAATTATGCGACTATTGGATTTTACATAATATTGAATCTCCCCCTTTCCTTTCCCTTCATTTCTGCATTTTCACTCTCTGCTACTCGCTTAAGCTGAGCAAACCTCTGTCCTGTAGTCCACAGCTTCAAAGCCTTCAGAAAATTGTTTCCTCAGGTACAAACCTGAACCCTAAGCCATTGTAGATCATCTATTACTCTATTTCATTTACATTTCTTCATTTGCATTATGGGGTCTTCCCCTTCGTGAAGTTTTGCATGGGTATATAACCTCTGTTTCATTTATATTCTGCTGGAAATGCTTTTTGTCACTTTTATTTTGATGTTTGGCTGATTGAAAATTTTTTTGCTGGATGAAATGTTAGTTTGAGCTTACCTTAATGTCTGTATTTTTTGCTTAAGCGACACAAACAGGCTTAAGCGATTTTTACTGAAATTTTTGTTCTGGTTTCGACTGCAGGATGGCACCAAAAAAATCAATTCCTCAAAGAAAGAGGCAGAGACCAGAAGTTGGCCAAACTTCACAACAGCATGATGAACCTATTGATCAACATGAACATTCACCACCAGCGACTCAAACACAAACACAAACAGAAGTCATATCATGGGATAGATATAGGTTCAAAACTAGGGCCAAGGCTCAGAGATTTATTGACTTACAAGTTAGAGATTTGCTACCTGAGAGAAAGGTAGCTTTACAAGAAGGAGAGTATGAAGAATTTATGCAAGAGGTTAGGAGAAGAAAATGGGAATTCTTGGCAAATCTCCCCAACCAAATTAATGAGGTAATCGTCAAAGAGTTTTATGCAAATGCTTGGCCATTGATACCAGAAAGGTCAGAAAAGAGGTCTTGGGTTCGAAGGCACCCAGTTGCTTATGATAGAGATGCAATTTCAGCTTTGTTAGGCAACCCTTTAACCTTAGAAGAAGGGGAGCTATGCCAATACCAACAACGCCGAAAGAGATTCTCAAGTTTTTTGGATCATGCTGTAGCTGAGGCCTTATGCATCCCTGGAAAATCATATGAAACAAATGCTGCTGGGAAGCCAATGAGGTTCAAAAGACAATCTCTGAATACTTTAGCCCAAATCTGGACATCATTTCTCCTTGCTAACATTGCTCCAACCACACACACCTCAGATCTTCGGATGCCTCGAGCATATCTCATATACAGTATCATGCAAGGGATATCTATTGACATAGCAACAATCATTTCAGATGAGCTGCACCAATTTGTTATTTCCAACACCTCCTCTACTGCATCAGCAACAAAACCTTTGGGATTTCCAGCACTCATCACTGCTTTATGTGCTTCCCAAAGTGTTATCATTCCAGAGAGCGCTGCTCAAACTATCAGTTTGAAGAAACCAATCAATTCCCAGTTCATCAGAAATTATTGCACCAATCAATTGGAACAGCCTGCAGGACCTTCCTCTCAACCCTCCTCATCTGTACCACTTACATCACAGCCAACACAACCATTCATGCCTGACATGTCACAAACAGATTCAAGTGTCCTATGCCATCTAACCCACATAAAGCAACAATTGGCAGCAACTAATCGCGCTTACACTCAGTTGAATGAGTCGTTCTACAAGTTAGCCCTTTTCTTATTTAATATTTTAATATATGTAATCAATTATGCAACCATGCCTGATTTTCTCTTTCCACAGGTTCACTCTACATCAACATCATGGTGAGCCATCTGCTTTTCCATGGCCAACACCAGAGCTTTTTGCAGCGACTGTATCGTGGCTTGGAGACAACCCTATCTTTCCAGCTCAACAACAAACTCCACAAGATCATGTATCACATCCGGATGAAGGAGCCAATGAGGACATTGACGATCATCAAGAGGGAGATGTTCAACAACATCAAAACTTAGAGGAAGAAGGGAGACATGATGAGGGAGATAGGCCACAACCAATGCAAGAAGAGGACAATATAGGAGACCCATGATTAGAATTAGGATCTTATTGTAATGGATATGAATAACTAAACATTTTCTATTATGTAATATATTTTCTCTTTACTTTTCCAATGGTGAATTCTATACTTTTTCATTGATGGATTTTAATATTTATTCACAATCGTGCCAAAGTAATTATAAACTGTTTTTGGTGGAAGATGTATGTTGAAGAACAGATGTAATCCAGTCTATTTAGCCCTCTTGCATGCTGTTTGTTTTTGCATAATGTTAGGATTTTCTTTTTTATTCGCTTAAGCCCATGGCATCGCTTAAGCTAATTTTGATACGCTGGGAAAATAAATTTTTGGCTCAAGCCCTGCTACCATTCGCTTAATCCAATTAATATTAGCTTAAGCCATTTTTTTGCAAGCTGCTGTTTCTGCATAATTTTTTTAAATTCTGATATTTTCGCTTAAGCTCATGTATTCGCTTAAGCGGTATTAATATTCGCTCACAAATTCAAATTTGGGCTCAAGCCCTGCTATCATTCGCTTAAGCCAATTAATATGCGCTTAAGCCATTGTTTTGCATGCTGCTGTTTCTGCATAATTTTTTAAACTTCTGATATATTCGCTTAAGCTCCCATATTCGCTTAAGCGGTTTTCATATTCGCTCACATATTCAAATCTGGGCTCAAGCCCTTCCACAATTCGCTTAAGCCAATTCAGTTTCGCTTAAGCCATTTCGCATGCCTGAAATAATAGCTCTCTGCCTCAAATTCGCTTAATTTCAATTAAAATCGCTGGTCAAGGCTTAAGCGATTCAATAATAGCTTAAGCGATTTACAATCCGCTCAAGCAAAATTGTGATTCAAATGCATCCCTCTCTGGTCCATTTTCGCTTAGGTTTAATATATTTCGCTTCGTAGCGCGCTTAAGCTAAATGAAAATAGCTTAAGCGAATTTAGGGGCTTAAGCGAGACACGAATCATGTTTAAGCCCTAGTTGGAGAGCGGTTCTCCTTTAACCGCTCTCTAAAGTCTTTCTTGGAGAGCGATTATTAATAAACCGCTCTCTAACTTCCATTCGCTTAAGCCTTTACTCTCGCTTAAGCGAATGGTCCTAAATTTTTGCTTAAGCGAAAATGCACTGCGCCCTGCAGTTCCCGCCAAGACTGCAGAAGATCCGGATCCGTACTTTTCCCTACTTTATTTAAAAGAAAGAGGAGAAATAATAATAAAAATTTCGAAGATGAAAAAATATCTTATTTAATTTGTAATATTTGAAAAGAAAAAGTAAAATAAATTATATCATATATCTACAATAAATAATCAAAGCTATTAAATTCAATATTCAAGCTAAAAGATAATTTGCAATTCCAATTCAAAGTATTTTTCTTTTTTCAAAATTCTTCTAACGATAGAGGGGCTATCTTGAAAATAATTTATCCCTTTATTTTTCTTTATATTTAAATTAAGCAAGTTATTTTTTAAATATCTCTACACTACACTCTTTTCTTTTCTATTATTCTCTAGCCGAATTTTTTTTTTGTGGGTGAAATCTCTAGCCGAATTTTATATTACTATAATGTATGCTTCTAGTTACATGATTAACCACGCAAACCATGACTCAAACCTAGATGGAATTACTAATCTATTAGTTATAATTGCCTCAATAAATAGATGAAAACCTTGTTTTCTATATACTTTTAATAACGCTTGTGAAAGCCAAAGAGTACACGTCAACTGATATATACTTTCTTTGTTCAAAGAAAAAAAAAAAGATAAAATTTAAATACAATTGTTTAATTATTTTGTATACTATTTTTCATCAAAATAAAAAATTAACTATAATACACTAACAGCATTTTAAATTATCACATATTATAAAAAGTAAAAATTAAAATTTAATTATAAAATAATTCTAAAATTACTTTAAAAAATATTCTTAAATTTTATCTCCCTTTCAGATGTGCTGCAACTGTTCTTGCATCCATTCATTCAATAAATGAAATACAACTTTTATTAAATGTGATTTTAATGGTGTCACGTTGGTTACCCCAAACATTCTTCGAACCCAACGGTTGCTTTCAAACTTGCTGGCTTAAACTTATCCTCACAAACGCACACTCTTTTAAAACAAAAAGCTAATAACACCAAAAAACCTCTCCGTCGCCATGGATACTCTCCCAACCCTCAAAGTCCCAAAACTTCCATCGAAATTTGCAAACCCTGAATTCTACCACTTCAAAAGAACATCATATGCATCACCCCCACCCCATGTTTTCTCAACTTCCACACCCAACTTAGTTCCCAAAACCAAGTCTTTCTCACGAAAGTCTTCTCCTTCTCTAGCATTCTCCTCCTCAGGCGCATCACATCCCAAACCCAAACCGTCATCTCCAATATTCCATCGAAATCCCGCCACTGGGTATGCGGCAGCTATAATAGATGTGGCCCAGAACAGCAATTCCCTTCACTTGGTTCAAAGGGATGTTCAGAGGCTCTTGAAATTGCTGAAAAATGTTAACTTTCAATCAGCTGTGGGTGAACCTTCAATGGTTGAGAGGGTGGTAGAGCGTGGGAATTTTCATAGGCATGTGGTTGCCTTGTTGAAGATGCTGCTGAAGAAGAACAAGGTGGGAATTGTGCAGGAGGTGTTGGAAGAGTTCGAGAAGATTTATGATGAGCTTTGTGGAACTCAATTGGTGTTGGTTTCATCTATGACAAAGATGGGTCAAGATGAACTGTTCGGGATTGCCAAAAAAGTGCAGCAGTTAAGTGGGGCGATGAGGGTGAAGGTAAGGAATTTGGTTCAAGAGAATTTACCCTCTTTTGCTGTGTGATTTGGTTTCTGGAATGCCAAAATGCAACTTTACAATCCAACCAAAGATGAGATACAATTGATCATAGCTTTTTGCTTTATTTGATATCATATATTGGGCTGGCCGCATGTATTTGGACTCTATTTTGTTGCAAAAATTCACTAGGATTTATTTTGCTCTTTAAATGCCTAATGTAAGAGCACAGTCGAAAAATATTGCTCACAGTCTGGGTGCTTTCTTTGCATTAATTCAATTGAAGTTAGAATACATCCTCAAAAATAAATTCCGTTGCTGGAACACTGCTAAATTAATTCCTAAAATTTAAAAAGAAAACACTAAATTTAAGACACTATTAAAAATGAATCAAACAAGCTCTTATTTTTTGTGCGACTGCTGAACCCCTAATTGACTCTAAAAGAATTATGCACGTTTCTATTAATCACTTTTTTCCCAAAAAATATCAACAATTTCCTGAATTTTAAAATGTATAAATTTAAAATTAATTAAAAAGATAACATGGACTAACAAGGAGATGGATTTTATACTAAACGATGGCTAACATATACATATGTAGGATGGAAAAATGAAGTTTGTGCAAAATCAATAACCGTTGTGTTCACATAGATAATTTTAAAAGTTGACATACAAGTATAAACAAAATAGATAGAGGAATTCAAAGCTCCTAGCTACTTCAAGGAGATATATTCTAATATAGAATGTAGATGAAATAACATCTCTGAAGTATTAAAAATGGGTTTAGAGTAAGGATATCGACTTTCACTAAAAATAGCCGTATCCAATTCACAAATAAAATTAATACCATGAACTTTACAACAAAGAAATAACTTGAACAAGAGCAAAAAGAAGTTAACAAAGAAGTGCAAAATTAATGAACAATAAGCTTTTTTTTGGCTATCCACCTCCTTCTAGTTGCTTCCAATGCATCTAACTTCATTCTAGAAAGTTCTTGAAACCAATGTTGATATTGTGACTCTATTGCTTCAAGTTCGAACTTTAGTTCAACATCAATGTCTTTGTTAGCTAAAGATAGAGAAGAAAAATTGCTTGTCAAGCTCGTAAGATTAGATGTTTCACAAAAAGTTGTCGATATAAAATGTGGATTCTGTGATGATTCATTTATCTCAATGCCTTCTCCATCATTATTATTTGTAGTCTGCAATTTACAAGCTTCAAAATATGTATCTCCAAACTCTTGTACAGAGGTAGACCAACTTAATCGTTCAAAGCTCCCATCAACATCTGAATCAAGATAGTTGTTGCTTTTCATGCAAGCATCTTCAATAACTATCTCAGATGCTATAGATTCTTCTGAATATTGATCTTCCAAGCTAGCCAAACTAGGAAAAGAACTATACTCACCCTTAAAAGTAGCCTTATTGGCATCATTAAACATGCAACTTTCCCTAACTAATGCAAAACCACCTCTTTGAGTAGTAGTATCTAGATCCAAAACCAATTCAGAGGGAATACTAGTTAGGGCAGAACCCCATGGGCATGGTATTAAGGTTTGACTATCTCCACTCAAGGAATAATCAGATGGGAGCTTCCACCTTGGTACAAATTTTTTTATCAAGTAATCGATAAGCTCGGCTATGAAAGCTACATCATGATCTGCCAACTCCAAGTTTTCAACCATCTCTGAGGCAACAGAAACAGCAGTATCTGTCTCAAGGTAAAAGAGAAAATGTATATTCCTTACTTGACCTACAAGTAACAAAAGGTAGGACCACTTTGTCAAAACTAGTTAAATGTTGTTCAGAAGTTCCAAATCTCTACAAATGAGGAAGAACACACACACGCACGCACTTACCACCTAAATCAGCAATGCGCAAGATCAATGATATTGAGTTGTCATCATTTTTGGTCCCTTTCAACTTAAACTCATTGTTCTTATGCGTCTTCTGAATTTCTAGAACTAAACAATGTGGACTTCCTTGGCTACTTTCATTAGTACAGGTACCTAAAGAGATGTGTTTGGAATCAGCATCTAGGTCCATTGATGGGTGACGAGACTTGGACGAATCTACAACATTTGGAGATTTATTAGGTAATTGTGAGAGATCAAGAATTGGATCCTTTGGACTCTCAATTTGTAGAAATGGGTCTTTAAGAAGATCCTCTGCAGACAATCTCTTAGATGCTGGAACAAGGCATTTCTTAATAAACTCCTTAATTTGGGGATCACTAATCCTTTTAAGGGATGTAGGTTCAATTCCCTTCAATAAAATGAATAAAAAACATCTAATAAATATAAGTGTAATAGTTCGTATAGCAAGTTTGCAATGAAAAGGATACACTAATAATATCTATACTTACAGAGGTCACTTTTTTATAGATTTGAGCTGGATTTTTGCATTCACTATACGGGTACTCAAAAGTAACCATCTCTAATATGCACATCCCAAAAGAATAGACATCAACAAGTTCATTGTATTCCTCTTCATATAGTTCTGGAGCCATAAACTCAGGAGTTCCTTTTATAATAGTAAAAATGACAGATAAATCATAATTCAGTACTTCCCATAGGGTTAGTATGATAAAAACATTACATTGAAGGAAAGTAATGCTACCAATAACACTTCGAGCAGTTGGTTGTTGCATGACAATTGCTAAACCAAGATCTCCTATCTTAACCTCTCCATGATTTCCATTCACAAAGATGTTGTCACATTTCAAGTCTCTATGAATAATAGGTGGTTTATGATTGTGAAGATATATCAAGCCCTGAAGAATTTGTCTAGCCCAACCTTTTATGGCTTTCATGTCAACATACCTATGCCTCTTACGATACCTGTTAACCAAAGAAATACAGAAGTTTGATATGTTTACTAAAGCCAGAAAATATATAAAGGAATCAGTAAATGATTCAAAAGAACATACTGTCTTAAATTTCCCGATGTGAATAGTTCAGTAATAATGTTGACAGTTTTGTTCTTATCATCAATCCAGGAATTAAAGAATTTTATGATATTTTCATGTTTCAAAGATTTTAATAGATTCACTTCAGAATATAATTTTGCAAGATCATCTGTTGACTGTAGGAGTTCATCAATTCGAACTTGGTTCCAAGCAACTTCAATTCCATTAACTTCATCAAAACCTCTATAACTGCCAAACAACAAGACACAGACATGGATTAAATAGATTGTTATATAATTGCAATAATCTTGACATAATATTGCATAATTTTTTTAAGGAAATATTTTGAAACAAAGATCGAGAATGTAGGAAGGATTTAAAAAAAATTAGAGATAAAAAGAAAACATTAAGTATCAGAATCATACACAGTCTTGAAAGCACCCTTGCCCAAGATTTCATTGTACTGTGAAAAAAAAGGAAAAAGGTTAAAAAAATTTGATTAAATAAAACATAAAAAATTGAAAAATTTCGTAGGATCAAGAGGAGCAGATTGCAACTATTTGTTTGTAGCGATATTTTACCAAAGGAGGATTATCCTCATCTAGGATTATTTTCATTATTAGATTTTGGTATGACATAGAAGCTTTATGAATGCTTATCAAGAGTGATAATTAAAAGCACATTGTTTGTTAATTGCATTTATATATTGTTTACATAGTCATCAATAGATTGAGACCAATGTAGTTTATCCATCTTATATTAAAATTAATTCTTTGCACAAAAAATAACATAACTAATCAATGTTAATTTCTTTTGCTTCAATGCTAGCTAACATAAAATCACCAATAAATAATGGATTGACACCTCCCATGCAGGTTATATCATGCAATGCAAATAAGATTTAAAATATGTTAACTCTATTTCCTAACTCGCTCGTTTTCATCTTCAGTTTAAACGTCAAAACCCAACATAATATTACAAACAATAAAGCATCAAGCCGTTATCAAATTGAATGAAAAACATATAATGAGGAATGCACAAAGCAGTCATACTCGAAGATATCGGCTTGTGGGATCTTTCTCTACAACTTCCTCAAAATCAGGAAGTTCCTTTGCTTTGAATCCATTGTTCGTTGGCAATGGCAATGCAGCACTAGAATCCATTCCGTGGATTGAAGGAATGGCCTTGTTTATTGTTCTTTCCTTTTTTAGGGTGTAATTTTTAGTTGTTATTCAAAATAACGTGGAGGTCAAAGATGTTGCTGGTCAACACCAATTGGGATGAATGAACAACGACCCTTAGAGAAAGCTTGTGAATCAATAAACAATTCGAATGCCGATTGCAACATGTATCGGCATTCGACGAAAATAGTTGGAGGCAATGAACCTAAATCCAAAACCCCACCTTCCATGTCATAACAAAAATTCATCCTTAAATGAACCCCAAAACAACCTTCCTCTCAAAATCCATGTTTTTCAACAACCTATATACCAAAACTTGTAAGCGAAACACAAACAGAACAGATGGGTTATTTCGTTAGACCATCTGCTAAGAAAAAATTCTTTAAAAATTCTAAAAATAAAAAATGAGGAAATTGAGCAAGAGGGTTTGCTTGGTTGGTGGTGATGGATGGGAGGAAAGAGAGAGAAAATAAAAGTGATTACAGATGCGGAAGAACAGGTAAGAATAGACACTTGTGTGGTAATTAGAACATTCTCTTTGTGGTGAGAATATATACTTGGAAGAGGAGGAAAAAAAGTAGCTACTTCAATTGGTTTAGTTTAGGATGTTCAGTACTAGATTAACGCAAAGCAAAAGGAAAATTAAAACTAAAAAAAAAAGTTGAAATGAAATAAGAAATGGAACCCATAAATATTGTTGTAACATTAGTTAGTTTCCATGCATATCGGATAACATTCCAATTAGTATTACCAAGTCCACCTTTCTTTTTCTGAAATTTACCAAGTCAATCATTCATGCAAAATATAGATTTTTTAGATCCGACTTAAAATGAAGATCCTAATTCTATTAACTTTGTGGTCCATGATGCATGTTTATGTATATAGCATGTTTTAAACATGATTATACGGTTCAACAAGATATTATTAATTGGAAGGGTGAAAAAGACCACCACAACCATATGCATCTTTTTTTTTTTTAAGGTTAACTTCTTCATTTTTAATGTTTTTTTCTTCTTCTAAAACTATCCCAATTAAGTAAGTGCTTGAATCTATCTATCTATACAATACATAGAAGAGAATCGATTTTTTTTGTTAGAAAAATAATCTGTCTCTTTTTTATGACATATTTTCTGTATGTTAAATATTATGATTGTAATTTCTTATGTTTCAAGTCCCTACTTTATTTATCTCATTTATTACTCTAATTTCTTCTTTCAAAGTCTATAAATAGCAAAGCAGTGAGGCATGGGAGATTATTTCTCCTTTATTAACTACTCAACTTTTAATTTATAATTTTTATTTTTTTATTGTATTCACTACAACAAAATTACCGTTTACAATTAATTTGACATTATATTAATTTTTGTTTGTATATTTTTTAATAAAAATTTAAATGTTCTTATAGAAAATATAAAATTATATTAACAATGTAATATATACTAATAAACAATTTACGAATATACAATATTAATATATACTATTAATATATCAAATATTAGTAATAAGTGTTTTACAATAGGTATAAACTCTTAATATTTATATTGATAAAAATTATTGTAATTAAAATAGTTAAAATATTTGAGTTTTTTTAGTAAATAACAAATTTAATGCATTCTTTGTGAAAAAATATTAAATTTATATTTTGACTTATTTATTGTGATATCATTCTCACAAATTACTCAATACATCATGAGAATTTAGCTTTTTTATTTATTTGCTTGAAATGTCACGCTTATTAGATTTATGCATGTATATGAAATGAATGGTTTACACTTTCTTTGATGCTAACAACTAGATTATGATTCAGTATAAAAGTAATTCTTCCTTATTTTTAGTTACACTATGGTGATATAGAGGGTTAGAAATGTTGATTGCATTATTGAAAAAAAAAATTTAATTTATAAAATTATGCTTGATATTATAAATCTTACCAATTAGCTTTATTTATGTAAATAAATAGACCAATCTCATACTCGCATAGAGTGTTGGACTCTTTAGAAAGCTAATCAGAATTTTAATTCATCCTTAATGTTAATGAGAGTGTACGGCTACAGAAAAGTCTAAGAAGAGCTAATTTCAATATTTTTATTAGAAATATATATGAAAATTTTGTTAGAGAAATTTTTAGGTTTATTGACATTTCTAATAATAAATACACTTAAACTTATAATCATGTTTTAAGAGTTGAAAATAACTTGAAATTTAAATATTAGACATTTCTTATGTTACTTTGATGTGACAGAAGTTATAAATCTTGCAATAAAAATTGTTCCACCTTTTAACAAGTATATTAATTTCATTTGGAATATAAAGAAATAATTGAAAAAAGAATTGCAAATTATCATTAGACACATCTTGCGTGAGGGTAAGACAACACATGTGCAGTTTTTTAAGTGAAGTTGAAAGCTTTTTTAGATTATATTTTTAAAGATTAGTCTCATTCTTTGCAAATTTAAGATTATTTCTTCAGGTTGATACTAAGAAAGTTTCATATTTAAATTTTATCTTTGATCTTTTTCTTTACTTTTCTTTTTCAATCAAAATTTATATAATTTTTTTTTACAAATCTTTTATTTTGTATTCTAAAATACCTTTTTTTAAAATAAAAATTATGATAGTTATATATTTATTTAAAACAATGAAAACAACAACCTATAATAAAAATTGAGCATTTGACATGTGTTTTTTTTTTTTTTTTAATATAAAGTTAACTAAACACCAAACGACGAAAAAGGACTAAACTCTCATTTTGATCCTCCAGAGAGTTTGCGTCCTACATCCTTGAAAAATTTAAAATGTCATGTTAGTCCTTAATTTTCATCTCCATCGGCCATTTAAGTCACTAGACTCAAACGCTGTTAATAGACAATAACAGAATGTTGACATGTCTTGTTATATGACATGTGTCATTGTTTACGCGGTGACGTATCATTTTAAGTGACATGTGTAATTGATTACGTAACAAAAACAACATCGTATATGGTATAATATATGTTTTTGTTTCATTTTAGTCCTTGAGATTATAATTTGTCAGACATTTTAATCCCTGAGATTGTCATTGATGAGTATTTTAGTACATGAAATTGTCATTGACAAACATTTTAATCCTTGAGATTATAACTCGTTATTTTCTAGGTTTGTTTTGCTTTCATCTTCGTAACTTTCCTTCACATCCTCTTTAGCTTCTTCTTGTGTTAATGCGATTACACACTCTTCTTCTTCATAGCTTTCCTTTGTATATACGCATGCATTCATATCCAGGCTTCACTTGAGTACAAAATATTGAGTTGTAAGTGATGAAGTTGTTATTGGTATTAGTGGCAATCGATTACATGAGTGTAACTTGAAGATAATGTGTTGGGTTCTGAATAACAATGACTAGTCTTGATGATGCTGTAGTTTACAAAGAGTTAGGATAACGACAAAGGTTTCAACATGACTTTTCTATCATTTGACGAGTGCAAGAATTCTAATCCCTCTTCCCTTCCCTTTTTGTTCTTGCAAAGCCACTAACCATCTTGCAAATGTAGCTCCACATGAACTTTCTCTATCATCTCATTCACCTGATCTCTTTCAGCAAAACCTCCACCACTCTTCTCCTCTTTTTCTCTCTTAAGGACTAAAATGCTTATCGGTGATGACAACCTCAAGGACTAAAATGCCCGACGAGTTATAATCTCAAAGATTAAAATGAAACAAAAACATATATTATACCACACACAATGTTGTTTTTGCCACGTAATCAATGACACATGTTACTTAAAATGACATGTCAGCGTCATTTTGCTACATAGTAATGACACATGTCATTTAACTTGACATGTTAACACTCTGTTACTGTCTATTAACGACGTCTGAATCTAGGGACTTAAATGACTAACGAAGATAAAAATAAGTGATTAACATGATATTTTTAATATTTCAGAGACTAAAATGTAAAACGCAAACTCTCTTAAATATTAAAATGAGAGTTTAATCGATGAAAAAAATAAGTATATACATTGTATATTATTAATTAATTTTCTTTGTTAAATATTATTAGTAATTGCTATATTATTTAGGTGCTTATATTGTCTATATATATTTTTAAATTACTATTTAAGGTATAAATATTTATACTAAAGAATTTAATAACAAATTTATGATATATTTAGTAGTTACAACAATATTTAATAAATTATGGGAACATGACAAAATATTTTTTTTTTAAATTTAACAATCCGATAAGTCAATTATGTGTAATTCAAACTGTTAAAAATAATAATGTTTTAAATATGTACACAATCATATATGAAAAAAATCAATACATAGTAAATTTTTATTAAAATTTAATGTTATCAATTATTTAACAATATTATATAAATTTTAATAAATGCTTACTATACATAAGTTTTTTTTATGTATATCCTTAAACATTAGTTAAAAAATTTGATAAACAACAATACATATACAATTATAAGTGATACATTTAGCAATAACATTTTTATTTTAAAATTATGAGAATAATAAAGTTAGATAATATAATCATATATATAGATATATATCGATGATTAAAATTAAAAATTAATTATTTGTACATGATTAGTTAAAAAAATCATGTTTTTTTAATCTGATAATCTAAATAGGATTTGATGATATATATTCAGAGTTTAATTTTAGTATATCGATCGTTAGTGTAAAATATTTTATATTACTAACCAATTAAATATTATTTTTATACTCAATTATTATAAAAATAATTTTTTATGATAATTTTTAATTAGATAATAATGTAATTTTTTATATTATTAATGTACTTCAAATAATTTTTTTATATTTATTATTCTCATTTTCATTATAATTAAATATTTTTATGTAGAGAGTTAAAAGGTATATTTTTATTAAAGAGTAAAATATTAATACTAACTATTAAATTTAATGATGAATAATTAAGATTAAAATATACATGTTATAATTTTTTTTAAAAGTTAAATATTAAAAAATAAATATTGACTATTAAATTTAATGATTGAATAATTAAGGTTAAAATATACAAGTTATATTTTTAAAAAAAATTCAAATATTAAAAAATAAATTTTAACTATCAAATTTAATAAAAAAATAATTAAGATTAAAATACATAATTTTTAAAAAAAGTCAAATATTAAGAAATAAATATTGGTTATTATATTTAATGATGAATAATCAAAATTAAGTACATAAGTTACAATTTTCTTAAAATATTTAAATGTTTAAAAATGAATATTGACTAATTAATTTTAAAAAATAAAATATATAAGTTATAAGTTTTTTTTTGAAGTGAAATAATATTTTAAAATATTATACAACTTATAATTTTTTTTATTTTTTAACATTTATATATAATTATACCACTCAATATTTAACAACTCGTATTTCCATTTAAAAAATATGGCAAGTTTTTTCTTGGAATTTATTTTTAAATTTCTATCTTTTAATTTTTTTTATTAATTGAATAAAATGTTCATTATTAATACTTGAACAGAGTTTCTTAAAATTAATAAAATTTATTAAATTTTTAAAAAATAAATATCTTCAAAATATTTTGTTTTTTAAAAAATTATTTTATAGTGCACACAAAGACTTGAATAATTTGGTGTTTGGATATTGCGAATCTGACATTTGATTTTCCACATTCTGAAATCTTGGCCGTCGACGACGTATCTTGTTTAAAGGTATTCCGTTCTCTGATTTTAGTTTTCCTTTTTCACTTGTGTTTCTGGCCTTTTTGGGTTATATATTAGCTTGTTCAACAAGGACCCAAAATGTCATAAATGATCATATTAACAAATGACAAGCTTGAATCGAAGATTATCCATAATCGTTAACATTTTTATCCCATACTCAGCCTATTTAATTTGCGTTGAGAACACACCAACAAGGTGTCGTGGTGTAGTTGGTTATCACGTCAGTCTAACACACTGAAGGTCTCCGGTTCGAGTCCGGGCGACGCCATCGTTGTACTATCTTTATAATATCAATTTTTACTTTCACCCATAATCACATCGTTTTTTCCTTTGATTTTACAACGTTGATTTTGGCCGTCTTTTATTTTGAGTTCTTACACACACACAGTTTACACTGCTTCAATCTCTCTCTCTCTCTCTCTCTCTGCTGGGAAAATTGGAGATGGAGAGTGAGAGGAGTCAGAGGTGGCGGAGAGTGAAACAGAAAGAGGACTTAGTTTCTCTTCTACGGAAATCATGGTACCATCTTAGGTTGTCGGTACGAGACCCATCTAGAGTTCCAACATGGGACGCTATTGTTCTCACTGCTGCTAGCCCCGAACAAGCCCAATTGTACAACTGGCAACTCAACCGGGCCAAGCGCATGGGTCGGATCTCCCCCTCCACCGTCACGCTCGCCGTCCCCGACCCTCTCGGCCAGCGGATCGGATCCGGCGCCGCCACTCTCAATGCCATCCATGCCCTCGCTCTCCACTACCACCACTCACAGGTACTCCTCTTTTATTTTATTTATTCTTTGATTAATTATCTTGTTATTGAAATTGGGAGTATATTTTAATATTAATGTGTGCTATTGCAGGTCTCGACTACCTTTACCTCAAATGGAAGTGACGTTTCTCTTATGTCAATGGTTAACATGATGGCTAAAAAGCACATACTATTGTTGCATGCTGGAGGTGATTCGAAACGGGTCCCATGGGCTAATCCTATGGGAAAAGTGTTCCTTCCTCTTCCTTATTTGGCTGCCGATGACCCTGATGCCCCTGTTCCTTTGCTTTTCGACCATATACTTGCCATTGCTTCTTGTGCTAGACAGGCTTTTGAAAATGAAGGTTGTTGTTAGTTCATATGTAGTTTCTATGCATTTCTATGTTGTTACCTATGCCTGATGTTTGCTTACAGAATTCTTTCAATCTTCACAGGAGGAATGTTAACCATGACTGGCGATGTTCTTCCATGTTTTGATGCATCCCTCATAACTCTTCCTAAGGACACTTCTTCCATCATCACTGTTCCTATCACCCTTGATGTTGCTGCAAACCATGGAGTAATTGTTGCGGCTAAAACTCAACATTCAACTCAAAGTTATGCAATCAGTTTAGTAGATAATCTCCTACAGAAGCCTACCATAGATGAGCTAGTTAAAAGTAAGGCAGTTCTGGTTGATGGTAGAACACTTCTGGATACTGGAATAATAGCAGTTAGAGGTAAGGCATGGTCGGAGCTTGTTACACTTGCGTGTTCATGTCAGCAAATGATTTCGGAGCTCTTGAAGAAGAGAAAGGAGGTATACTACATTGTTTGCTTTAAGCTAGTGTTTAGTTTTGTAGATGCAAAAGTAATGTAAAGAAAAGAAAGTAATGGATAAATGAATTTTTTGTTTCAGAGCTCCAAGAATTATGAAGTCAGTGCATTGTTCCTACTAAAGCATTTGCTGTTCTTATTCTTTTCTGGAACAATTGAAGTATTTTATCTAAGAAGGAATGCTTGTTCATTGCAGATGAGTTTATATGAAGATCTGGTTTCTGCCTGGGTACCTGCAAAGCATGAGTGGCTGAGAAAGCGTCCTTTGGGTGAAGAACTAGTCAATAAATTGGGAAAGCAGAAGATGTTTAGTTACTGTGCCTGTATGTCAAGCCTAGTTGCAATCTTATCTATATTTGCATCATTTCTCGTATTTATCTGTGCAAAAATTTATTCATTCATATATTTTTCCATTACAGATGATTTGTTGTTCTTGCATTTTGGGACCTCAAATGAAGTTTTAGATCACCTCAGTGGTGTTGGTTCGGAACTGGTTGGTAGAAGACACCTTTGTTCTATTCCAGCGACCACTGCATCTGACATTACAGCATCTGCTATTATTCTTTCTAGTAAAATTGAAGGTGGCGTCTCAATTGGAGAAGATTCTCTCATATATGATTCGTCCATTTCTGGGGGAATACATATTGGCTCGTTATGTATAGTGGTTGGAGTCAACATCTGTCTAGACAACCTTTTAAGTGCTGAAGATTCAATCAAGTTCATGCTTCCAGATCGCCATTGTCTTTGGGAGGTTCCTTTGGTTGGAAATAGTGAACGAGTCCTAGTATATTGTGGTCTTCATGATAACCCCAAAAGTTCCCTTTCTAGAGATGGTACGTTTTGTGGGAAACCTTGGAATAAAGTTTTACATGATTTAGGTATTCAAGAAAGTGACTTTTGGGAGTCCTCAGGCCCTGATGAAAAGTATTTATGGAATGCAAAAATATTCCCCATACTTCCTTATGCTCAAATGATCAAGGTTGCAATGTGGTTAATGGGCTTAGCTAAACAAAAGACTGAATCCTTGTGTCCTTTGTGGAAATTTTCCCGGCGCATCAGTCTGGAGGAATTGCATAGATCAATTGATTTCTCAACAATATGCATAGATTCTAGTAATCATCAAGCTGATCTTGCAGCAGGAATTGCAGAAGCTTGCATCAGATATGGAATGCTGGGGCGCAATTTGTCCCAATTATGTGAAGAAATTCTTCAAAAGGAGAGTTCTGGAGTTGAAATATGTAAGGATTTCCTAGCTATGTGTCCAATAGTTCGGGAGCAAAATTCTAATGTACTTCCCAAAAGCCGGGCATACCAGGTTCAAGTAGATCTTCTTCGAGCTTGCAATGATGAAGGGACAGCATGTAAGTTGGAGGATGAAGTTTGGGCTGCTGTGGCTGATGAAACTGCATCAGCCGTAAGATATGGTTTTAAAGGTACATGATTTAATCATGCCCCAAGATGGCATACTCATTAAACAAATTTGCCAACAGTTCCATGTGACTTGCATTCAATTTTTTGGAGGGAGAACAGGGAGGAATCTTAGTACAAATTGATGAGTTGACTTTTGCTTGATTCATGCCCAAAAGTAAACAGGATTCATTTAATGATTTTTGCTTAAACTTAGGATAAGCTCTCTAGAGAAATGCTTAAGAGAATGCAATATTAAATTATATTCAGAGTAAGGATCATTTGCTTTCTACAGGTTAGTTTTAATTTTAAAGGTATAATGAAGTGCACATTTTCTCTTCCATGGTATTGTACTTATTAGCATAATTAGTGTAAACTATATAAACTATCTGTTGGTATCAAAATAATGAATGGAAGTCTGAAGTATGGTGTTTCTTTAGAAATTAATATAAAGGTTAAACTATTGAGTAACTAATTTTTCTACAAAGATAAACTAGTGAAATGTTAGGGATAGCATCTATGTGCAATTCATGGTGGGTAATAATAGTTTCTCAAAGTATTTTCTCTCTGTATATTACCTTTCAAAATACAGGAATAGAGAATATTATATCTATGAATGATTAATACAATTTAGGATCGTTTTGCAGCAAGAGTGGTTACAAACTTACAATTTGTTGAGTTTTTTCATTAATTGCAATATTATCCCTGGATAAGAAATTGTGAGTAACTAGAAAATATCTTCTTAATTCATGCCATAAATTAGAAAGGTGAGTTTTCTAAATCTGAAACCTGTCCTTTTCTGTAGAACATTTATCAGAGTCTCCTGGTAGCCTTTCTTGTCAGGAATGCCAGAATAACCATCATGATGGCTGCATTCGTCAGCCTTTCCATCCAAAAAGGGTAAAAGTAGAATTACCAGTTCGTGTAGATTTTGTTGGGGGTTGGAGTGATACCCCTCCATGGAGCATTGAACGGGCTGGATGTGTTCTGAACATGGCAATAAGCTTGGAAGGTTCTCCTCCGATTGGCACCATCATAGAAACAACTGAAACAACAGGAGTTTTAATTACTGATGATGCAGACAACCAGTTATATGTTGAAGATTATACATCTATTTGTGCTCCATTTGACAGAGATGATCCTTTTCGGCTGGTCAAATCTGCGTTACTTGTGACTGGCATTGTTCATGATAATATTCTTGTAGACATGGGCATGCATATCAAGACGTGGGCCAATGTCCCCCGTGGTAGTGGATTGGGTACTTCTAGTATCTTAGCAGCTGCAGTGGTGAAAGGGTTTCTCCAGATAATCAATGGGGATGACAGCACTGAGAATGTTGCTAGACTTGTTTTGGTGTTAGAACAACTTATGGGTACAGGAGGTGGCTGGCAGGACCAAATAGGGGGTTTGTACCCAGGGATTAAATGTACTTCAAGCTTTCCTGGAATTCCATTGCGGCTTCAAGTTGTTCCCCTGTTGGCTTCACCCCAGTTGATTTCTGAGTTGCAGCAACGGCTTCTTGTGGTGTTTACTGGTCAAGTAAGTATCAATTTATTTATATAAATGTACATTGTGCATTCCGGCCTAAAAGCTTGTAGTATGTTGTTGATCTTGCAAGAAAAAGTTAGTTGTTTTGTTGTTTTTAAAAGATATAATGTACAAATTTTATTTGGTTATGTCATTTTGTAGATACTAGATAGCGCTTTACTTCACCTAATTCAACATCTTTTATAATTAACATTTCAATCGTACGTTGAATTGTTTTGCAGGTGCGACTTGCACACAAGGTACTGCAGAAGGTGGTCATTAGATATCTTCGCCGAGATAACCTTCTTGTATCGAGTATCAAGCGCCTTGTTGAATTGGCAAAGATAGGGAGAGAAGCTTTAATGAACTGTGACATAGATGAACTTGGTCAGATCATGCTGGAAGCTTGGAGATTGCATCAGGAACTTGACCCTTTCTGCAGCAATGGACCTGTTGACAGGCTATTTTCTTTTGCTAGTCCTTACTGCTGTGGTTACAAGCTGGTTGGAGCGGGTGGTGGGGGCTTCGCTCTCTTACTTGCCAAAGATACACAGCGTGCCAAGGAACTGAGAGAGAGGCTTGAAGATGAGAAACATTTTGACGTGAAAATTTATGATTGGCATATAGTTCTATAATATTATATGAATACAAATATCCTTATAGTGTAAGAATTTGAATTGTATTGTTGATCAAATTTGTTTTATCATTCTTTATTTGTATATTCTACAATTCCTAAAATATTGAATTGGAATCCATTGTCTTACAGAATAAGACGTTATTTTTGAAGAATTAATTATATCTTATATAATTTTAAGTGTTCAACTTATATGTATTATATTTTACCTGTATTCAAAAAATTCTGTACAATAGACTAGAAATTGGTTTGTTAGAATTAATAGAAATTCTTAGAATATCATTAACGTACGGTTCAGTAATATGAAACACAAGATGTATGAATTTATAATGAGGCAACAGAAGGAGAAATGATAACAAGTGAATAGAAATTTGTTTTATGTCTAAAGAAAATAGATATATGAATTTATGTGTTATTTCATACTTCATTTCTTGTCTACATCTTGAGACCAGATCAGGAGTAGGACAGTGATTAGTCTCTGACCTGAATTTTGACATTGTAAAAATTTGAAATGTATATTGTGAATTTTTAGTTATTCTATCATGAAATAGACAACAAATCAGACATCCAATTTCAACAACAATAAAATAAATTATGGGCCAAAGTTGATCAAGCAATTTTGTTATTATAGATGTATACCATGGATTGCTCTCTAACGGCTACAGGCTTCTACAACTTTGACAAGCAAGCAGCATGCTTGGAAGAATCCAAACTCATGAAATTGTCTGTGATGATATGAATTGTCAATGAAAGGTGAGGTACCTGGGTTCACTCTGCAAACTTTTCTAACTAATATGGAATCCTAAAAGTAGGAGTTATGATTTTAGATAAATACAGTTTGAAATCCTTAGAAAATCACACTTGAGATAAATTAACAAACAGCAGCATATAGTTGAGCTGACCCCATTATTTTCGGTACACATGATTTTGCCCCACATTTGTTCTCATCCTCTTCCATCTTTGCCCTTTATTAACTTTTTAATATCATTATTTCTTTACAAAAGTGATAACGTGAAAAACAAGGGTAGGAAAAAAGGATGAAAGGAGAGAATACTAAATTCAAAGGGTATCACTTGTTCATGTGGCAAAGAATCCAAAGTGCCATGGGTTGCTTTGCCGTAGAAACTTCTTCGGCTCTTCCTCTCTGCTGGATTGCTTTTGGGGTCCAACGTACGTACAAGTAAACTTCGATAGTTTATTGCCCAAAAAGATATACAAATAATAATCAAACTGCATTGAATATAATAAACATAATTATATTCACCTAAATGTAATTTTTTCAACTACGTATATCTTTCAATCATGTTTGAGCGGATCTGATTTATATATTTTATAAATTTAGTTTAAATATATTTTTAAAGCACATTAAAGTATTAAAATAATATTTAATATTTATTTTAATTATTAAAAATGAATATTTTATTTTATTTCTTAGGCACGTTAGTCAAGTTATCTCCCACTATTGATTATCTACACACAAATATAATACGTTAAAACTACATCATCAATGTCCATCCCGGGTCAACTGTTAGTAGAAGAGCCAAAATAACACTAACAAAAGGAATTATAATCACCATCCCTCCATTCATCCATGATTCATGATAATCGTCGCGATCAATATGTGCCACATAGACAAACTTTAGCATTTGGATTGGGTGAAAGTAGTTGATCAGAGCCTTACAACACATTCTAATTCCACACGCTATTGTGTTTGGTTTTCAGTTAATTTTGATAACAATAAGCATAAATAATACTGTCGTGGATGAATAATGATGTGTGTGGGGCCGAGACCAATATAAGAAAAGTGGCACTCTTTTCTGCTCTGCAATACAACCACTGCAGCTTTGAGCGGTGCAAGGGTGTTTAGTGTAACAGAGTGAGGGACACTCACTGAGTCAGAGACAGACAGAGAGATGGGTCTGCTTTCAAACAGAGTGGAGAAACATGAGATCAGGCCTGGAGACCACATCTACACCTACAGAGCTGTTTTCACCTATTCTCATCATGGTCTCTTTCTCCTTCTTCTCCAAATGAAAATTCAACTTTTTATTCTTTCTAATTGCAGATTTTTGTTATTCTTTTGCAATGTGGGTTCTGTGTTCTGGCTTTCAGAAATTGGGTTTTCTGCATTGCCTCCTTTTTGAATATTTAATGTGTTTGAAGAATTATGAAAGGGGTCGATAGTGATGTTTGTTGTTCAAGGACCCTCGTCACGGGGAAGCATTTGGTTGTTTTGTCAATTCAATTTGGGTTTTGGCGATTAAGAAAAATTTGTTCTTGATTGATTGGTGTTGGGGAGGAATTTGCTTTCACAATTTTCAACGTATGTGTTTCCGTGTGAAATTTGCTGGGTCCCTGTCGTTTGATTTTGGTGTTCGGTGTGCGCAGCTTCCTTGTAATTTTCCTTTACCTCTTAGTGGCATGTGGACTCTATTTATATCCTCTATATATTGCACAACGGAGATCTTGAGCTAAGATTTATGTTCAGGAAGCGTTGCAGTAATTATGTAACTTTTCTGATGGTGTCTAATTGGCATTTTAGAGCAGAATATATTTGTGATTGGGCATATTTGGACTAGGAGTTTTCTACAATGCAGTTGATTTTGTTTTAAGAATTCTTTGTACGTAGTTGTAATTTTCAGCAGAAGTATTCAATTACTTATGTGTATTCTCTTATTCTCTGTACATTGAAGAATCTTTGTGCTCTTTTTCCTTGTTGAAGTGAGGAAGCAAATCCCTCCAGCAAACTAAGCTCCCATCCTACCCGATTAAGATCAAGATTGATTATTTGAAAGTCAACATAAATCACTGGTGAGATTTGACCATGCATGAAACCATCATTTGCAGATGTTCAGAGGGACTGACTGATAAATGTCGAAAGCAACTCATCATTCAGATTCCACTAATGTAGTCACTTTGGGGCAGCACTTTTGTCATGGGAGAAACACCATTTTACATAAAAGTAACAATACTAACATGCAGGGTAACGAGTCTGATGTTTGAAGTGTGTTGAGTGTGGCATTACATCATTAAAAGTGTATCCCATTAGTTGTCTTGTCCCTTTTTCCTCAGGCTCTTAAACGTTGTTGGTGGATTAATCCTGCTCATCATTGTGGTCTTGTGTGTTTGTTAATAGCTGTCTTTATTAGCATATATAAGTTGTATTATCATTGTGCTGGCAGGATATAAAACAAATTCTTTTTTCTCTGATGGATGCTTGGATTTATTGTGAAGTTCCTAGTTTTTGTCTGTTTAAATATGGATCATTTTTTGTATTATTGGTATAGGTTTTAGCTACATATATGACCTTGTTCTCTATCCATGCCTTTATAATTCTGTTAGACTCTTTTTATAGATTTATGCCACTTATTTTAAGTTTTCAAGCTAGATGATGCAACTAAATAAGTGGGGAATTCATATTGCCATGAAGATAAACAGTCATTATTTTTTTCTACTTACAGACCAATCACTAATTATGAACTATGTCGATTACATCTGTCATCCAATCTTTTAATGTTTAGTAGTATCTGTTCTCCCACCTTCAATTCCTAAGACTTCTGGTAAACGGTTTTGCATATAGTTACTACACAATGATAGAATGACCCACTGGAAAGGGAGCTGTCGTGTGCTTCCTTACTTACTGATACCTTGAGGGTACTTTACATCTCTGTTTTGCATCATCCCGAGAATGTTTCTTTTTCACTGTATTAACCTTCTCTGCAAAATTTTTCACTTATTCAAGTAGATTTTGGCATGATCCAAGTCATCTAAATAAATTAGAATGGTTTTTAGAAAATCTTGTATATTGAATAAGCTGAAACTCATGTTAGATTGAATCTAATATCATGCAGGCATTTTTGTTGGTGGAAGCAAGGTTGTTCATTTCAGACCTGAGAGAAACTTAAAGTCAATTGCTGAGACATCTTCAAACTTGGATGATCCGACATCAAGCCCATGTCCAATCTTCCCTGATTGTGGATTCAGGCAGCCAAACAGTGGCGTGGTTCTTTCTTGCTTAGACTGCTTCCTTCGAAATGGGTCTCTCTACTGTTTTGAGTATGGGGTTTCACCATCAGTTTTTCTTACCAAAATAAGGGGTGGCACATGCACTACAGCATTGTCTGACCCCTCAGAGACAGTTGTCCATCGAGCAATGTATCTTCTTCAAAATGGCTTTGGTAATTATGATGTTTTTCAGAACAATTGTGAAGATTTTGCCTTGTACTGCAAAACTGGTCTTTTGATAGTAGACAAGCAAGGGGTTGGAAGAAGTGGTCAAGCTTCATCTATCATTGGTGCTCCATTGGCTGCAATGCTTTCTTCTCCCTTGAAGTTGTTAATGCCCAGTCCTGTCGGGGTTGCTACAGTAACAGCAGGAATGTACTGCATGAGCAGGTATGCAACTGACATTGGTGTCAGAAGTGATGTGATCAAGGTGGGAGTGGAAGACTTGGCTGTGAACCTGGGGTGGACTTGTCCTCATGAGGAGGTAACAGAAGGTGAAACTTCGGACACAGAAATTACCAGATGATTAGCATTTCTCTTCATCCTCATGCACATGAAACTACTGCATGTGTCACTCTTAGTTGATCGCAGATGTGGCCTTCATGTTACATTTTCTGTACTACTACTGTGTAAGACTAAATTGGCTTTTCTTTTTATTCCTTGCTACCCATAAGTGGTGTCCAGTTATTCAAGTTGTGCATGGGATCAAATAGCAATAATACTTACATTAGTAACTAATAATCATATGCTGTTCCTCTAACAATTTTCCTTTTGACTGCCCATAAATGCAGCATTCTATCTTCACAAGTGATTGAACCATTTTGCACATTGAATTATATTCATGCTGCACGTTTTTGCACATCATCAAAAGTTTTTGTCTATAATAAAGATATTAGTTATTATTTTTTAAACATGTTTTTAAATTGACGATTGATAATGTTTTATACTTTTGAAATGTTTGATCAAAATTCCAAATTCATTAATTTATTTGTAAAATATATGTAGGCTGGTATTAAAATTCTTGTACCGTTTTAGAGAGGTAATATCTAAAAAATTAATTAGGACAAATGCAAATATCTCAAACATGTTCTCCCCAGTCTGGGGCACTGACAACCGCATCTGTGCTATCTGGGCCCAAAGTCCTATATACAAAGAATTGTGTCCCCCTTTTATCCTGCTTTGAAAACGATGTGTTAAAACCCAAAGCCCACAGAAAAGCAAGTACACGGGCTAACCTCACATGCAACGAGTGAATTCATTTAAATATATAAAACATTGTTAGCATTCTTTTTCATTCAATCTTAAGACTCAAACGTCAAATTATAAAATAATTTTTATTTAAATCAATAAATATTATTATAAAATTATAAATATATTATTCTTATAACTTTTATATAAATTCATGCAAAATTTAATAGCCATACAACTTCTATCCATTTTGCATTACCTCAACAGAAATTTGCTTACATTGAATGTTCTAGTAACATTATGTTTTCAAGGAATTGGCACAGACAAATTTTTTAAAAAAATTATAAATTTGTTTGGTTATTTTTTTATAAAAAAATGTTTATTAAAAAATATATTTTAAACAATTTGTATTAATTTATATTTTTAAAAATATATTTTAGCTTATTATAGTTTTATACTTTCTCAACTTAGTCTCAAACTATTTCGGCATTGTCTATCACTGAACGTCTCTTATTCCTTATTTTTACTTAATTTAACAAAAATTGTAAACTGATTAACCAGAGTTTTACTAGTAGTAAAACATTAATGCACTTTTACAAATTTATATTGCACCAAGGATCAGCATTTCTCTAGCTCTAGCACTGATTAGCATTTACTGTTTTAAAAGTGGGCAGAGGATAATTAATTGTGTTTAGATAACAAGGTAATTGCCTTAAACTATCAATATAACTATTTTTTTTTTAACATTTTGTGTCTTAGAGCACCAGCCCATTGCTTTGTTACGGTTTTCAAAGGTTAAGACTGTGACATGTAGTGATGGTAAAATCAAAAGATAATTTCAAATTACTAACTCATTACATGTTCAAGACTGCTATGGCACTACTATTGTTGGCACAAAAAAAAGTTAACCTAATCCTGACTCAATTTCAAGTTTTTGTATTTCAGCAAGTTCACTATGTCTCATAGCTGACCAAGGTACCCAATGCATAATACATGTGATTATAATAATGATTGAAATCTTTCCTAGTCTTAATTAAATATTGAGGGCATTTATTATATTTTTCATTCACCTTGCTACACATGGCTTCTTCATTATTAAACATGTAGGATGCTTACTTTGTAATCTGTTTTCTCACCAACAACTCAATTCATAACTTGTCAAAACTTTTGGTGGTTAATTTGACTGTAAAGTTACTGACAGTTAAATTATCAGTTGTTTGGTAAAAAAAAACACATTTTATTTTCCATCTATTTACCAACTGTAAAGTAGTTAATAAATTCTAAAAGATCAACAACCTCAAGACTATTTATAATTGCTTGTATGAAATAATATTTTTTTTAGTGTAATTTGTCATTTTTAAAAGTTTAATCAAATTCAAAGATAGAGAAGTAATATGTGTAAGTTTCTGTAGAGTATTATAGTATTGTCCTATTTGTCTGTCTGAAAAAGAATACTGTCTTTAAATGTAAACTTTAGAGCGTAGCAACTTATTTAGTACTCATCCATGTACTTCTGAGTACCTAAATACTAATGGAGTCATTATTTACATTTAATTAAACAAAAGGGTCATTTCTTATCATAATTATAAAAAAGAGGCTGCTAAACAATTGATTGGCAATGTTTTTCCCCTAGCCTATCTAAAGAATGACCTCACAATAGCACTATTATATGTATAGCTGCGAAGACTACAATATTAGATGAAGGCAGAAAGTATTATAAAAGATTTAAAATTTTCAAATTTGAGATAAGAAGGTTAGGTCATCAAACTCAAATATGTGAATTATGAGTGTAAAGTTATAAAATTACAAGTACAATATTATTATTTTTTATTTTAAAATTAATATACTCAAGAATATGTGGTTATAAGAGGAGGTGGGTTACTATATAAGTACTCATCCATATCTGCATTCATCATTATAAAATTTTCAGTATATACGTATTAAGGTTAGATCTAATTGTCATTTCTATTTAAAGATTACTGAAAGCTATTTTTTTAATGCTTATTTCTAAATAAATCAAAGGACTTAAACTTTTAAATAGGTAACTGAATATATAATTTTCAGATACTATATGTAGCTAGAAAATGAATATATAAAAATTTAAAGCTTTTTAACTGCTACTTTCAAATTTGACAAATTTAATTAAATAAATATCAAAAAGACTTTAATATAATACAATATTCTCGAGTTAAGATTAAGGGAGAGATTGTAAGTCTACAAAAGTAATTTTTGGATTAAAGAATACCCCACCCAAAAGAGGATGATAAACTACTTAATTTTTGGACTTTTTTTTTCTGCGCATTAAAGAAAAGATACTTGTTACAAATTATATCAGTTTAAAAAGTCTACGTATAATGTCCTCCATGAGTTATTTGAGTGAGTCAAAATATATATGCTACATAAACTGAAATGTACATATTTGCTCTCTTTTAATGCTTTTTTTTTTAATTCATTTTCCTCATCTTTCTAAGACTTATTGGGAGTCCATTTTTAGGAAAAATAATTCTGTTAACAGTGTGGAAAGAACATTATGATTTTGAATCGTACACCCGAAGAAGAAGAAAGAAGAGAGAAAACCACATTAACAAAAGGTGTTTTTGTCTGCCAATTGAACTCACTAGAAGTGAAAATCATAACTGATCATGGCGAAAAATAATAGTTAATTAATCGTCGACATGTGAAGGCATTGACCTGGGTGAACGAAATGATTTCTACTTGACCCAAAGGAATGTTTGAGGGTCCCACTACAAAGTACCGAAAGAAGGTGGGCTCTTGAGAATTTTCTTTAGTCTTTGCACATACTATAATTAAATGCAGATAATTAATGGACGACACGGGACATCATCACTCGTGGTATTAAAGACATGTCTTGATATGAATCTTCCAATTAAAATAAACATCAAGTGGGTGGATTGTGTTAGGTTAGTGTTTGGTTGGGGCAGGTAATCCAGTTTTCAAGATTTGCCCAATTTGTTAGTTATATATATATATATATACTCTTATATACTACCTTGCTGTTCAAATACATGCGCCTAACAACATGGTTTACAATTCAAGCTTGCACTACAAGTGTCTGTGACGTTCAGATTAGCTAAAACACCCCTTTTGTTTCTTTTTTTCAGTTTTCTTTTGATATTATTCCACCAAGTGCTTTCATAGTTGGAAGAATCTCGGATGTGATAATTTAGATATCAAAGCTGACAACCCACTAGTTTTTGCTGAGACACAGATAGAAATAGTAATAGGAAAGAGCACACAAAGCACTCAACCAATATATATATATAATTATGGTTACAAACTTGAATATCTAAGTCTTTCCATAATCATCAAAAGTCATTTGGACCAAATCTTTGAAAGCATGCATACATCAATAAAGGTGATATATCTACTTCTGACAGAAGAATTCATGAATACAGGTTATCGCATGACTTGCATAAAAGCAGGACCTATATTCACCTCTTCTTCTATCTAGCTCTAAATACCAAAAAACAATCGAGATGAGCTGTAAAATCCTCACATTGCTCGAATAGCAAATGTACTAGTGTATACAAAACAGAGTAACCATCTGTATCCTATTGTTAGTTCTGAACAACCTCAAACAGATCGATCACAATCATCCATGTGAGAAAGGATAGATAGAAATAGGGAAGATAACGAAAACAATGGAGGTTCTGAAATTCCTTGTCCTTCCAACAATGCTTCTTTTCTTCCCTTACCATGATGACCCTTCACCAATTATTCCACTCCAATATCCATTGGAATTTCCTTGTTCTTTATTGTGTTCGACATCAACACCTGCAGAAGTAAAAGGGAACAAAACCCTCCCACCACCATTCTCTTGAACTCCATATGATCTGTTTCCAAGCATATCAACTGAAAAGCTAAGGTTTGGTTTGATCTCTTGCATGGGAAAGCCAGGTGGGTAAAGGGCTTCTGAGCTTGACATCAAAGGATTAGGAGCATAAGGATTCAAACCCCTAGAAGCCATGCCAGAGCGTAGTAGCTCAACTGCTGAAAGAGAAGTTGGAGCAGAAGAAGAGCTATGGTGGTGACTAGTGGTGTCGCCAATTTCAAGTTTTGGCATCTCAATATATGGAGACATGCCATGGTACTTGTCCATAGCTGCAGGGAAAGCCAAATTAAGGTCGTGGACTCCTTGCATTTTAGGGTTTTGGGAAGAGAGTGATGAAACGGTTGGTGGATTCAAGTCAGGAACCTTTGATGATGATGATGATGAGACCTTCTTGTTTTTCCTTGAGCCACCTCCAACAGGCACGTTTCTGAGAGACCCACCTTCTGTCCAATACCTTCTACAAGTCTTGCAGAAGTATCTGGGTTGTGTGAGGCTGTAGTTGTTGTAGTAACAGAACTTTGTGTTGGTTGAACTGCACCTTGGACAATTCAATTGTTCTTGTGGTCTTGCTTTCTTCTCTAACCCTGGCCTTGTGCATGAATTGGGAGCTATCCCTTCCATGGATCTCACTGGTCCAACCTCCTAATAACCAACCCCTGAAGAGCCTGACTTGGTTATTTCATTACATAAACAGATTAAGGAGATAATTACCAAGACAGATGTTTATCAAAACTAAAAAATAATGTAAAAAGAAATTGTAGAAAGTAAACTTAAAGGGTCAATAATAATAACAAATAATCTTTTTTTTTCTTGGTATATATTTGACAATAATTATCACACGAGCAAAAAGGTAAAGAAGAGAAAAAGTTAAAGCAGTGGCAGTGCTTTTTGTGTTTAGGACCTGATTGATCATAACTTATTTTGGTAGAAAAAGAGAGAAGATAGAATATCGATATATGGTGGACTTTGCAATTACCATGAACATCATCTCCTTGATATAGCCAGATAATAAAAAACAGGAGACAATTAACAGCTCATACATGTATTATATTTGTATATATCTAGCTAGCGGAACTTCATGTTTGTGTCAGCTTAAAAAAAAACCGAAGCTCAGAATTTATGCACATCACAGAAAAGACACGAGAAACAATCAACCCCCATCTTTGGCCACTAAGGGGTAGCCATGAATATTTGATAAGAGAAGAAAAGAGAGAGAGAGAATTCACCTTGTTTGTCTGCAGCTGCCCTTTAGTGCAAGAAAGAATGTTTTAGTTCGTTTGTGGGCTGGCTTTATCTGTTGGCTTACTTTATGAATGATGCAAAGAAAAAAGAAAGTTTGAGAAGAAATGTGTCTGTTTTGACTATACTTGCAATTCCTCTTCATTAATGATGTTTTAGCCTTTAGGACTCACTCCAAATTTTTAATCTCTATAAATGCCTTTTTCTTTCCTATTAATTCCAAATTGATTTCTTTTTGCTTTTCTTTTTGTCTGCTTTTGTTTTATGTGGCGGAATAATGTGTATGTACTGTAGACTTGTGGTGCGTTTTTCCTTTTTTAACGATATAGACTCTTCACTAATGTTTCATTTGTCAAACCTTCTTTTTCTCTTATCAAGGACCTTTCATTAGATGTGATTTTTTAGTCTCATCAAAGAGATTAATGCATTTGAATGCTTTTATTCATGCCTTTCTTTTTTTATCAACGATGCTTTTGCTGCAATTAATAAACTTTCCCCATGTTTTCAGCAGTTACATACTAGGGTTTGCTTGCAAAGCAATCAAACAAATTCAATTTTCTCCCGCGATTAATCGTCTTGATTTACCTTGTAAACTGTTTTTGCTAGAATGTGCTAAAACTACAGTTGCAAGCCTAAATTAACCACCGGATAATAAAGGATTAGGGTTCCCGTAAGTCCATGATAACCTATAGCTAGAAGAGTGAAACCCGTGATGATATTTTTCACCGATTGATTATATATAAAGCTACTTTTATTTTGTATTTAACTTCGATTCCCTAATCATAATGTTTTTGGTAAATAAATAAATAAAACGAGTGGGCTTGAAATGTCAGATTAGGCTATGGTTAGGAACCATTCCAATTTCTTATTCTATCAAGTTCTCTGAAAATAATTATCAATAGATAGTTAAATTCTTTAACATGCTTTCAATACCTTTCGTGCATCCAAAAAAAAATTTCTAAGAGTCTTGCTAATTACAAAATACGTATTCCAGTTATCTTATTTTAATTTTAATATGTTAACAATCTAAAAAAAAATGCTTTAAAAATAATGTTTTTGTTGAATAAATTAAACTGAACATGTCCGAGGTGTTTCGAGACGTGAGGAAGAAATATAAAGGGATTAATAATATATAATAAATATATTAGGAAGTTATGTTTTTAGAAGTATTTTCATAAATTTAAATATTAAATGATTAGGATAATCATTTACCAAACAAGTTGAATAGAAGTTGATGTACTTCCATTTGTCTTAGAACTTGGAGGGCATATTTTAATAAATTATATGTTAAGTCCATTTTAATAATTCTAAAATTATAACTACAAAAATAAGTGAGAAAATATTCTCACACTTTCTCCAATACATACTTATATGAGAGATGTGACACAAATATAAGTTCGTAATACTACTTCAAAATCATGGTAAATCTTATTGGTTACCATTTTCATGAGAGTGTTGATTTATTTTCTTTGTTAATTTAAATAACTTAAATGGTTACACATGAAAATTAAGGACTCGTTTGGTTAAATAAAACAATTAATTAACTTTGTATTCATAATTATCGAAATGATACTTTTGTTGTTTTTATCATAATATTTGAAATAATGATATCTGTATAATTATTGGTTGAAATAAACATTTAAAAACAAAATCAATTTACTTATTGAGAAAACAAATACACAAGTTTAGGATAAAACCAGTACTGCTAGTAGTTGTTCCAAGCAGAAAAGATGTACCACCCATCTCTTAGACACTCTTCGGTACCTAACGATCATAACAAGATCAAACATAACATCAAATTAAGTCATGGTATTAAATAGTTTCATATTAAATAAACAGCCGTTATATACTACTACTTCTTAACCACTTAAAAAAAATACTACTACTTAGGACATTTTTAATGCTATTATATATAATTAGAAAATTGCATCAAAGAGTCAATACAAATTTCATTACTCAATATAATTGATTGTCGTAAAGTTTAGAGAGTAAAACAAAATATTAGCATAATATTTTTTATTTTTAATAAAGTAATCGTGTTCATAAATTTTTCTAATTTTTATTTCTTAAGCTACGTACTTGATGGACATTTTATTTAAAAAAAAATGTTTATTATTTTAAGATCAGTTATTGAAAGTTATTTCACCAAATAATGCCAAGACTTAGATCGATGCAGCAAGACGTGAATTATATTCTTTAATAACTTGGCCGATTCCTCAAATTTGATTTGACAATCTAGCTATATATTACACCAAGTTCAAGTGAGGATATATAATTTTTAGCACCATTTTAAGTAGGTGTTTACTTCAGAGGGCTTGCATCTAACAACCAAAACAGTAGTTTTTCTTTGTCGAAAATTTGAAATATTGCCATGTGGAATAAATTGATGAAATTTTTTAAGTGAAAAGCATTAACAAGAAAAAAACAAGCTGTACACGGAACTTAAAAACGTGAGGAATGCTGTCTTCTATTCAGAATGTTTTGGAATTAAGCAATGCACTTGAATAAGAATCTGTCTTGTTACGAATTTCCTCACATTATTCCATAATTAATTATGAAACTGTTTTCCGAACACATTGTTTCATATATAATTATATTAACAACTTAGTAAGCGTACGTTTGGTTTAAATTACTGTCACCAGAAATGATAGAATTTATCGTTCTGGGACATTTTTTTTTAAAGTATAACATCTTATCGAGCATGAAACACAATTGCTTAGTGTGGCTTTTTACATAAACAAACATGCTGTGGATAATTTAATTTGGAATTATATTTAAATATTTTGATTTAATCTTCATTGTACCTCCTGATATATATAATTACAATGTATTGCCAAAACACTGGTAATGTGTTACTCTTTCTTTCTCCATTTTCGTCAAGAAAAGTAATAATTTTGCATCGTAAAATCAGCTACAACGTTGCTATGTGCCATGATTGTGTTTCTTCCTAATCCATGGAGGAAGGCATTATTGTGACGGAGATAATACCAAAACAAAAGGTAGAGCGAAAGATGAGAGAAGTTTTCAATAGAAAAAGGTGTAGCCGACAGGAGGCGACAAAAAGAGGCCACAGTGGGTCCTGAATAATGCGCGATCTGACAGGGGAAAGGGCCTTTAATTTTTACTTAAATAGTTAATTAAATTATTAAAACCTTGTTAATTATATGATCAGAGATCCATTTATAATAATATAAAAAATTTAATATATTTTTACATTTTTTAGTAATTTTATATATACCTAATGTATAATATTTTTAATAAATTAAAGAAGAGTAAATATAACAATAATTATTATAAAAATATATAATATCTCAGTTATGATGGGTGGAAGGTGTGTGTCATTTCGCTGTCACTTTCGCTCGCCCCTTTTGGTTGTGATGGCGACCGCAATTGGTTAAAAATCTTCCAAAGAATATGAAACACTCACCACAGAATCTCACTCACTATTTAGTTTTGAATTAGGGCCTATTTCTCAGCGCCCCAATTTTGTTTTATTTTTTGTAGCATTTAACTTCTTTTGTTAGTACTTGGCAGTATGAAAAAACAAAAATTTAAATTAAAAAATAAATATTGAAAATTTAATGAATTAAAAGGTTCACTCCACTGTTTAGATAGCTTATAATAAAATGAAATACATTTTTAATTCACTCATTCTAAGACATAAAACATAAGGTGGAAGAGAATTTCATCACCACGTCGAAACACAATCTGGACACCACTGGACCTTGGTCTCTTTCATAGATACTATACAAGTCCTAAGCTGTTCCCAAAATCTACGGATTCTTGCCTCACTGCCATGCCTACGGTTCTCCTCACATTTCACTTTTATGGGATCTTGTCAGTTTCAATTGATTCAGTAAATATATTGCATATTGAATTCCTTTTGAGAAACTTTTGGTGTTCAATTCTTTAAAATTCATTTTTCCAGCTTTGAGAGCTCTTTCCATTAATATAAATCGCCTTAATTTGTCAATATTAATAACGCTTTACCTGCCATGAATGTTTTAGGAGTGTTAATAACATACCTTTTTTAAAATATTTTTTTAGTTTTTATTTAAATTTTAATTACAGTTGAAAAAATAGAAGTGAGACTTATTAAATTAAAAAATAGAAAATAAATAATATCTAATTTACTAATATTTTTCTTTAAAATTTAATTTCTACGTCTGTTCCTAGAGGGCAGAAAGAGTCTTAGGCTCGGTTAGTATAATAGGAAAATTTAATTTTGACAAATAAAAAATAAACCACTGATGTTGAATATTTTTCGTAAGTCATGTTAGAATCGTCTCTACTGCTAATTATTTCTCGAAAGTAATTTGCATTTTGTCAAGTAATTTCTAAATAGACATTTAGCGTTTGTTTAAATTTAGGCTTTAATACTCATAAATTTATATTTATTTTAATATTAATTATAATTTGTATATTAAATATTTGTTATGATCTTTCTGATGATAATAAAGCGTAAAGTGAAAATTGATGGTTATTATCTTTTCCAATAGTTATTATCTTTTCACTGAACTGCTTTTCTTTTGGGTGGATTCACTGAAATGTTTTTAATTTTTTTGTCAACAAGCATTGAAGTGGGTCTGATTACTTTAAAGAGAAAACCCAAACTCATGTGATGGGCCTCTTTAAATGGCCAAACAGAGTATAAGGATTGAATAATTGAATTTAATCACTTCCCAACTGGGATTTATTGTTCAATTTTTTAGTTTGCACGAGTTTAATGAAAATTATAAAGTTATTTTATCAAACTAAAACGAGTTGTTCATTAAGTTATACGAATTAGGCTTGAAATCATTAATGTGATGGGCCGAACAGAGTATAAGGAGTGAGTTGAATCATTTCCCGAGTGGGGCTTATTTTCAATTTATTAGTTTGCACGAGTTTAATGAACATTATGGAGTTATTTTATCAAACGAAAACGAGTTGTTCATTTAAATTACATGAATTAGGCTTGAAATTATTCATGGTAAAACTAATTAACTCAGTTGTTGTGTGTCCAAAATATGCCATTTTAATTATCTTATAATTGTTTTGAGAAACGATAACACTTTTTCGTTTGTTGAAACATAAAACTACTTCTATTTTTAATTGAATTCTTATAAA